CCTCTCGCACTTCCCGTCATCCCGCGGCACATAGACCATGGTGAGTGCACAAGACAAAGCGACTAATCCCTTGCACAATACCACTTCCTTTCTCGCACCTCTTCTTTGCTGAGCTTCGTCACCACCACAACTTCCCATCCCCTCCATCGCCCCAGGCTTCAGCTTGGACTGCTTGGACTTCGAGCGACGTTCGATACCCCGCCATCGGGCCAGCCAAGCTCTCTGCTGCTGCTGTATCTATTTCTACCCCTACCACGCCGCATCGCTTCCTAGCTACTCTCCTGCTACTGTATCAAATATTATTCCGTTTCTTTGACTGACCTGAGTCTACTACTCCAGAGCTACAACAACGATATCCACTCGCCGAACGAGATGGTGGTGGACACTGACGAGTACGTCGGCGGCACCGACTCAGAGAAGGAGCCTATTGCCATCATCGACCCTGACAACCTCGACAATGGGGCCGAACAGCTGCAGGACCTGCCTCTGGCAAATGACTGTAGGCATAACCAACCTATTTCAGACTGCACGCCGGCTAACTCAGTGTAGTCGATGCTATGAAGGATGTCATTTTCCCACACCTCCACGAAGAGCCCGAAGTGCTCGAAGATGTAGTCAACACATGGACTGTCGAAGCATGGCGATCAATGTCAAAGAAGGAACACGGTCCTGTATTCCAGGCTGGCGGCTTTCCTTGGTGCGCTACCTCCATCCCCTTGTGGTGCTCTCTCTCAATGCCCTCGCTTACACTCACATCAGGCGCATTCTTCTCTTCCCTCACGGCAACAACGTTGACCAGTGTTCCATTTACCTTGAGCATGGATTTGAGCCGACAAACATTCCCGAGAATTGGAGCTGCTGCGTGCAGTTCGCGCTCGTGTTATGGAACCCGAACGACCCGACTCTTTATACCCACCACACGGCGCACCATAGATTCACAAAGGAGGAGTCAGACTGGGGCTTCACTCGTTTCCTCGAGCTGCGAAAGATGTTCAACGTGCCCTGGGAGGGCGGCAGTCGACCTCTTTGCGAGAACGAGACTGCCAACATCACAGCCTATCTCCGCCTTGTCAAAGATGAAACTGGTGTCCTTTGGCACAACTTCAACAACTACGATTCCAAGAAGGAAACAGGCTACGTTGGCCTCCGCAACCAAGGCGCCACTTGTTATCTGAACTCTCTTCTTCAGTCTTTGTACTTTACCAACGCTTTCCGAAAGGTCAACTCACAAAACCCTTTGGACGTTTACTGCGCCATTGCTGACTATCTGTAGGCCATCTACGAAATACCAACAGACCACGAAGAGAGCATGGGAAACAGCGCATACACTCTGCAGCGTCTCTTTTACCAACTACAGACCTCTGAGCAGGCTGTCGGAACGAACGAGCTGACCAAGTCCTTTGGCTGGGAAACAAGACACATTTTTGAGCAGCAGGATGTTCAGGAGTTGTCGCGAAAGCTAATGGAGCGTATGGAAGAGAAGATGAAGGGTACTCCGGCCGAGCACGTTCTCCCGCAGATGTTCAGTGGTAAGATCAAGACGTACATCTCCTGCGTCAACGTCGACTACGAGTCCAGCCGGGTCGAGGACTTCTGGGACATCCAGCTCAATGTCAGCGGCAACAAGAACCTTTTGGACAGTTTCAAGGACTACGTCCAGGTTGAGAAGATGGACGGCGAGAACCAGTACTACGCCGGCGACGAGTTCAAGCTGCAGGATGCCAACAAGGGTGTCATTTTCCAGAGCTTCCCCAACGTCCTGCACTTGCAGCTGAAGCGATTCGAATACGACATTCAACGAGACACCATGATGAAGATCAACGATCGATACGAATTCCCCGAAACCTTCGACGCAGCGCCGTACCTCTCTGAGGATGCTGACAAATCAGAGTCGTGGACGTATCAGCTTCATGGCGTCCTCGTTCACAGCGGTGACCTGAACGCCGGCCACTACTATGCATTCCTCAAGCCTGAAAAGGATGGATGGTTCTACAAGTACGACGATGATAAGGTCACAAGAGCCACGATGCGTGAGGTGCTTGAGGAGAACTTTGGCGGAGAATACAAAACACATCCCGCCAACCACTTGCGAGCACCTCTCCAGAAGAAGGCCCCGGTCGTACGCCAGAACAGCGCATACATGTTGGTTTACATTCGCCAGTCGCGCCTGGATAACATTCTTTGCCCGGTTTCTAAGGAGGACATCCCTCTCCATCTGCGCTCAAAGTTCGACGAAGAGACTGCTCTCAGAGAGGCGAAGCGTAAGGAGAAGGAGGAGCAGCACCTCTATATCGGCGTCAAGGTCATCACCGAGAAGACCTTCAAGAATCACGGAGGCACCGACTTGACATCGTTCGATGCGGACCAGGCCGATGGCGATGCGGCGCCACGCTCGTATCGCGTACTGAGAGCTTCGACAATGGAGGATCTGGTGGGTACTATCGCGGCAGACCTCGAGCAAGACCCTCGCAAGGTTCGCCTCTGGGTCATGGTTAATCGCCAGAACAAGACAATCCGTCCTGATCAGCCCATTATGGATCTGCGACCTACGGTTGAGGAGGCCTTCCAAAGGGCGGCTGCACACCGAGATCAGTTCTTGAGAGTCTGGGCTGAAGTGGCAGAAGAGACAACACCAGAGGGCGAGGCAGTGTGGCCCACGTATCAAGGCCAGCTTAATGGGGTTGTCGTTAAGAATGACCTCATCCTGATCTTCCTCAAGCACTTCGACGTGGAGGCTCAATCTCTCTATGGCATCGGCCACGTCTACATCAGCAAGGAGAAGAAGGTAGAGGAACTGGTCCCAATCATCATGAAAAAGATGGGATGGGGCGAGAAGCTGCCAGGTGACGAGAAGATTTCCCTTTGGGAGGTAAGCTCTTGAATCTTGATGTGCATGCCGAGACCTTATTGACCATTTCCAGGAAATCAAACCGACCATGATCGAAGCCCTGAAGGCCAAGCAATCTCTTAAGGCTGCGGAATTGCAGGATGGCGACATCATTTGCTTCCAAAAGACCACGGAACGCAAGGGCGACAGGAACATCCTTGAAAAGCGTCTGGGTCTGGGCGACAAGCAGGCAGCGGAAGAGCCTGCCAAGAAGGCCGACCGCTTCGACGACGCACGGGAGTACTACGACTTCCTTCACAACAAGAAGACTGTCAAGTTCCACGCGCACCCGACACGTTGCAATGCCGAGAGATTCCCTCCCTTTGAGTTGGTCCTGAATTCCAAGATCAGCTACGACATTCTTGCAGACCGCGTCGGCGAGAAGCTCGAAGTCGACCCTACACACATCCGCTTCTGGACCGTCAACTCAGCCACAGGGAACCCCAAGACGACTGTCAAGCGTGGCGTCAACCAGAGTCTGCAGCTCATCTTGAATCCCTCCGGATACAATCAACTCAGTTCAAGTCAACGAACCGATGCGTTCTACTTTGAGGTATTAGACATGAGCTTGGCTGAGCTGGACACCAAGAAGAGCATCAAGATCACTTGGCTGAGTGAGGGCATCACGAAGGAAGTGAGTTACAGTGGAGCACGCCGTACAGGAATGCCATGCTAACAATGCACAGGAGCAGTTCGATCTCCTCGTGGCCAAAAACGGTCACATTGAGGACCTGATTCAAGTCTTGATCCAGAAGGCCAGCATTCCTGACGAGACCGAAGGAGGTCGTATTCGTGTGTACGAGACCAGCAGCCACAAGTTTTACCGCGAACTCTCGCGCGATTACCCCGTCATTAGTATGAATGATTACACCAACGTTTTCGCCGAACGCGTACCCGAGGAAGAGATCAACGACGAAGAGGCGACCAACTTCATTCAAGTGTTCCATTTCCAGAATGAGCCTAGCAGGGTCCACGGTGTTCCTTTCAAGTTCATGCTCGTCGAGGTATGTGCCGCTCTGCAAACGACGCTTCGCACAATGCTAATGATATGCCAGGGTGAGCAATTCGTGGATACAAAGAAGCGCCTGGAGAAGCGGACTGGTATCAAGGGCAAGAGTTTCGAGAAGATCAAGTTCGCGGTGGTGAAGAGATCTCATTTCTCAAAGCCACAATACCTTAACGATGGTGAGAATTTACTGCAACCATGCCCTTTTTACAATGCTGACCGATGAGCAGATGACGAGTTGTGGAAGATTGCGACGAATGACGATGATTACCTCGGTCTCGACCACGTTGACCGAACACGAACGCTTAGAAACGGCGTTGGCGACCTCTTTTTGCGGTAATGCATGGTGGCTAATCTTCTACAGTCTTGGATGCCGAAGGAACGTGGTATCGAGAAGATTTAGAGTTTTTGTTCGATGCATCCAGGATCGATATCGGTACGCCGTGGTGATACCAGGGATGAGCGTGAGGTTTCGTGATTCAGGGTCTATAGCAGCAAGAAGGCTCGGTTTGGTTCATGCCTGTCTCCGTCCAAAGACGTTCGGATGGCATGCCAAGCGGATATCATAGCAGACCTTTGATTGACGGGCATGCTCTTCCGATAGAGAATAGGATTCTTGTAGCTCACTTTTCAAGAAAGGTGGAAAACATTGATAAGGCAAAATTGGCAACGAAGAGTAAACACGATGGTGACATTGACCCCCCGCCTTGGCAGTAATGGACGTATTAGTATCGCAGCCACAGTGAAGCATAGATGCAAATCCGGAGAAGACCCGGCATCTGGCCCCACCCGAGGTCGGCAAGGCCCGCTCGGAGGGAGGGAGGTCGAACAAGAACGGTGGGGTCTGCACGTGCTCCACCGATAAGATAAGAGGTACCTGGCAAGCCCATGAGCAGCGTGAAATAAATTTGCCATCGGCGCATTCAGGGACGAGCGTCTGTCTACCCAGGGGCGGTCTTTGTTGGCAGAAATATTCAAGATCCATCAGCTCCGGCGCATTCATTTCCAACTCAACCTACGCGTCGCGATCGCTTCTATCGGCACAATCCAACCGAGTCGCTCCCTACAAACGACCACAACCACACAACTAATTTCCTTTACCACACAATGGCTTTCCCCGGCGGCGGTGCGATGCCTCCCCAAGAGTCGCAAGGCGGATCCCCAGGCGCGGCGGCTTCTCTGGGCCCCCCGGATCCTGAGATGAAGGCTGTATGTTGAGAAAGGTATCTCTCTTGGAATGACTCTTATGCTAACGATGGACTTGCGCTCAGATGACCAACTTTATGGAGAACTGCTTTACGAAGAGTATCATGTCTGGTGTCATGGGTTTCGGTATGGGAGGATTGTTTGGCATGTTCATGGCATCTGTACGTTTTCCTCCCCCCCTTCTTCTCCCGCACTCTTTTTCTCCTCTCCGAACTAGAAAAGCGCATCAAGACTGACTTCCCCCTTTTCTTCTGCTCAGATGTCCTACGACACCCCCTTCCACACAGCAACGACGGCCGGCCAAACGACGGTGACGCCCATCGCGGACTTACCTCTGCGCCAGCAGCTGCGCGTGGGCTTCAAGGACATGGGCACGCGGTCGTACAGCATGGCCAAGAACTTTGGCAAAGTCGGCGCGCTGTTCGCGGGCATCGAGTGCGGTATCGAGGGTCTGCGGGCCAAGAACGATTTGGGCAACGGCGTCGCTGCGGGATGTCTGACGGGCGGGATCTTGGCCAAGAATGCTGGGCCGCAGGCTGCGTTGGGCGGGTGTGTTGCGTTTGCGGCGTTTAGCGCTGCTATCGATGCGTACATGAGGCAGCCGAGCGATGAGTAGGGGGGTTGTTTGTGAGGATGATGAGGGGGGCTGTCGCCTCTCCCGTCACTCTGGGGCGGGCGGAGAGGCCATGAGCTTTTGTTCCTGCTCTCCCTCCGTCTTGGGGCGACGATAGGTGACTATTTGTACATGTACCAACAAAAAGGCGGACGGGAGAAGCATTTTTGCATTGCACGGCGTTACGGGAACGGTTCAGTCATATTCTACTGGCCCTTTTTTGTTTGGGGAGGAGCCGGCTTAGAAGATGGGGGGAAGGGGGAAACGATATAGATGCCAGAAACTCTCTCCACTTTGGGATTTTCAAGGATTGGTGGTGTTGTTGTTGTACACCCGCCTACGCCAGCGGGACGACTCTGCTCAGATCTCTGTCGGATAGACTACATGTCGGAAGCAAGAATAGAATTGTAAAATATTTGGCCTTGATTCAGCAATTCCGATATCCGAGTTGATGGATTGCACGATAGGTGCATTTTTGCTTCTTTCAATCTAAGCCTATCCTCCCCGTTCTTATCTGGTATTCTAGTAATCCCGAGGCGTCCTACCCGGGAGGGAATCAAGCTCAACACCGTGTACTAGAAAAAGCTCGCTGGCTCTCACTGAAAAGGTCAAATAGTCGTAGAATCGGATCCCATGACGATCCTCGGCCACCTGGGGTTCCTGCCTTGGTGGCGACCTTGGTTCATGTCATCTCATGTAAGCCTTGTCTTTTTTTTTCTTCCCTCTTGTCCCGTATCCCTCATCTTTGTTCCCCTTTTATTTGCTCTCTTCCTGTTCTTCTTCATCATCACCTCATCAGCACCGTGCCGCACTCACGACGCGGTGTAAAAGTTAAAGGCCCCGAATTCCCAGTACGCCGTCTTGAAGGCGTCCGGGTTGTTGGCCTGGAAATCCGAGCAGCTGCTCCCGCCGCACCCGGAATCAGCATACTTTGCCTCGACGAGCGAGCCGCAGACGTCGATATTGATGATGAGCGACTGGTTCGAAAAGTGGGAGCTCATATCGCACGCCGTGTTGGGAAAATCGGCGAGCGCCTCGCCCCAGGTGCTGGGGTCGGGCGACGACGCGGCCGTGATGTCCGAGGGCACAGAGTCCCTCGCAAACTGCCACACGCGGATCCCCTCGTCGCGCCACTCCATGGCCATGTACCCGCCGCCGCCGGCGTTGAAGTCGGATCCGTACGTCGAGGCCTTACCCTCGACGCCGCAGCCCGCGTTGCCGTTTGTCGTGTTCTTGCAGTCCGACTGCAGCGTCGAACCCGTCTGCTTGCGCTTGACGCTCATCTCGCAACCGGACGTCGTGTGCAGCGTCATCTGGTTGCCGTCGGTGCCCTGGTTGATGGCCTCCATGACGTCGATCTCGCCGGCGTCGGGCCAGTTGTTGGGGTCCGAGAACCAGAGCGCCGGCCAGCTCGCGCAGCCGTAGGGTGTGTGCTTCACGTCGAAGATGAAGAGGCCCTTGTCGTACTGCGTCTTGGACTCGACGCGGACGGAGAAGCGGCCCGTCGAGGCGTCGGGCGATGAGGTGTTGCCGGTGGTGTGGTCCACCCTCAGCACGGCGGTGGAGGATGTGGCGTATGTGAGGTTCTTTATTTCACGAAGAAAAGTTGCATACTCAGCCGGTGGTTCCATATAAGTAGTGGGTGAAGATGTTTAAATACCCTGCTTGCGGCCTCATCGGCACCGACGTAGTGAACCATACCCCCAGTAGGATCGTAGGTATTGAAGTAGTTGAAGCCATCGAAGAAGTTCTCTCCAGAGTCTGTCATTATCAGATCGAGTGTTCATGGTCATTTATTCAGCCGGGGGCTCGTGCGACGGGCGAGGACCCTGAGCACGGTTCCGTACATGTGTCACTCAGCTTGTACGTCAGCTGGGAATAGTCGGGATATCGGTTCTTGTTGTTTTGTGTGACGGTGACGGCAACGACAATGACAATGATGATGACGAGGGCACCGCCGACGCCGGCCCAGATCCGTTTCGTCCAGCCCTTGGGATTCCACCACGCAGTCTGTTGTTGCCCGAGGCGCTCGTTTGAAAATCCGTAGTCGCCCATGATGCCGCCGTAGTAGTCAGAGTCGTTCATGGAATCGGGGTACGGAGAGAAGCCTCGGGGCCAGTCTGGGGTCTTTATCTCGTCCCGGAAAAGTGGGTGGACCAGGACCTTTGGTGGCACGACGAGTATCTCCGCAAAAGGTGTCTTGCTACGATTGATATTGGGCGATACGATATATGTGCCTGGCTGCGCCACGAAGACACCTGCAGGAGGATGTTGACCAGGCCATCTCACGGCTGCTCTAGGCTTCGGGGCCGGGGTGGGGGTGGGAAGCAACGGCTCTAGGTCGAGGGCGACGGCTCTAGATTTGCGCTTTGGTCTGGGAAGGACGGGTTTCGGACCCTTCCAGTACTCAAACGGAGTGTAGCCGAGTGATGTGTTTGGTCCCAGATTTGGAACCATCTTTTCTTCAAGCTGATACGCTTCACGTAGTTCCACCCCCGATTTTTCAGAGAGTGACGACTACGCCTATCATACGTAGTATGTACGCGTACGCTGGTGGACCACAAAACCCGGTCCAATGGCGACTAGCGGATGAGAAGGAAAAAAGGGATAGAGACTTGAGAGGCAGCCCGGCTTGCTTTGGTCTGCAGGGGACTTCGGTGGCCGACTCTCTCTTGCGCGCATCAGGGATCTGGAAAGAAATGCGAGCGTCGGGCGTGAAATGTTCGTATTATTGCTGCTGTGCCAGGTTTCGGGCTTACTATGGCGTGGTAAATATGCCAAAAGTAGGTAGATGACTCAAGCGGTGATAAGAGAGGCCTTGCTCTTTTCTTCCCCTTGTTCTGTGGTAATGATAATAGTGGTGTAGGTAAAGCGGCGCAGTCCTCTCAGAGGCTCGAAGTGAAATTATAATAAAATATTAAAAAGGAAGGTATTGGTAACCGCCAAGGGGCGTTGGAGATGCAATGGAGAAGAGATGAGAGAAGAGAGGTCTAACATGAAGCAATCGGAGGTGGGAAACCTGGAGAAATAAGCATCGATCGTGGTTCCTCACGGACAGACAACCTTTTTTCCGTCAAAGAGGCCACGACGACGCGGGGGGCGAGACATGATACACGGTGCCCAACAAGCAAGCAACTGCCAACTTTGCAATTGAGCTTTAGCTGTGCGTCCGAGGTATGGATGATCCCCTGGAGATCACATAAGTCAAGGGGCTGGTGGGTGTCAAGCATAAGGAAACGTGAGAACGACTGGCACCTCCGCGCGCCGGCGCCAAGCACGGGCTCGGATGTAAACTGGATGACGGTACCGAATATGCTGCCAAGGTGAAGTAGAGGGGGGAGGGGGCCATCAGAAAGGCGCCTCATGGGGCTTCTGCGAGGAAGCAGGGACATCTGACTGCCGGCCTGTCAAGGCCGGGTCTTTGCGAGCGAATATGGGGGGCCAGGGTGAGTGAGGCTTAGGGAGGAGTTGTGGGCCGGCCCTGGAGCCAGACCCAAGGTGCATTAGGGGGAAAGTCAAGTCCTGTCAAAAGTCATGCTGTCTCTGCAAGCTTGCCGGTGCGTCTGGGGTGTCGTGTCTGGGAAGAAGCTTCTTTTTCATGCTTTAGAAGCAGATACAGCCCTCGGGGCATGAAAGAAGGGGTATGTGAGTGGAGGGGGGCCATGGACGGTACCAAGTGGGCGCCTACAGCGTTACCGTTGCAGGGTTCAAGGGAAAGAAGACAAGAAACATAAATGGGATGGAGAAGCTCTGCTGGCTCATGGCTCTGGGCTTTGAACGCGAGGCAGTGCCAGGGTTCCTCAGCCTGCGTCGTTATGATAGGGACAGACGACTCACGAGTGAGATACTTAGATTGGGCATTACCCAGCGTCAATGTGCGAGGCAGGGCTTGCCCCTCAGCCCGAAAGGAGGACCGGATGCCAGGTTTTGTTGCAGCCTCGAGATGAAGAGCGAGCGAGTGCGAGTGCGTTCCCAACTGTCAGTGACCTGCCTCGGCTCCCAGACAGCATCTCATTATTATCTTTGCTGCGCGGGCGATGATAACAGACGACGGTGTCAAAGAGGCAAGATGAATCCGAAGTCTTTGCTATTGTTGTCGCCGCCGCACGAGATGGTAGGAATGTAAGAGAGACGGGGTTGAAGTCGATGTCGGATGAAGCAGCCGGCAGGATCGACGCTTCATAGCGCCTCATAGCGGATGCACATCGACGGTGTCTGATGTGACATGCATTGGACTGGCAGTGACTGGAACTAGGTGAGAAGGACAAGGAAAACCATCCGGAGGAAGTATGGAAGTTGGAAGAGACAAGCTTGGCTTCTGGAGTCAGGGGTGAGCAGGGCACGGCTTAGAGGCCGAACCCCCAAGCACTAAAGGGCTTGGCGACAGGAGCCAAGTTGGACCGTCCGTGAAGCCCTCAACTCTGAGTCTGGAAGTCAATGAAATGGGACCCGCGCAGCTTGTCGTATGCATTGCCTTTTCTCAGCCAAAAGGCCCGAAGAACTATGTCAAGTGTGCGGTCTTGTCTTCTCTCTCTGCTTGCTCCCCGATCATTGATCCGATGTCGTTTGTCTTTCTCTGAATCATGGAACTACTTTCGCAAGACCCTGGTTTACGGGTGATGGGAAGAAAGCTTGATTATCAGCCCTCGTCTCAAGCCGACGCTTTGATCTCAGAGGGTTTCCTTCACAGAACTTGAACGAGACCGACTATCAGAAAGATATCTAGAGTCGGGAACTAGAAATGAAATGTAACGAGGGAATGAGCAAGAATAGACGGAACGGCTGCCAGGTTTGCAATGTCTCACAGCCAGTCCGCGTACCTGACATGACTGGGAGCCGCATTGAAAGATCGACTGCTGATGTGCGGCGAACCATTTCGTGATTGATCTGCGCCTGGGGATCCGCCAGCTCGAATTCGGATCAGGTTCGGCTTGCCGCTCCTGCAACGGGCCCCAGCCCAACTCGTGGAACGAGATCGGGAGAACTGATCAGCATATTTGACATCCGCGTACCTGTCCATCGGGGAGCAGTTGGAGGTGTTTGAGTGAACATTTGAACTGGGTCGCATATCGCCCAGAAAGCCCAATATGCGTGATGCGAACATGAAGCCTAAATACCTATAGCATGTAAGATCAAACTCTGGTAGCCTTCCCGCTGGCGGTTGGCGTAGATTTAAGCTTACAACAGCTCTTGCCTCTTTCTCTCATTCCATTCTCCGCCATTGCTTTCTCCGCTGTCTCTCGTCTCACGATGCTTCAAACAAAACACCAACTCTCCTCACTTCATACTTCACGGTAACCCACCTTTTGCTACACTCCGCGATTGCCCAGCAACCCTTCTCAACGGTGAACTCTTATCCTCTCAAGAACGCATGAACAGTTACATTCCTAAAAGCCGGTTGGCTCACAGCCAAGGCATTGGCAAACGTCTCCGACTCGGAGCTTAAACCACGAGAGCAAGAAAACGCAACTGTTTCAACGAGAAAACCTGTCAGCCAAAGCTTCTGGTCTACCACCTTACATACCAAGCTTACCAAGGACAATACAGACTTTAATTATAGGCCCGGAACGTCCAATGCTCCAGCCACCGCCCACGTTTCCCACAACACTGCCTGATCTTCGTCTCAACTATTTGTTTTCCCCCCTGGCTCGCCTGATGTCTTGGATCTTGGTTCAACTCCCGGGCCACATTTGCAAACCACCAATGACACCCCACGACGTGCCCCTCGCCGGTCATGACTGTCACTCCCGCCGACACCCAACTCTGACAAGTTTTACCGACTTCAAGGCAGGCCCGTCAACCCAACAGGTAGCAAGTCCAGTCGTTTGCTCCAGAGGTGCCAAAACAAATGGTTCCGTCCGTCTTTCGTCCGGTTCTCGGCCTTGTCTTGGAAGAGAGAAGCATGAGTTTGCCGCAACCAGTCCGAAGATAAAAGTCCGCATGAATTCGCCGTCCCTGAAACAACCAGCGTCGCTACACCAACTCATCCAGTCGGCTTCAAGCCAAAAAGTCAAGAGAATTTCCGCCCTAAAACACACAATAGAGGGCCCACGAAGTCTACGCAATCATCCAATGTTTCTTCACCACGTCTCTTGGGCTCAAATCGATTTTGTGCATGTACTGCAATTTCTGCATTATGCCTTGCAATTTTGCATTTTGCGAGGCTGTTTCCGATGCCCCGAATAAGGGCGCCCATCTTGATGCCAGTCCAAAAAACGTCCCCTACTTTGTCGTACAATGAAGCCAAGAAGCTTTTTTGGTTGGCTATATGGAAACAAGAAGAAAACCGGCCTAGTTTAATCATCATCCTCGTCTACTCGCGCCCGCTTCGGCTGCCGAGAATCATCGTCCTGAAGACCGTAACCCCTCTTTGACGAAGAGTTTTGCTCCACCTCGGACAGGAACTTGTCCACGTTGAAGGGGTCCCCGGCATCCTTTTCAAACTGCACTGGTCCCTCTCTCGCCTGTGGAAAATGTTTGTTAGCACTGCCCTTTGCTCTCGTTCGAAGTGGTGTACTGACCTCGACATCTTCTGTGCCCTTGAACGTCCCCCTACCCAAAGCCTCGCCGAACCGACTGGTCTTTTGGATCTTGGCCATTTCCTTATCACCTGCTGCCTCGTCGTCCTCATCGTCCATGTTGGCTCGCGGGTTATAAATGCTGCCAATGGCCTCTTGAGCGGCGAAAAGCGGCTTGTCGTAGTGGTTGTCCTCGTTGAAGCCGCTGTCGAAGCCGCTGGACTGGTTGAAAAGTCTCGAGTCATACATGGTTTCCTTGGACTGGGTAGGTTTGGCAAGACCAAGAGCAATCTTTTCCGAAATGTCGCGGTTTTGCTCTCTTGCCATGACCTGCACTCTCCTCTCGGCACCCATACGTGACTGGCGAAGCTTCCTCTCCTCCTCACGCATGCGCTCCTTTCGTGCCTTTTCTCTCTCCCGGATCTCAGAGTCCTCCGAACCGTCTGAGTCTTCCGAGTCTGAGCCGCTGTAGCTGCGTGACCGTGACCGTGATCGTGAGTCCCGTCTGCCGCCGCCGGCCCGTTCTTCGCGAGCCTTCTGGGCCAGCATTCTGAGGTTCTCCTCCTTTTGCGCCTTCTCCTTCTCTGCCAGACGCTGTTGCATGGCTGCACGCTGTCTGACTTCCTCGCGGGCGTGCCTGTCTGCGACGTACAGCGCTTCGGAAAATTGAGCAAACTTGTCGTTGATCGCCACGTCCTGGAGTCCGCGTCCATCGGCCGCTAATCTCTTGTCCAAGGGGACGGTGAAACCCTTCGGGTTCTTCCAGTTGGAGACCGGCGGGGGAATGCGCCAATCCTCCTGGTCCTTTGCCGTCAGCTTCCGTGGCGGCGATCTCAGGACAGGAGGTGGCGGGCTTGGCGGTCCACGGGGGATCTTCTTGTGCTTGAACTTAGGAGGCTCCATCGGGTCCCTTTGCCGCTCTACAATCTTCATAATGCGGTCCTGCTTGGTCGAGTTGTCGCCCATCTGATTTGCTGGCGTGTATCGCACAAATGTCGGATCGTTTCTCTTTCCGACACTGAGCGTCTTTGGCTTCTGGGCGGCCACGGCACCGCTGACCAGTGCTGCCAGTGCATTCTTCGTCTTTTCCGCCGTCGCTTCCACCTCCTCTTGACTGGGTCGGCTCAGGTCGATTTCGCCCGCGTCGGCGCGCTGGCGAAGAGGAATGAGATCCTTGAACGAGGTATGAACGATTCGGTTTTCGGCGTGGCCCTGACGCGCAATGGCCCCGTAGTCGAGCTTGCCCTCGCCGTCGACCTGGATGGCGAGCGCGTTGCTGGTCGTCGCGCCCTTCTTTCCCATGTCGAGCGGGTATTGAGCGATCGGTATCTCGGGGAACGCGCCACCGTCGCCAAAGTCTTCGGGTCCTCGCGGTCGCCATCCTGCTCGCTGTTGGTATGGTGGAGGGCCCGATCGCTTCAGCACGATTTGCGTCTCGTCCAGCTGGCCGGCACCAACGATACGGGGGCCGCGTTGCAGAGCGCGTGAGGGAGCTTCCTCATCTTCTCCAGTGTACTTGGGTTTCGGGAGGGCCGAGGCCAGTGATGCTGCGATCGAGGCCATGATGATCGGCTGCCTTCGTGAAGCTGTGTTTGGATAGAAATCAGAGAGATGTCACCTTGAAATTCGCAAGGCAGGTTATGCGCCTGCTCCGTTTTGGACTAGCGTGGTAATTAAGCGGGTCTGGTGGTCAGTACGTACCTTCACGTCGCTCGCTCCCGTCAGCCTCCCGTTAGCTTTCATCACAACCACTCATCTCCGCTGACAAGTCGAGGAGTTGTGAGTGACACGTCTCTAGGCAAATCTAGTTCCGGAAGAGAGACGAGAGGCACCGGATCGTCGAAAAAGAGAAAGGTTTAAGCATACACCTACGCGCGGCTTCCCGGTTCCCAACGTCGCTAATTCCATCTTCACCGTCTGGTGGCTCTTGGGCGCTTCACCATTGACCATCATATGTTTCCTTTAATATATTTAACCGACCAAAGCCGGAATTACAGCACACTGTATGTGGCAGGACATTAAATCGGTGGCTAATAATACAATGTTGCATAGTCGACCAAATCCATTAGATCGGGTGAACTGGTCCCTTAAAAATAAAAACGGTGGTCTTAACTCCTACAGTGATACCTAAATATATTGCGGCCTTAGAATATGATGTGCATAGGAAATTCAGTATTAGTCAGAATAGAGCGATATAGTACACTCAACTCCCGGCCATCAGGCTGAATCTGATCATGTCGATTTCAAAGTCAACATAACATTGCGACTCTCCACTCTTTAGATCTTGCCAGACAGAGAAGCATGATAGGTTATGATGCCGTCGTGATCTTGGTGCATCTCTAACTCGACCCTGAAAGTGGCGCGGTAATCTTTAACCATGCGAAAGCCACGTTGCCCATCAGTTATCTTCTTGGTGACGAACTCTACCTCCGTAGCCTGAAATCGAGGGTTTGTGCAAATGCTCAAAAGTGCCTTCTCAAATGCCTCTTCTTGCGAACTCCCCCAGTCGAGATCGTCTTTGACAAGGTCCGGAAGTTATTCGGGAGGACGTTTCTGGTCGTCAGTAGCTTGTCAGTGCCCACCAACCGATCAGAACCGTAAAGTACGGCGAAGGGCTGTTGACGCGGACTGGCCCATCCCAACGCAAGAGTCAGAGCAAAATCTTCTTCAAAGTTCCTTTTGGACGTGGAATACGAAAATGTTGGGAACCCTGAATAGGTTCCAGGACGGCTTGTACGTCAACGACCAAGGTTCGCTTCGAACGAAGCCTTCTAGTGTGCGTGTGAGAACAATGCAGACGGGTGTGTCGTGCATTCTAAACCCCAGATACATTACAAACGCCCCGTTTGTATACTTGTACAACTTCGTCTCAAATCGAACACCTTTGTTGGTGAGAGTGAACTCGCTGTGTGAGTCCTGTCTCGTGCCAAACCTTTGCATTGTTGAACAGGAGCTAAACTCGCTTGGCGACCTCGCAAAGATGCCTCTGGACATCTGAGATCCCACAGAACCCTGGGGATGGCCCTTCCATGCGAACAGGGACAGATCGTTCGTCTCTCGAGATATCTCCTCCTGAAGGCGACGGAAGGCCTTGGATCCTTCGCCATATATCATTGGCATATTGATATCGAAAATGCCGAGAAGAGAGTAGGCATGGTCTTCGACACGTTTCGTTTTGCGAGATGCTGCCCAGGACATCTCTACTGCTGTTGGAGTCTGTCGTAAGTTTCAGGAAGACTCTAGAACTGAGCGGCGTATGCCGGTAATTTCTTCCAGCTTATCAAGGCAATCGGCTTTCCGAGAGAACTGCTCCCATTGGGAATCGAAGAAGTCTACCTCGCTCGGAGCAATGAGCTCTTGTAAAGTCCATCCTCGAGTGAACCATCGACAGGCAGCGAATGTCTTTTGGGTGTAGGGAAAGACGCACGTCGTTTCTACCTTTTCGACTAGCCTCTCAAACGCTGGTAAGTCCGACAGGAGGACAAAGCAGACGGCGGGCTCCTTGTACCACGAGAACATGGAATTGATAGCCTCGCTGAGTTCTGCACTGCTCGACTTGTCGATACAGCAAGTGTCCACCCACGCATAGTGAAGGCCTCGTTGGCGCGCAAGTTCACAGGTCTTCTGAATCTTGGAGAACCCGGACTTATGTCTCGCGCCACTTCGCTCGATGTTGTGGAAGTCTTGAAAGGTCACCTCATCGTCTGCCCAGGTATGCGACAGGATGGCATACTTGATCGACGAAGGCTCCGAGACCTCTTCCAATACCAAATTGTCAGTGTTCACAAGCCATATGCTTTCAGATGTTGTTCTTGTGCTGTCCTTTGGGGTTTGAATTGCAAATAACAGCTTACTGTACGCGGTTTCGAGACTGGATAGTGAGAGTGGAGGGAGCAGCGTCAGTCGGGCAACATTGGTGCATCTGAAGGTGGCACAGATGCCTGATTCGCCATACTGCGCCTCGTTCCTTTCAATGCCCTCTTCTGATTTCCCACCTCTCGCTCGTTCTCTTGATAGCAGAACATCTTCTCTTAATATACTGTGCAAAAACCCAAGATACACTGTTCCAAATGGTGTATTTATTGCTTATGCAACTTAGTAGACCAGATGATCATTACCTCAACACGTCAAACCAGCGTCATCTCGGCAACAGCAGAAACAACCAGCGCAATAGAAAAGATTTTCTTCCACCACAGCACGAATACTCGCTCATTAATAATCCTATTTTAGAATCTTGATCTCTTTCTTCTACAATGGCCATTCGGCTTCATTCACTTCGTGACCTAAGTAATGCTTCAGAAACCGCAGAAAATGACACCGCCAAAGCCAAATAAACCGTCACTCTCCTCTCCCGTAGCATTTCTATAAATCTTTTGCTATTCCGCACACTATATCTCATATTTAATCTATGTACTCACACTGATATCTTCAGTAACTTCGTACTACGAAGAAATGGCTGAAGATCCAATAACAAGCTTCCTTTCTGCTCCTACACTGCTCTTACACCGCTGTAAGAGCTTTGGCACTTTCGTGCTTATTGGAATACGAGGGCACAAAAGAGGTAACTTGGAGGCGGTAAGGGCCGTTTGCAACGACTTTTTCGCACCTACTTTGACTTCAAAAGAATCCATGGGCCTCGGTCACTCTTTCCTCCTTCCATATACATAACTACGCCAGTGGCAGATTATTGAGCTCGTACCGGCCCAGAGACCTTTCCCTTCTGGCGTGTATACCAACAATGCCACCAGTTTTTGTCCCAGTCATGAGCAACTCAGCACGCGACTGCCGTTTTCATGGACATGAGGAACAAGATGAACCTCACCATAAGAATCGCAAGGGCTCTACCTCATTCAGATTTCCTTTCTCGTGACCCACTCTCTCGTCAGTTCTGGCTGGATTGTTTATAGGCTGATGGACTTACAATATGGAGGTTTTCGGTGTTGTTTCTATACTATTTCTAAACTAATTGTCATTCTATCCTAGACGAAGAGCCGCAGGTCTAGTTATCCGTGGGAGCTATGTGACTTGTGCACATTTACACTATTGTCAATTTGGCTATCTGTATTTTTCCTGGAATGCCTCGACGAATAAATACACCGAGACCAAGAGTTTGATCTCTCAGAACCGGCAAAGTCACTGGCAATCAATGAAGACAGGTTTCTCACCCAATACAGCCCGGACAAGACTTAACCCTGGCGATCCGCTTTGCGTCTGCCTTGCGACGAGAACTGCGAGGAATGAAACATAGTCACTTTCGTCGGAGTAAGACATGCTTATGGGAATAGATCAAAATTCAGGTTCCAATAGGTAAGTAAGAACGTAAAGTTCGCCATTCTAATGCGTCATGAGATCATCTCACGATCCGCGATCTAAGGTCTAAGCAGCTAATCGAGCCAGCCACTCTTATATACAGCGGCAATATATACATCGAAGTTCGAACACCGCCTAAGATATCCCCGACGGCTTGATTACACAACACCATAAAACAGATATCCACTACTGCTTGCGGCACAACTTGCTGTTCTGCGAAGGCAAGTTGCCCATAATCATCTCCGACATCTCCCAGCTCTCAGACCCAACGCCGTTCTGCGCGTAAAAGACATCGTTGGGGTCATACTTCTTCTTAAGCTCGAGGGCTTTTGCGTACTTTGTACCCCAAAAAGCCTGGGTGAAGTCGGGCTCGATGTAGTCCGACTCGGACATGTACGCGCCCGCGCCGGGGGAGACGTCGCGCCAGCGCTGCATCCAGTCGAACGTGAGCTTGTCGCTGGCCGTCTTGATGACGGTATCGTTGGCGGTCGGGTCCCAGAGGGCGGCGGTGATGCAGTGCATGACGGCCTCGCGCCACGCCGGGTTGACGGCGTTGTCGGGGTACCCCGTCTTGGGCGCCGCCATCATGTTGAAGGCCACGATGTAGCCGCCCTCCTCGGAGACGGACTTGATGGCCTCAAAGGTGGCGTTGAGCTTGGTCTCGTCTTCCCAGTTGGCTCTGGGGAAGAGACGGCTGGCTTGGCGGATGGCGTTGGATCCCCAGGGCTCCAGCGGGAACGAGTTTTGCCAGGCCGAGTAGAAGTTGTCGTACTCGGTGTAAACGGGCTCGACGACGAGGCCTATCGCGGCCCACTTGGCAAAGAGGGGAGCCGCGAGAGCAGCGAGCTCGGTCTTTGTCATGTTGGGTGCCCACCAAGGGCCCATGTCGAAGGCGAAGGAGGTGCCGAGGTTCTGGATGCGGAAGTATCCGTAGTTGGCGTTGTCGACAGCGTACTCGACAAAGCCGTCAAAGTAGAAGCGCAGCGCGGTCCAGAACTGGTCGGTGGTCAAGTTGTCACCGCTGGAGAAGGCAAAGGTCATGGTAGTGATGTTCATCTTGGGCTGTGCCTTGACGACGGCAGAGGTGACAACGCCGTACGTGGAGCCGCCACCACCGCGGATGGCCCAGAATAGGTCAGAGTTCTGGGATTCGCTGGCTGTCACGAAGCGGCCGTCGGCAGTGACGACTTCGAAGGAGAGGACATTGTCCGCCGCCATGCCGTACAGACCGGACATGGGGCTGTGCCCGCCGCCCTGGACGTAACCGCCCATGACACCCACGGTCTGTCCCTCTCCGCCGACAGCGGTGACACCGTACTTGTTGGCAGCCTCGTAGATCTCGTACGCCTGGACGCCGGCGCCGAGCTTGAAAGCAGGACCGCTGTACGAGTCCTGCTGGTAGCTCTCGTAAAAGTCAATGTTCTTGAACTTATGTGTCCAGATGGATAGGGCACCGTAGCCGGTAGATTTTGCGCCAAAGTCATGGCCAGTGTTCTTGACGACGAGGCGGAGGTTGAGGTTGCGTGCAAAGTTGACGGCCAGCTGGACGTGGGCAACGGTGGTGGCCTCGACAACGTAGGAAGGCAGGCCGCCGACCTTGCAGTTGGTCTCGCCGACATTGATGGTAGGGGGCATGCAGTTGAGGCCCTCAAAGAGGACGGCGTTAATGGCCGTGGGGTCCTCGGTGTGGTAGTATGATCCGTTGACCCAGTTGGCGGTCAAGAAGTCGCACTTTGCCTGATCGTAGTTGCCGAAATCATCGTAGCAGACAGAGGCCTCGGGGATGGTTTTGGTGAGAGCACCTCCCAGAAGGAGATTGAAGATGTCCCAGACAAGGCCGATCGGGTACAGGAGGTCTCCGGGATAGGTCTTGCATCGGCCAAAGAGCGATCTCTTTTTGACCGAAGATCCATCCTCGAAGCCAAACAGGGAGATGTTGGACAGCTGGAGCGCTGTGAGGTTGGCAAGGACGGCATCGGTGAGCTGAAGCTTTTCCCCTTCAGAAAGGCCGGCAGAGGTGCTGGCGATGGAGACGTCAGCAACCTCAGCGGCCGGGGCAACAGTCGAGGCGTCGGCGGCTAGAGCGTATAAGTCAGTTACCTCAGTCTTTGAAGGTTTGAATAGACGGTAGAATACTCACCAACTTCTTGACCGTCGACGACGATAGTCTGGGCCGCAGCCAAGTGGCTGACAGACAGCAGAGCCGCCGTCAAGAGGGAACGCATCGAAGACATGGTTACCACGTGGGGTCAGACACGAGTGCTGCCGATGGACGGATGGGGAGCAGTAAGAGACAATCAACAGAGATGGGACGAAGTGCTTCAAATATAAGACCTCGCAGATCTAATTCGCGGTTCTTCCAACGACAACAGCGGGGTGAACGCGTGGAGACCGAGATGAGCAAATGGAACGTTGGACCGTTGGATAATGGGAACAGACGGTAGAGAGGCCGAAGCGGTGGGATACCCGTTTGCAAAGGACGAGAACCAACATGTGCTATGCCACCTAGAAGGGAATCGAACGATGGTCGACGAGGTATAATAGCGGGCAGGAGTGGGCTCGATGGCAATAGTGTTGCTGTACGTCTGGGAGGCATTACCTTATTGCGTATTGATGTAGGTCAAAGCATCCACGGTCCACGGCCGAGAGGCAATGTTTGCAAGGGCTATTCTACACTATCCGTACGGATAGAACCCATACCTTTCTCAGGAGGCCATAAAAGAGGGGGCGTGAAGGCGGCAAAGGGACAAGAACGAGGAAGAGCCCAATATTGACGGCCGAGACTTCTCTCCGGAGCAACTGATAGCGGCGGATGCGTGGCAAGCATCCTTCGCCTGGGGTTCCAGAATTGGTCAAATGTGCTCGTTGATAGCAGGCATTGAAGTGAATCCTACCAGAGACGAGACCCCGTCCGAGGGAGATGAACAATGCTGACCTCCTCGTGGGAGATGATGGGTTAGGGGCAATCCTGGAGGCGAGGTTGCCATGCTCGGAGCTGTGGCCAAAGAGTCTCATGGACTTTGGAGTTAGCACAACACAAAAAGTCACTCACATGCCCACAGAGTACTCAGTAGTCACAGGAGAGAGAGAAGAGGACCTGGCCGGTCCAACAGACCTGCAGCTTCATCTCCACTTGGAGTCGGCACCGGCAAGGGTCCGGTGCGGACTGCGCGTCCGTTGAGTGGCTGGACGTTGCACATCGGAGCCTGGATCTTGGCAACCTTGGCCGAGATGGTGGCCCCCCGCAACTCTTTCGCCCTCAGGGATTATGGCCCCGGCCCTTGCATGTACAGTTGCCAACTCGGCCCTTGGTCTTGCAAGTTGCTGCGAGCCGGCGCAAGGTGGCCGGCCGGTCGGTAGGTTCGCCGTCCTACGGCATGCCAGTGCGCATCAACGGTCAACGGAGCAGGAGTCTAGCTTGGGAAATCCGCTCGGAATGAGTACTCGTCACATGAGATTGTTCAGGCAGGCATGTTTAGCAATGTCAGTTCAAGCCTCGTTGTGTTGACTTTCAAAACTCTGGAATTGGATGAACCGTCTGAGCTGAGAGTAAAGTTTTAGGTAAGGCAACGTCTATTGAGCGAGTCAAGTTGTTACATTCCAACAAGATTTCTGCAACACTCTTGAGCTTCTCGTCTTTTTCATTGCTTCTTTCCTTCTTCGTACTCCACGAAAGGTTCCACTTGGTCCGTTTTGCTACTCATATTTAGGTCCACACGGCCGCACAAGAACATAACCAACAACCAACAGTCCAACGCTAGCTCAGGCGGGCATGTATTTTGTATGGGAGATTTGCATACGCAAGATTCTTCATCGCAAGGATTATAGGCCCCCTCAGCTGTCCGCGGTATCCCAGCCAGTTGCCAGATTTGGCTGGTAAGAAGACAGCAAGGTTGAAGCCGGTCTTACACAAAGTCCCCGAAATCCTTTTCTCGCACAATTCTCCTTGTTTGGTTGGCTCTGGATAAAGAACAGAGAGGTCACCATGTGATCAAGGCACAGTCACTCCTGGCGCAAAGATGAGCGCAAGGACTGCGAACGGTATTTCACTAGCGATTCAGTCATGTACCAAGGGGTCGAGCCTTGAGGATGGCGGAGACACGCTCGATAGAAGAGAGGGATTCTCCATGTTATGACCACGATCCGGCTGTTTCGTTTTGCTCCCGACGTGTTTAGGTTCGTAAAGAACCCATCATCCCTTTTTTTATCTTTCTCTTGAGACGAAAGCTTAAGCCTGTCACGACGACACTGCTGAGTTGTGGATGTAAGTGTGATATGTTGTTGGCCGCCCACATTACGGAAACGAAGACTCGTAGCGACAAAAGGGAGGGCTTACTGAGCGAGCATTCATCCGAAATTGTCAAGAGAAGAGGAAGGGCTTGGGAGAACAATTCTGCGGCATGGTGCAGTAGGATCACCTCGAGGCCGAAACTCCTTCTTTCTTTTTTGTTCTCACTCACTCACACCTTTGCCTGCCGGTTGGTCGGCATGCATGACGTGGAGGGAGAGTGGCCCGGGTGTTGGCAACCCCTGTCCCGCGCAGAATAGATTGAGGGCGAATTAATATATGCTCGGCGGGGGCAGCGGGCTTGCAAATCCTGTCGGACCATCGGGTGCCGCGCCCTGTCTTCCCGCGAGGTGATCATTCAAAGCAAAGACCACCTTTGGATCTCTGCAACAATACGGGTTTTCCGATATCTTATCAGTTTCGGCGCCTTGTTCTGGGGTGTTAGTTGGGGAGGGCAGTGCCATCTATAGACGTTTTGGTGATGGTGGACGTCTATGACAAGTCGATGTCAGATACCAAAACATCGGGAATCTTCAATACGCAGCACGTCACCGAATTCGCGGCAAAGCAAGCAGAAAGTAGGTGTGACAGCACGGCAGTCGTAAAGTTCCCGACGGACCTGCGTCTTTTTTCTTTCTTCTTCATGTCAACGTGGGAAAGCCGAGACACATGGGACTTCCCGTGGGTAATCTGCTGTGCCGCCGGTGGCAATGCATGGATTTCTTCAGGAGACCCGTCAGTTCTTCAGAGAACTTGCTTCAGTCTTCGTCAGCTGTCAACCCAATCCCGTCGGCCTCGCGAGAACTAGAGGCCGCATGCATAGAACTTGGGTAGGAGAGTCTAGCCATATCCGCCAATCTCGGCTTCCGAGTTCCTGCTCTTTCACAAGTATACACATCACTCTCTCGCGTCTTGTCGCCTCCCTTCCCTAACCAAGTATTGAAGAGCGAGACGGGGCCCCTATTCCTACTGCCTATCCGTACCTACAAGCATCCCTACGGAGTACATGCACTTTGTATGCAGAGACTGCAGAAGCAGTAAACACGGCTCGATGCCCAACTCAGCAATTCGCTCAACGGCGGCCGCAGCTGCGCTAGCGAAAAGTCCCAGGTTCGCAAGCTCAGCGTATCTGTAGTGTCGTGTGTAATTCCAGGTTGGTTTCACCTGGTCCGAACTTGCTGCGGAACCCCGGTGTACCTGCATCCCGGGATTCGGCCTGGAAACATGGGTTCGTCGGCCACAGTCCTTAGCCACTAACAACAATTATACGAAGTCACCAACGCTCATCAAGTACACAACTGTGACAACCATCCAAACCCCGGCCTGGGCCCACGAGTGACTGTACGTCAACCTCTAGCCATCGTTCGATAACCCAGAGTCTCCAAGAAAATGCTACTCCGATGAAGCTCCATTGCTCCACGCCTGCCAGATGGCCGCCCGCGATCGCTGCAGGCAACCCACCCTCGCAGTCCTCGCTCACACCCCCAGTCCCACGGTCTGCTCCTACAGGCCGGCCTTTGAGCAGCGAGGCTCGCCTTTAGTTTACACAGCAGCCTATCCGTACAGTCTATTCCTTCTCACCATGGAGCGATAGGAGGGGGCAAATGCGAGCGGCTTCGGGTTCTTTTCCTCGTTGGGCAGCATAACGGGGGGACACATCCGCCCCTCTCTTCCCACTCCGGGCTGGAGTCGCTGGTCTATCCGTACAGCCCGACACCCCTCTCCCCATCTTTGCCAAGTAAGCTTGTTGACGGGAACTCACAGACATGAGACCATTTTGCAACGTCCAGAAGCTGTCAAGGAAGACAATGGAAGGAGTGTAATGGACGGGAAGGTTGCTTTATTAGTACGCCACTGACGCCCGGTAGTCTCAACGGTTACTAGTCATGGCGCTGTCTCTTATTGAGGAGAAGCAAATCTACAGTTTGGGCTCCCAAGCAGCGACATATTCCCACATAGATCGACGGCGGGATGGTGTGGAACTGGGAAGAAAGCCCCAAACATCTGGGTTCTTCCTCGACCCCCCTCAATGTGTGCTCGGGGGCTGTACCTACATCGTTAAGAATTTGACTGCCCAACACAAGGATATCGATCGAACTCTTGGCCAGCGAAGATGATATCCTTGCCAGATGTAAAGCAGCAGGAGCAGGCGCCAAGGGGGTGTGGGAGAAAAAAAGAACCCTGGTGTAGGGATTTGCCAGCACCTCCGTCCTTCTCCCCAAAGAGCAGCTCCAGTTTCTCTTCCCACAGCCGCACCCACATGACTGGTAACAGGATCTGTTTTGGAAAGCCAGGGCCGCCACATTTCGTGTAAAGCTGTTCAGACTCTAGAGGGCAAAGGCCACCGAGAGGTCCTCCTCGATTGGCCCTGCCTGCCTGCCGCTATTCCGTTTCTTCTCCTGTTTCCCGGCCCTGTCTTGCTTCAAGTCTAGGAAGAGGCAGACAGGCTGACCTTTTTCATTACATCTTTGTAGCCAAGTTCTGTCGTCTCTTTTTTGACCTGTGTGGCCACCCCTACCTGAGTTGTACGTCTTTCACTTCAAGACGTGCAAGAAGAGTTTGAATAAAAAGGCGTTTCCTTTGCAAGCAAGCTGCATTCTTACCCCAGGAGGGCAATGGCATATAGAATCTACCTCTATCCCCATCCTGTCTTTCTGAACCGTTTCCCACGCCCTCGCATCAGATATCTGACCCCCGTTCGTTGGTCAAGGCTCTCTTGAGCTTGAAATGAAAACTGGTATACACCTTGGCAGAACTCTCAATCTGACGAAGATCGAGGACGTCCAACATGTCTCAGGCCGTAGCGGCGCTGGTCCACGCGGCTCAGTTAAGGGACACAAGTAGCACCTCGGCGGCGCTACCACCCATCACCGACGACTATCCGTACCCTTATTCCTCTCTGCAACATACCGGTTTCTTTGTGCTATTCTTCTTTCCGACGATTGCTCTCCTCGTGGTAGGCCTACGGGTGTATAGTCGAGTCTCAACCAAACAATTTGGCTGGGGTCAGTTGAATCCAAGACCTCGATCTGAGTTGACATCCTCTCCCAATGAACTGTAACTAATCTTTGCCGATGCAGATGATGGCTTGATTTGCTTTGCCATGGTAAGTCTGACAGCTCGAATATCTCACCTCCCTAAGTAGTTACCAACATTGAACCCTCCAGGCAGATTCCATTGCCGAGACGGCAGCATCATACATGGGAATGCGGTTAGGATTCATCGGCATTCACGTCAGCGACATACCCCTCGAAGCCGACAGCCGCCTCGGGAGCCTCTGGAACTACATCATCCAGCTGCTGTACAACCCAATTCTGGCCATCGTCAAGACGTCGGTGCTCATGTTCCTGCTGCGGCTCAGCGGCCAGAAGAGGTCGGTCCGGTACGCCATCCACGCGCTTAACGTCTTCAACATTGCGCTCGGCATCGCCATCTTCACGACGATCATCTTCCAGTGCCAGCCCATCAGTTACTTTTGGGAAAAGGCGGGTCGGAACCCGCCGACGGAGGGCAAGTGTATCGACATGGCCGCCTTCTACGTCAGCACCGCCTCCCTCACCATCTTCACCGACGTGTTGGCCCTAGCCTTGCCCTTTTGGATCTTCCTCGGGCTCAAGATGCCTCTCCGCGTCAAGATGGCGCTTCTTGCAGTATTTGGGCTCGGCGCTGTGTAAGTCACAAGGCCATGACATATGCAACTTCCGGGCATACCTCCCCTTTTGCTAATACACCTTCATCTCGTAGTGTCACCGCCGTCAGTGTCCTCCGCCTCGCATGGCTAATCGAGATATCCTATCACATCAACCAGCAAGACCCGACCTACGACATCCGCTTCACCTACTCCGCCGTCGAAACGAACCTAGCCATCATCACAGCCTCTGCTCCCGCGCTGCGCGGCCTCTTCCTCCGTTGGTTCCCCAAGTTCTTCGCCTCCCTCAAGAGCTCCTCCAACGGTCGCTATGGAGGCGGCTACGTGCGCAGCGGCGATCCGACCAAGAAGTCCCGCAACACGGTGGCGACGGCCACGGCCACGACGGGAACCAGAGGCCGCTCGAATACCGCGCGCAACGCCGCCGACGCGTTTCAGCTCAAGAGCATGAAAGGCCGGTCCGAGATCCGGGGCCACTCACCCACTACGAGCGAGGAGGAGATTATGACGTACGACGGGATCATGCGCACGACGGAAGTGAATATCGTGTACGACGAACGAAGGGATTCGACGCCGCGTGGGGGTGGCGGGAGGAGAGATGCTGCGCCTAGGGATAGGGATAGGGATGCGGGTGCGGGCAAACGCGATTACGACGCAAAGCTATATTCGACGACCAGCTCGGGAAGTTTCTGAAGAAGTGAGGGCGGGAACCTCGTCTGCCTTTCTGATGCAAGTTGCTTTTTTAACTATTGATGACCATGTATACAAGAATACCAAACCACATAGCGAATTCGTCCTATTGCCACCTCACTTTGAGGTGGGATGCGGTGGGCGTGAACGAACAATTAGATAGACCAAAGACGAACCCTCCACTGGGACTGCATGTATTAAGATGCTGTGTTATAGCATCAAGCTGACCCAGGAAACAGAAATAGAGAGTTCACGCACACACCCCCACCTGGAAACTGTTGTCACTCAACTTGACACTTGCTCAATGGAACCTCATCGCTTCGACATTGCACGAATGGCCCATATCAGGGCTGTTCTATTGCCCCCCGCATGATTTGGGCTGACGAGTCTTCGCGGCTCTGCAACCTGTAAGAGAGTTTGCAACCTCCAGCGCCCCCGGTTTTCGACTACACATCAACCTACATGAATCGCAGAATGTAGTATTTCGAGCAAAATGCCTTGGAACGCAGCGACAATGACAGAGGGGCTTTGCGGCTGTAACAATTCACCCGCCGGAAGGGATAAGAGAGTTGAGCATGGTAGCAACCGCCACCTATCCGACGATGACGGTTTTCCCTGTCGCGCCATTTTCAGAGAGAGAGAGTCTAGCTGCCTCGTTTCTTCCCTTTTCTCTTTCGAATGAACAGTCACAACGCCCTTGTCACCTACTCCACGGATGGAACGACGATGCCATCCGGAGCGGAGAATCTGGGCCGGGTATGAAAGACCACTTTCCAACTTTCAAGTCTCGAGGAATGTTCCTAGCGATATTGCGCATGCCGGACCGAGTCGTGGCATTGCGCCATCCTTCACTCTCACTTTCTATGTGCCTTATCTTTTTGGAAGGGCCCCAAGCTGTAATCTTACGAATTTTCTCATCGTCTACTCATCAGTTGGTAGAATTGGTACTTTGCGAATTGAGTTTTGCCCGTCCAAGGCACTATTGCTTCTCCTGCTGAACTCTGCATACGCCGGCGCTGTATCTGTACCAAGTTCTGAAATGCTCGTATCAAGCTCTGATAGATAAATCTATGGCAGGGTTGTTGACTGGCGCCTCTAACGTTTCTTCGTATGGGAAGCTGCCAAAATCTTCCTCTGCATGAGGTAGGGCAGAAGATAGGCTCCCCGCTACGCAAGCCATACTCGAAGAGAGGATGGGGTCGGATGATCGCATGCGGTCCTGGCGAGGGTCTCCCTGTGCATGCTTTCGAGCTAGAAGGGCGCATGTCCAGCAGGCATTGGCACGGATAATGTAGGGCGCAAAGCTTCAGGTTCACCGCTGAAGAGAACATGATCGGCCTAGGCACCGTGTCTCGATCAGTGCTAGCCGCTCGTATCTCTCCGAAATGAATTTCCCCAGAGGAGTCGTGGTGCGGTATCGAGGTACAAAAGTACTAACTTTGCAGCCAGACCACGTTGTCAGATAGCTGTGATGAAAGATAACGTTAGACCTGGTGCGAGATATCGCGAGCTGTGTAAAACGGGGCTAGGAATCTTGCAGTGTAGGCGGAATATGGTCGAAAAAATTGCCATGACTCGACGTCAAGGATCGAGGGTTGACGGCATTGTTCAACCGTGGCTCGTACCACCAGCTACGGGTCGAGAGGGAGCCCTTGAAGCCTAGAAAGACGAGAAGATAATACCGCCTGAAAGGGCGATGCGGTCGTTCCCTCTTGCCTGCCGCCGAGTCTTTCGGCACGAGGCGTTGCGCAGCCGCATACCTGTCAGTCGATCATTCAAATTGGGGACGATTCCAGAAGTTGAGGCGAGTCTTCTTTTGGAACGTCAATGCTCACGGGCTGGGCCCCCCATCGATCCCATCTTTGCAAGTTGTTCGGAACCATCCGTTCCGCTGGATTGAGGCTTTGATGGACATGTTCATCTGAAGTTGAAAAGAAAGTTGGATGAAAGCCGTGATGAAGTCAGGAGCAAGCCTGAGGTGGAATACCTCACCTTCGGTATGCATTAGATGAGGATGATGTAATTATGCGAGTTGGCCCAATTGGGTGTCCCGCAACGGTCGGGTCGCGAACCCCACCGCGGGGTAGTCGACGGTACCAGAGCTTTCCATGTAATTGAATGATATCCAGTTCGACACGTTCACTATACGCCTACATTAGAGCGGAACCCAGCCAGAAACAGAGAAGGCTCGCTATTTTATTTTAGACACCATCCTCCTACACTAAAACTCACCTGCTATTCCCCAACATGGCGGGTAAAGATGTGGTTGTGACCGGAGCCACTGGTCTCCTCGGAAGACAGGTAGCGCGGGCGTTTGACATGAAGAGTTGGAACGTCAAGGGTACGGGATACTCTCGCGCTGATGGCGTCTCCGTCTTCAAAGTCGAACTCGGCAAGACCTCTGATGTTGAAAAGTTTCTTGATGAATCCAAGTAAGGCCACCTTCATCATGCTGATAGCCTGTACCATACCTTACTGACGATCATGGTAGGCCTCAGGTAGTTGTGCACTGTATGTACACCAGCATCCTCTGCATAAGACAAAAAAATTCAGCACAAGCTCACACAATAGTATAAACAGGCGCCGCCCAGAGGTTCCCAGACAAAGTGGACAGCGACCCGGACGCCGCCCGCGCCCTCAACGTCGTGGCCACACGGTCTCTCGCCAAGCTCTGCGCCGCCCGCTCGACCTTGCTCATCTACATCTCGACCGACTACGTCTTCTCGGGAAAGCAAGGTGACGCCCCCTACGAGGCTGAAGCGGAGACGGGGCCGACGAACCTCTATGGCCAGACCAAGCTGGACGGCGAGCGCGCCGTACTGGAGGAGTACAGGGCTGCCGGCCGCGCGGGGCTGGGTCTCGTCCTTCGTGTGCCTGTGCTGTACGGAAAGGCGGACACGCCGGCGGAGAGCGCAACCAATGTTCTCATGGACACGCTGTGGAAGACGCAGGACGGGGGCGCCAAGGTGAAGATGGATCACTGGGCGATTCGGTACCCGACCAACACGGAGGATATTGGGCGCGTGTGTCATGGTAAGTCGCGAGCTGCTTAACGAGAGCAACGAACGTACATGGCTGACGAGGACTGCAGATATCGCCGAAAAGTACCTCGGGGCCGAGGACCGTAGCTCGTTCCCCAAGATCCTGCAGTTTTCCAGCGAGGACAAGATGACAAAGTACGAAATTTGCCAAAAGTTTGCGGATATTATGGATCTCTCCATGGACGGCATCATTGCGAACACGGAGGGCAACGACCCGAACGCGAGTGTCCAGCGGCCGTACGACTGTCATCTTAGCACGCGGGCTCTCAAGGACCTGGGTATTGATGTGTCGACAAGTGACTTCATCGGGTGGTGGAGGCGCGAAGTGCATGCTTTCCGGCACTGAACGTGGGTTCATCGTGTCTCACTGGGATAAATGTGTATATCTGAACAATCTCGATGCGCAGATTCGAACTCGACTAGACTTGCATCGAGGGGAACGCTGTGATGGGGCGTAGAAGGCGGTGGCTTCACGGGACAAGGGCCTCTTTGGTCACAGATATGGTGTGCCCGTGTCTCCTCGGTTTTTCACAGGAAGCTTACCTGGTGTTGAATCGCAACGAGTCGATACAAAAATAGAGACATCAACAAGTGGCATATCTGAGTTTAGGCTATTGGTTTGTCTCATGCGGCTATACCCAGCAGTAGTCACAAAATGCGAAAGAGAAAAGTAACAAGGAAGAAGAATTAAGAAAGAAAAAAATGATCAACTGTAGAACCAGGATTTGGAAGCTTCAGTTCAAGTAAAGCCACATTTGAAATTACGGGTGTCTTGGTTCCTACGATCCGAGGATCCCACCTATCTTCATTCCTTTTGACTATTGAGCTTGGAGGAGGTAAATCTAACTTATAATTCGCGATCATGCGTACATTGAGTGGCCCCAGACATGAAGAGAATGAAAAGAGGTAGAGGCACGATGAAGTGTGTGAATTTGAATCGGGCGGGTAAGGTGTCTCAACGGGCGACAGAATTCTGTCGGTTCATCGCGGATGCTTCCAGGGCATCATGCGCAATATGACAAACAACGCGAAGCAATCTCATTAATCACGAAATTCGCATCTCGCTGAAATTACAATCCTGATTACACGGGCTCACCGCTCACGGAGGATTCTGCCCAGGCCGAGATCGCGTCCATCATGGAGGAGAAAGTGTAAACACTGACACGTCAAGAGGGAGTCGGGGTCTGGTCAGGAATGCAGTGCTTGCCCGTTCCTGAACCACAATCCATATTCAATTGGGGGTGCAAATTGGATGAAGCTTGACTGGCATTCGGCAAAGGACGTGCGGCGTCGCGCTCTCGGTGTGCTTTGCATGCCTCTGGAGACACATGGACCCCTTTCATCAGCTGACGCGTGATCTACTGGATAGTCCACAGGTAAGGTGAGATACCTGAGGTGAATAGAGAAAGGATGAGGCGATTGCTGGGAGAGATGTAAAAAGTCTCCCTTGCCTGCCGTCTTCTTGGACCCCGACTTATGGGAAGGAGAGGTCTTGCCACATTTTCTGTTTTTTCCCCTTCCTTCTTTCCTCCTTCGCTCTTTGCTCCTGGTTCCGCCTGTTCGCTGCCTGCATCAACGTCCATCATTTTTCTTGTACGACACAACGTCTAAATTTCTTCATCATCGTCAACTTTCTTTGCTTATTGTTTCAACTCACAAAGTGCTACTATTGTAGCCATCTAATCTAATCAATATTAACTCACATCTTATTTTTACCTTTACCTTTTGCGCGAACCCCCGTCAAAGATTTCCCTATCCGGGAACCGAGGAGACCGAAAAAAAAAAACAAGTTTTGTCGGGACGGACCACCAGCCCTATCAATCCCATCTTTCGTTATCTATCACTTGCAGGGAGATCTGCAGGGTCCTGGGGCAGCACGGCAGCAGCAATCAAAGGAAGGGGGAAATAAGGGCAAAGGCTGCAAGATAACGTTCAAGTGTTCCCTGTTGGGCTGGGGGCGATCAGCTCGGAGGGTTCCAAGGTTCCAGCGGACTGGGCCGCAGCCGCACAACGCCGTCGCCGCTACCATCGACGCCATCGGACGAGAAAATCCGGGGTTCTGATCTCAAGGCCCTGTCTAGCATCGCATCGCATTGTATCGCATCAGGCGAACGGTTCAAGGGACAGGATAGCGACGACGACGAAGGCGACACTGCCGAGGAAGAGAAGGGGAACGAGCTCTGAAAACGAAATAACACAATCACTTGACACACAAATCGCGCACCCACACCCATCCCCCCACCCACAATGGAAGGGTTTCCGCGTATTAATCGCACCATGTCGGCAGGCCCAGGGCCACCGAAATCACCTGCGCCGCATCCACCCCGACGAGGCCAGAGCGTCACCGCCGGGAGGCTCACACGGTACAGAAGCGTGCGGGAGCACAAGAGTGTGCTGGACTTTGGACGCAACTGGCGGGACTGGGAGGTGGATATTTTCCAGGACGACGAGACGGTGTCCAATGCAACGACCGAGACGGGCACCGCGACAAGCATTGCGCTGGGTCTAGGCATTGGAATTGCCGTGGATGAAGAGGAGGGAGCCGTTGGTGGTGGTGGCGATGATGGACAGGCATCGGTCTCGTCGCCGCATCGTCATGATCAGTATGGGCAGCAGCAGCAGCAAACCCCAGCTTCATCATTAAGGAGGAGGCGCACGGCGCCGCTGCTGTCGACGTCGGTGCCGCAAACACCGTCGGGAGCACCGCAGTTGACAATGCAATGGCAGTGGCCCGATCTCATGGCCGGTACCGGCATCAGCGACGCTTCGTCTCCGTTTGATTTTGAGAATTCTCCGGTCAGTAGCGGTGGTCGCTGTGCAGCAACATGGGAAGTTGAAGGCCAAGGAGGAGGGCGTAGTGCGAGTTATTATTGTCGTGGGGGTGGTGGAATTGGCACTGATATTGGCAGTACTGGTGCTGGAGATGGTGTGGTTGGCGGTGGAAAAAGAATGGTGGTCCCAGCCCCTCCCGAATCCCCCGTGCGGTTCAGCTACCCCAATCGACGGCGACCAACCAAGACGGCCCCCAAGGCGGACCTGGACGACAGCTGGAGCCCCTTGCATGGAAGCTCGTCTCCTCCTTTTTTTTCTTCTTCGCCGCCTTCTCTGTCTCCGAAGTCCCCTACGACCACGACTACAGATGCCAGGTCCTCTCCTCCTGCAGGCGGTGGTCGTGCCAGTGGTGTTATTACTGGTGCAACAACAGACGCATGCGGTCCTTATGGCCCCAGACCCCCAAGCGAACCGGGTTCCTTATTCTCCCTAGCGCCATCCTATTCCGGGTCCACGTCCCCAGCCCCAGGGGTTCCAGGGGTTTCCTCCACTCAGGCCGCCCCTTTGTACGCCTTGAGCCCCTGTCCGCCGGCCCCGTCTGCAGGATCAGCGTTATTACCACCAGCATCAGCGTCAGCTGCTGATGCGTCTGCGTCTGCGTCTGCGTCTTCTGCTTCTTGGTCTGCGGCACCGAAACCGAACCTCGTCGGGCATGTACCACAACCGCCAACATCGCTGACGACAGTACCTCCTACACCACCACGACTACCCACAGTCCCAGCAGTCCCAGTCGTCCGCGCATTTGCACTTGCGCCTGCGTCTGCGCCTGCACCAGCGCCAGGAGAAGGATCCCAAGGAACGGCACCACTTGAACCAGCTACACCACCGCCGCCAGTACCGCATCACCCTCCTCCTCCTCCTCCCCCTCCACCACACTCGCTTTTACATCCAACACAACCATCTCCTCCTGGAATAGGACTGGGACTACTTCCGTTGCCCTTCCCGGCTCAAGGCCAAGCCAAAGCCCAAGCCCAGGCACATCATACCCGAGCACGCGACCTCGTCCCGCCTCCCGGTCCCCATCTGCGCCCTCGTTCGCACAATCCAATCTTGGTTTCTTCCCACTCGTCATGCGCCGACCTGAAGCTCGCTGCCAGGGCTGAACACGCTCGCTCTCAAATTATCACCAAGCTCGCTCTCCAACCTGACTCCCATAACAACAACGACTACACCTACACCAACAAGGAGGACCTCATCCGCAGCAATAACCCCAACTGGGACCAGCAGCTTGCCCGTCAAGAGGAAGATCGACAGCGCCGGCGCCACCAACAACACCAGCAATTGCTCGCCCAGGAGGAAGAAGAGCACCGACGTCGCAAGGAACAGGAAGAGGAGGACGCTGCTCGCTGGGCCGAAGAGGTTGCTCGTCTTGAAGCAGAGACCGATCGCATCTTGGCAGATCAAAAGGCAAAGGACCTCGCAAGACTCCAGGCTCAATTGGCCGCCGTACCCGACGCACCAGCCTCCCGTGTCCGGAGCCCTATTGTCGACAAGTTTACCTTCTTCTTGAGAAAGGGGCGCAAGACCGAACCTGCGAATACCCTCACAAAACCTCCCTCTCAATATTTTCAACCCCTCACCCTCGATCACAGGCCCGTCAGTGTCATGGACCCCTCCCGCTTTATACAAGCCGGTGGCGGCGGCATTGTCCCCCAGACAGATGCCCCAACCTCTGCTAGCAATGCCGGAGAACGCGTTAGTCTTTCCCTCACTCCGACCATGCATGACCCTGATCTTCATCTTTTTGCTAATGCTCTTCTCAAAGCGAGTGACGATACGTTGCATGCAGTCGTCAATCAGTCTTCCTGTCACCCCCGATACTACCCCGAGTGAGATTCTATACTCAGCCGCCAACCTCATGACTCACAACATCAACCCGCAAACCAGTGTTGTGCTCGAGTGCTATTTCGCTTTTGGTCTGGAACGTCGCCTGAGACGCTATGAGCCTGTGGCTCTTGTGATGAACTCTTGGGACCGCGATACGCAGCACTGTCTACTCATCGTACCGGGTGAATCCACGGACAAGAACCCCGACCTGAACCTCGAAGGTGTGCCCCGCACTATCGATCCGCCCCCAGGTCTCATCAACTTCGCGCTATACCACTCTCAGCGGCCCGGTAAATGGAACAAACGCTACGTCACGCTCTTGGAGACTGGGCAAATGTTTTCAGCCAAGAAGAAGGATGCCAAACTGTCGGACAAGGATGCCGTCTCGCTGTGCCATTTATCCGACTTCGACCTGTATACCGTCACCGAAAAGGACATGCTGAAGCAGATCAGAGCTCCAAAGAAGAATTGCTTTGCGGTCAAGAGTCAACAGAAATCAACAGTCTTCCAAAATACGGAAAACTTCATCCACTTCTTCGCCACGGATGATCTAAAACTCGCGGAAGACTTCCAGAAAGTCATTCAAGGGTGGCGTAGTTGGTACATTGCGAACAAAATTGTCGACCTCAACAAGAAGAAATCATCTTCACATAGCGGCAATGCGAGAAACGGAACGAAAACAGGCGGTGGCGGTCTTACAAGAAGCGGCACCTTGCACCGGCCCCGGGCATCCGCCGACGAGACGCCATATACCATTGGAACTTTCTCGCCGCTCCTGGACATGAACAGTTTCGAGAAACCGATTGACGATTTCGGGAAGGATTTGGACAACAAGCCGACGGCTCGACACGCAGACCATCACTCTACACCCAGACACACCCAATCCCAGAAGGTTGTCTCCCGATCCAGGACAACGCCGAATCTGTCGCAGCCTCACACAAGGCGACTCATCGACCCCTTTGCCAAGGACGAGTTCAAGTCCGGTGGTTTGTTGGGCCAAGCGTACGAGGGGCGCAAACAACAAGCAGAGAAGGCTGCTCTCACCGCAGACCATCAACAATACGCAGTCGAAAGTCCGTTTACCGGGGGGCACTCGCTGCTCGGCCAGTTCCCAGAACACGAAAACAACGGGATGCCGCAGAGAAGAGGCACGGTGCGTTCGTCTCGTCCCACGGCGACAGACCCCATGCCTCAGCCGCGGAGTCGATCACGGCCTCCCGCCGCACGTCCGACCACCTCATCGCGTCCCAAGACATCAGATGGTGGGTCGTCTTCAGGAAAACGAGAGATGCCGCAGCCTCTTGTCGACCTCACGCCCAAGGTGCCCGATTTACCCGCAGCCTGGCGAGACGGCCAAGGTCGCGGTGTACGTGTACCTACCGGAAAGCCCCTGATCGAGATGGCGACGGGCTTGGAACTTCCAGACGGGCACCTAGGGCCGCAGCTTCCAACCGTTACCCGCATGGGCACGGCAAAGGCGTACCCTCCCCAGCGCATGGCGTCGCAGTCGGCCGCTTCGAGACCGAGGAGTCGGTCCACAGCAGGCGGCGGTGCCGTACGTCGCGTGGTTTCCAACGAGCAGCAGCCTCCCATGCCCTCCATGCCGAGACGATCGTCAAGAAGAGATGACGAGGACGTTCCGCTCATCAACTTTGTGGAACGCGAGAGGGGTCGAGATACGAGGCCTCGCATGTCACAGGGCATGTCGCAGGGTCTCGGGCGAAGTGGTACCGTCAGGCACTGAAGGATGACGAGAGCGTATGGTGGCGCTCGGCTGAAGATTGGAAGTAGCCACCAACGCTGTAAGACCAAGAGAAAAAAGAAGAGGGAGAGCGAATCTTGCAGTGGACGCGATTTATGCGCACAGGGAGATGTCATTTAACATGTAAGATACCCGGATGTCGATGCGACTAGCATGTCGGTCTGCAACAAAAAGCTTTTGGAGAGGGAACCCAAAAAAGATGGCATATTTTGTTTTGTCTAGTCATCTTATCTATCGGACTAGGCCATCTTTCTAGTCAGGAACGTTTTTCTTTTGTTATCTCTTAATACGGAAACTTTTTCTTCTCCATACTTTCTAACGGTTCTATTGTTTGAGTTGGTGTCATCATCGTCAATCAATTGGACTCTGGTATCTATCTTCTTTCTCTAATTTGTTTTCTTTTCACGGCTCCATTTGTGCCACACGCAGAAATCCATGATGCCCGCCAAACAGAAACACGCGCGCCATCTGCATTAGTACCTATACTTTGCGGTTTGGAAGTAGTTTATTTGGAGCGCTTGTAGATCTTGGCCAAGAAGATTTCAAAGATGCCCTTCTTGAGGCCCTCGCTCTCGTCAATGTTGTTAATCATGTCCTTGATCTCGCCGGCGCGCTTCTCCTCGAACTCCTCGAAGCGGCGCTTGAGCTCCATGTCGTCAAAGAGCTTCTTGATGACGGCCTCCTTGGCCTTGTCCTTTTGGCCGTAGTTGTCCTCGAGGATCTTGCGCTGCTCGGGGGTGGCGATGGCGAGGGCCTGGTTGACGAGCCAGCTGCACTTGTTGTCCATGATGTCGGTGCCGATCTTACCAATGTGCTCGGGCAGGCCAAAGTTGTCGAGGTAGTCGTCCTGGATCTGGAAGTACTCGCCGAGGGGGATGAGGATATCCTCTGCCTGCTTGAGGTTCTTGGGGGTGGCGATGTTGAGGCAGTGGAGGGCGAGGGCGACGGGGAGGTAGAAGGAGTAGTAGGCCGTCTTGTAGACGACGATGAAGCGGTACTTTTCCATGGAGAAGTTGTCGAGGTTGACCTTTTCCTCGGGGGCGGTGAGGAGGTCGCAGAGCTGGCCGAGCTCGGTCTGGAAGGTGACCTCGTGGAAGAGCTCAAGGAGGTCGACGTAGGAGGCGTGCTCGCGGAAGAACTTCTTGAGGAGGGTGTAGATGGCGGCCTCGAGCATGAAGGCGTCGTTGATGGCGACCATGCCGACGCCCTCGTGGCGGTACCAGCAGGGCTTGCCGCGGCGGGTGATGGAGCTGTCCATGATGTCGTCCGAGACGAGGAAGAAGGCCTGGAGGAGCTCCGTCAACCAGCCGAGGGTGGCGGCTTGGAAGTACTCTTCCTCGGAGAGGGGCTTGTCGAGGAGGAGGGAGACGGAGTCGGGGACCGACATGCCGCGGTTGCATTTTCCGCCGAGGGTGTTGATTTCAAGACTCTGGCGCACAGGAAAGCTGTTAATCTTTTGGTGTTCTTCTTCTCTGACAGTTTCTCCCTTTTTCTATTGCCATTGAGAATGAGGAGGACGCGGCACACATGCGCTCACGCGCATAGCCTCATACCAAACCATTGAGACAGTAGAGTAGTGTCCAGGGGTCGGTGTGGCTAAATGCTTGCCTTCTTATACCACGCCAGCTCCTCCTTGGGAAGCTTGTACTTTTCCGCATGCTCGAGGAGGACCTCCTCGAGCTTGGGGAAGACCGACTCGAACTCGGTGAGGGTAGTCTTCTTGGCCATCTTGTTCTGATTTTGCGGTGTGGTCTGAGGCCGGCTCGGCGGGGTGGCTGGATTGGATCAGGGGTTGCAACGGTCTTTTGGAGGCGTTCGAGGTTAGCGACGAGGGCGAAAACGGAGTGGAGGTATCGTGGGGAAGAGGGGAGAGAGGGGGAAAGGAAGAAGCAAGGAGACAAAGGTGGACGAACAATGGCAGCGCGAGTGGTAGGAAGAGGGAGACAGAGAGAGGTTGGTTGGGAAATTTACTTACTAGGCAAGTTTGCGATAGCAATCCGAAATTAATGCGCCCGCGTCAAATTAGAGCCAACTCGTACAAGATGAGAAAGAAAGTGTACCCCTCATCCGATCTTCAGTTGCTATTTTGGCAGGCGGTGGGGGGGCGATTTCCCAGACGGTCCCTGATGTTGCCGGGATAAGTGGGGTCTCGGGATGACAGGCGACCCACGACATCCAATTGACTTCCGCCTCAAGCACCATGGCGGGGTCCCCATTACCTAAGCTCACCAAACTTTACTGGATTGGCCGCTACGCACGCTGCGTTGCTCACCGTCGCGGTCAAGTACACCGTAGGTCACTTTAGCGTCGTCGCGCCCGTCGCGTGGTGGGAATCCTTGGGTGGACCGCTTCCTTTTCTGCCGTTAAGCTTTACTACGTCAGGACAAGGAAACACAACATTCGCATCGCCAATTCCAGCAACCCTGCATCTCTGTATCTCGTCTCACAGCCCTCACTTTGCGCCTTGAAGCTGTAGACAGTAAACTCTAGAAGCGACTGGTCCGTACGTTAGCTAAGGGCGCTCAATTGGACGTTGCTTCGATTTACTCCCCTACGAATCGGAACCTGTGCGACGACAAGACGACCCAGCTCTTGCCCCTCTGGCCGGGGATGCGCAGAGATGTCACTGAACGAGAATGAGCTGTCGCAGCTCCGCGAGTCTCTGCAGGATGCTGTCGTCAAGTGCTCCGAGCGGTGCCTGTACTCCTCTGCGAAATGGCAAGTTTCTCGAGGACCCATTGCGAAAGAGACTCCACGGCTGACCTCGATCCCAGGGCCGCAGAGCTTCTCAACGCCATACCCGAGCCTTCGAACGACGCCGACCCTGCCGTTACTGATACCCAGCACATCCCGACGGTCTTCACCGTGAACGCTGACCCCGAGGAAGCCCTCCTCGAGGCCAAAGAGATCAACAAATACCTGCTGGCCAAGACCCTCTTCGACTCAAGGGAGTTTGACCGCTGCGCCGCCGTCTTCCTACCCGATTCTATACTATCCGGTGTTCTGAGCTCCAATGCAGATGGACCGCCGGGGGCGTCCAAGGGGAAGTCAAAGTCAAAGACGAGAGGGGACGCCGAGACGACGAGAAAAGCCGGCGGCAGCAGCACTGAGCTGCCCCGGCTCAGTCAGAAGAGCTTGTTCCTTGCCTTGTACGCAAAGTTCATGTCCGGGGAGAAGCGCAAAGACGAGGATTCGGAGATGGTCATGGGACCCCAGGACCTAGGCAACATCGTCAATAAGCAGTTGAATGCTGTCAGCCGGTTCCTCAGCAACTGGTTCGACGAGCGGACGACGGATGACGGGGATATCCTCGGCAGCCAGGGTTGGCTGGAATACCTGTGAGTAGGCGGCAAATCTTACTCTTCTCTCATCTCCTCACGTACATCTGCTTACCGTGGATAAGATATGGCATGGTTCTCGCAAAGGAGAAGAACGAGGACAAGGCGATGGATTACTTTGTGCGAAGCGTCCACCTGTACCCTATGAACTGGGGCTGCTGGCTGGAAATGACCCAACTCATCTCCCGGATAGACGATGTAAGTTTTTGATTCTGTCGATACGCCCTAGTCGCCAGATCAAGCTGACAAGTGCACAGTTGAGTCGGATTGCCGAGCACCTCCCGCAAAACATATTGTCCTTCATCTGGCACCTCTACACCTCGCTCGAGCTCTACCAGGCTACACCCGAGCTCGCCAACTCGTTGGACTCACTACTCGGAATCTTCCCAAACTCATCCTTTCTTCTCACATGCAACGCCATGCTGTCATATCATTCAAAAGACCTCGTTGCCGCTGAACAACATTTCAGTCGATTGCTGTCACTCCACCCCCACCGACTAGAGTCACTAGATCACTACTCCAACATTCTTTACGTCATGAATCTGAGGCCAAAACTTGCGTTCCTTGCGCACCTCTGCTCGAGCATCGACAAGTTCCGGCCAGAGTCTTGTGTAGTGGTGGGCAACTACTACTCACTATTATCTATGCACGAAAAGGCAGTGCAGTATTTCCGGCGAGCGTTGACTCTTGACCGGACATGCCTCTCAGCATGGACACTAATGGGTCACGAGTACGTGGAGCTGAAGAATACCCACGCCGCAATAGAATCGTATCGACGCGCCGTCGATGTCAATCGCCGGGACTACCGAGCTTGGTACGGCCTTGGCCAGACGTACGAAATGTTGGAAATGCACACCTACAGTCTATGGTACTACAAAAAGGCAGCCGGGCTTAGGCCCTGGGATGGAAAGATGTGGCTCGCCGTTGGATCGTGTCTGCAGAAGATGGGGCGCGACCAGGATGGTATCAAGGCGCTGAAAAGAGCTTTGCTGGCAGACGCGTACTACGACGTTGGAAGCAGCTTCGGAAGCGGAGGGGATTTGCTCAACGGCCGTGGCGCGACAGGTCATCTGGACCCGGAGCTGCTCTTCCAGATTGCAAGCATGTACGACCAGCTCGGCGAAGAGGAGGAATCAAAAGCCTACATGGAACTTTGTCTCGCTCAAGAGGGCGGGGAAGCCGCGGACAATGTCTTGAACGATTCGATCGCCATACACAACGACTCGCCAGGCGCATCTGACGACGAGGGTAACGGTGATGGTCGCAAGGAGGGCGGGAACGAGGGAACTGGTGTCACGGCGTCGACGAGCAAAGCGCGAATGTGGCTCGCGAAGCATGCCATGCGGACGGCGGACTACAAGACGGCCAATCGACTGGGGACTGAATTGACACAAGATGGCTTCGAAGTTGAGGAGGCCAAGGCTTTGGTAAGAGAGGCTCGGGTACGCATTAGGAATGCGGAATTAGGCATCAGTCCCTGAGTCCGGCATAAGCAAAGGCGGCACCGTGAATCGCCTTGGTTCCCAGAAACCTTCGCATACGACAGGCGCACAGTACGCCATGAGGGGTTGTTGACACCACATGTTCATGTCTACCGGGCCCTCACAGACAGATGAGGCGAAGAAAAGGGAGTGCTGATGGACTCGGCGTATAATGATTGTTCAAGTATCCAGGCGTAAAATAATGAGATACCACATGGCCTCGGGAACCTAGCACCTTGTGACTCTTCGAGTGTCGTGAATCCCACTGGAGACCTAGGAACTGAGATTTTCCCCGTGGGCGTTAGTGCAAGCGAGGCAGGTAGGTTTATACTTCCTCGCGCAATCGCGGATCCAAATCCGGCACGGGCCTGCGGCGCCGTTCCCGCCTCCACGTTTTCCCCTCCGCGTCTTATAAAGACATCCAAATATCTTCACGGGCAGGCCGCAAAAACCCCCTACCCACGCATTCCACGACGTTTCATCAAAAGCCACGCACAAGATCTCACGTCACCGTATTAGACGTTGAACGAGGCGAGCGGGAAAGAGATATACGACACCTACCGGTAGTAGTCGAGAAAGAAGGCGGGCGGGGGGGAGGTCGGGTTTGGGTTAAGAGCCTGAATACGAGAACACCCACCCCCCCGCCAGCCCAACACGTCTTTACACCCCTACCCTCCCACGATCACGAATACGCCAAAAACGCCCGCTTTCGTACCTAGACGATCGATGTAAGCTTCTTCCCGCGGGCTACGAACCACGTGCTTGGCTCGTTTTTGCCGGGGGTCGTGGTGCGGAATACGAAGAGCGTGCAAGAGCGGGGGGGTTAGGAAGACCACTAGATTATTCAGCACCCCCCGTTTCGCCCATCGTCGTCGCAAACTACACAGTATGGGCGCTGTCTTTTTATGCTCCTCGCTGGCGCAGCAGAGATTCTGCCTTTCTGCGCGGGTTCCTTTGTTGCTGGAGAAGCTTCTTTTTGGGGTGGGTGTATGTGGTCCCGCAGCCTGCTTTTGGTCGGGGCCACAATCGTAGTTCGATGCCTTGTGTAGCTTGTGGTGTGAGGGTGTGTTGTATATGCAGTCAGCTGCCCGAGGTTTTGAATTATTGATTCTTGGCGGACGTGAAGAGCTGCGTTATTCACTGCAGCGGCTCTTATCAAGTCGTTCCCTTATCGACCGACCTATCACCTATCGAGGGGGGAAAATCCGAACTTTGAGGTATGCTTTCTTGTAAGGATTGCTTCTAGTGATGTGCTGACATGTTTGAGTAGGTCTGCTCTGAACTATGATTATCATTATTTTCGTAAGGACTGTATGTAACCCAATATGGCAAATCACTCCCTAGACTCCCCACAGATAACCGCCGTTGTGTCCTAAACTTCAAGAGTTGCCATAGGGTATCGTAATAAAAAGCAAAGATGATTATCCGGTGTGTTCACTCTTCCAACTTTTGCCGGCCGTAAATGAAGGTGATGAAAGTTAAAAGCCAATTCGTCAGACGTACTCACTCCCCAATTCCACCCAGTCGGATCAACCCAGGAGAGCGAGTAGGACAGCAACCAAAGCCGCACCAGCACCAGCTTCAACCATACCAGCCGCGTTCGCGGGAACCGTGACGGGCCTGGTGGTCGTCGGCCCGACAGGCGTATTGGTGGGGAGGTTGGTGACGGGCGTGATGGGGGTAACGGGGGTAGTGCTGGCGATGATAGTCTCGGCGGGCGGCGTGACTACAACAACGACAGTCGAGGTGCTGTTAGGGTGGGGGTGGTGATGCTCGCTCGTGGGTTTGGGCGGCTTGGGCGTCTCCTCCGAGTGAGTCGGGTGCCCCGTAGGTTTGGGAGGTTTGGGCGTGTGCTCGATGACGGTGGTGTTGTGGTAGGTCGGCTTGGGAGGCGGGGTGTGCTTGGTGGTCTTGATCGTCTTGACCGTCGTGCTGGTGATCTCTGGCGGGCAAGAAGTGGTGTTGACGACTGGCGGCGGGTAAATAGTCTTGGTCGTGGTGTATGGTGGGGGTTGTCTGGTAGTGATAGTGCAAGGACAGTCTGTTCTCATGTCAGTACGGCAGCAAAGCAGAAGTCGATCGAGGCTGGTCGACTTACTCGTGATGGTAAGTGTCGTTGCCGTGGTCGCCGTGTAAGTCACGTTGTGATGAACAAAGGTAGTGGGCGACTTGATTCATGTCAGCTTCGCATTCTGGTCTCCTGCATCAAGTCTTCGCTTTTCAGAAAGCTTACAGGACAGTATGTCTCATAGGCTGTAGTTACCACAGTCGTGTAAGCGGTGCTGATATCAGTCCCCCAAGCCTGCGCATAGGCTGCGAGCCCCGCTACAGACAATAGCTGGATGTATCTCATCGTAGATTGGAAGCGAGTGTCTCTGATTCAAGCGAAGGTGTTTCTGCCAAAGGCACGCTGCAAGTTGAGCGAAGGTGATGGGCAGATGTGTGAGGTTTAAACGATGGTATTCAGAACGATACAATACAGCCAAGCCAGGCGATCGCTCCCCTTATGTATCGCGGGGGCGGGGTCATTTCTTCGTGAACATATTCATCGTGCAGAAGAATGCTTTGGAACCGGTACTTACACGGCATGGGATGTTTGCCTCGCCGTGAAAACGATGTTGCCGGGCATCGCCGCCCTTGCTCAGTCGGGCGTATCGTTGCCCGCCTTCCAACCCCGAATTCGGTTCTTTGCGTCTCGGTTCTGATGGGCAGCTGGTACTGATGACTGTACGCACCTTGTAGGTGGCGCGCATCGCCGTGCCAGATGTGGCCATGAGGCAGGAATGTGACTCCGTCCCGGCAAGGTGGACGGCGAAGATACGAGAAAGTCCTGCCCTGTCATGCTTAGTCGGGAATGGCGCCATTGCTTTCGCCGGCAGAACAGCAGAGGTGGGTTGAGGGTTTGGTTCTCGACCCTATCCTCCTATTGGGCCGGTCACTTTATTGAAATCGTTTTGGGCAAGTGATTATGCGATGGTAGGGGTCTAGCGGTGACAGTTCGTGTCATCAACCACAAATGCCTCTGGTTTTAGATACGCATCGTGAAAACCCGGCTGGAAAATGTCTCCGGAGTGACTTATTCGACGCCAGAAGCTAAGCATCTTATCAAAGAATGGTGCAGAATATGAGTCTTTACAGAACAACGTTCCCTCGTGTTCGCCTCTGTAGCCTGGCCGCAAATACTATGCTGCTCACCAAGTTGCCAAAAATATATTCACCTTCGGCCGACGGGTTCGGCTGCTTGAATAAATCGCCTCGTGATTTGACTGAGGCCAATTGAACAGATCAGGGCGTCTCAGCAGATGGTGCTGTATTCGACGCTTTGGAATGTATGTGAATCTCTAAACAGACAAGCTGACTGACACGGCGAAAACGCGAAAAAGAAGATCACAACCAGCGCTTGCATAGTTGGCTTTCTGAGCAGTGCAGCAGATTGCTAGCACTTGTAGCTGATTTCTAAGAGGAGTTCTCAAGATGCTCCCTCAGTGCGAGCTACGCCTCCAGGCATATCTCGAATATCCTGGTGTATCTGAACGAGCCGTTGTTGAGACTAGGCAAAACGGCCGGCTTGCAGTCGGATTTTCGCAATTCTGCGCTGAGGAAGAGAAAAGAGAATGGTGATAAGAAAAGCAAGAGAGATGGATGCGCAAGTGCTAGAGTCAGCACAACACAGCTTCCATGTCCTCTTCAGGCAGCGCCCGTTGCCGCTGAAGCTGTAGAAGCAAACCCACTTGGCATGCAGATTATCACATCGCGTAACGATGGTGTTTGTGTGTCGATCAGTCTCTCGCGCCGGTCTCTGGATGAGTAGAGTCGAGCATCGATACCGGCCAAAACCCGGCCCTAACAACGACAGCCGGGTAAATTCATGCTTCAGGTTGGATGGAATCGGTGTCCGCAAGATACGCCTCAACAGATCCAAGTGATAAGGCAGCTATCAGAGCAGCAGCAGGCGAACCTTGTTCTCGCCAGTTCCATAGTGAGAGTGCCAACGCTCCTGCAGACTTGGTTGAGAGATGGCCACCTGAAGCAGGGAAATGCCCCTCCACCCAAACAGTTACAATCTTGCGGGGAGTCCTGCTGTCAAAGTCGGCCTCTGTCACGTTCTCGCTTCAAGGTTCAGGGTTCATGGTGCTAACGGTCGTCGGCGCCAAGTTTCTTCTTCGCAGGTCGAGAACAGTTTCGGGTTTAACGGAGTGGCACCGGACAGACCTCGGTCGCGAAGTTCTTCGCCGTTGCGACACCGGTGACGCGCGCGGTGGACAGACGGGTGGGCAAGGCATCCACAACCAAGAAGACCTGGCGTGAAAGGTTTTCTTCCTCGGCAGTTCGTGTGGTTGGAGTGAAGTTTGCGAGCACTTCTTGGTATCCGTAGATGGCAAAATGGCATTGGTTGTGGGAATAGCTTGCGGGGGAAGAGGAGCTTTAGAGCCAACATAGAGCAGAGGGCGGGGGATTCGATGGGCACAATGAGATCACAGCTCGTCCCCCGCCTCGCCTTGGTGACGATAAAGAGCTTTCCGGCAAGGTCTTGCGACACTGAATCCGCTTCCAAGGCTGGGTGGGTAGATGGTGATGCTGCTTGGGGGCCGCTGCTGGGACAATCCGAGGCCAGAAATCCAGATTGCGGTGTTCCACCGACAGAACTGCAACGGGGATCCGGTGGAGAAGGATTCTGGCGATGATGGTGTGAGGGAATTCCGACATCAGATGTCCAAGGCCAGAAGCCAGTTAGAAACTGGCTGAGAAATCAGTTGGCAAGCCAAGGCGCAAACGGAAGGTAAAGCAAGGTGAAGAGTCTTTTGAGACTGGAGAACTAACTGGGATGCGCTAGAGCAAGAGGTACCTTGTTGTCGGAGACGAAGGTTCCAACTTCCGTCTCGGTGCCGTGGTACTTTGGCGTAACCGAGTTCCGTCCCATCGACGGTTCCTGCATTGGACAGAACTTTGCTGAAAATGGGCCCGCCGGAGCCCCGTTCTCGAACGGACCTGCCTTCCGTTTAGGGCTGGCTTGGCATCTGACGGTTGGTGCAGCGAGATACGTACCGATTACCAAGCACGCGGCCTGCGCTCCGGCTTCCATGAACTGCGTAAGGTAGCCCAAGGCTCGATTACCTTACGCAGGTCGACAGTACCTTAGTGTACTCAATCGTGGCAGTCGAGACTGGAGCGGTTTTCATTGTTGGCAGCCACGACTTCACGAGCCGTTGCTGCAGCCTGCAGGCTCTTCATCACAAGTACGTACTGTACAGTATTCCTTCCGCAGTGACTGCCCTAGGTGCGAACTGTCCGGAAAGTGAGCGATGATCAGTGGAACCGGCTGCGGTCGAGAACAGCCCCGTCCCAATGATCATCTCAACGGGCCGCCAAGGATATGCGACATGCCAATGCAACCATTACAGACGAGCCCAGACAATGGAAACAATAGGCAGCGGCACCGAGCAGCAAAAGCTTGCTTCCTCGTTGCTGGCCACTCGGTCACGGTATCCCGGGAGCAAGCACGTGTGTCTGTTACTGCCCGAGACCAAGTCGGGGAAAGATGCTCCAGTGGATAGACAACACAGACGAGCAACCGATCTGACGGTAAAAAGAGATTTGCAGTACATCTCTCACCTTAACCTACACCTTAGATATCACCTTAATCTGCCTCCTTGCTACACTACCTTGTAGTCCCCAGCCTTATACTGGGTAACTTATGGGCAATTATTCAGTCCAATTATTCAATATTGGCTGTTGTGAAATGGCAATTTCTTCATACTCTTCTTCTTCTTCTTCTGCTTCATGTGTCTCCTTGTATTGTGTACCTCGGTACTATTAGTCAACAAGGTCCATGGCTGAATGGATAGCTCGGCGATACTTGAGTCGTCAACTGTAGTCGCAAGTCGCGACATGTTGGTGGCGTTGAGCCTACGCAGTAAGCTGCGTTGCCCTGCAGGCCTGAGGCACTATGTACAGATGACTCAGGCTGAGGCAGAGGCCAATTATCGGAAAGAAACTTTTGGAAAAATCAGAAAGTTCCAATTGACTGAACCTGAAAGTTCAGGCCATCGAAATATGCAGGCACTGACAGCATGTGCGCGCACTGCGTGAATAAACTTGTTCATCGCAGGTGAGGAGCGCCGAGAGAGGAGGGGGCAGACCGCAGACGTCGGGGCAGTGTCCGGGAACCTCCGCCTAGTACCGGGAACTGCTCACATGTCGAGACGTTGTTAGTAATTGAGGCGAAGTTGCTGTATTCTATCTATCACTCCAACGACCTTCCCTCAGTCCCCAGTACGGCCTCATCTACAGTGCACGGGACACCACACACTCGGGCTGTGATCGACAGGTACAACCCACTTTCCTTCCCCCTTCGGCCACGCTCCATCACACCCTCCTTGCGGCTTTGCCCTGACATCTTGTTCCTGGTGCCAACTTTACAAGTTCACACCAGCGGTCCAGGTCGACAACCTTGGTCTGAACCTTGCTCCCCGATTCGCTCACAAAGCTCAGAGCCTCCAGTCTGGCCGTTTCTTCCTTGAAGTTTCTTCTCCCCTCTTCCCCTCCTGGACACTTTCGGATGTACCTCGCCAAGCCCTTCTGGCCAGCAACGATTCCTCGCCGATGGGGTCTGCCAGGGCACAGAGAGGCATTTTCCGGCGTCGTGGCATCGCCTCCGTCACAGGAGTCTGAAGGATTGCCAACCGAGATGGTTGTCGTCCAACGACTGATGTCGTCGTGTTTTCTTTTTCCTTGCTGAGTGAGCCTTGGCCTCTGTGCTGTCTGCTCCAGTGAGCGCTCTGGTCTCCCATCCCCGGAAACGCCTGCGTTGCCAGCGAGGCCGTCATCTCATCTTTACAAACGTTGGCTCAAGTCGTTGCTGTCGTCTGGTTCCTTGGTCCATCACCTGCATTTCATCACATTGATCGGCCGTTCCTGTCACTCTCTAGTACAGATGAACCGGTGCGGCGGGAGCTCAAGCCACGCGCTGCCGTCTCGGCGTTCACCCAAAAGGCATAGCCAGCACGGCTCTCCCGCGCACTCCCTCCCAACTTCCGCCCGGCTGCGTAACCCGGCGTCCCATGACAGGGGGGTTCACTCGGTACTGGCCGGCACATTTTATCCAGTCCTCTCACCAGTCCGTGGCTCGACTAGGGGCCAGAGCTTTAGGGCCAAGGGGGAGGGGGGAGAGGGGGCTGCTCCGAGTATGTACCTATTCGAGGGAAAGCCCCCGTTATGAGCCGAAATGGCCTTGACCGGGTACGAATCATGAGCCGCGGCGCTAATTTGTGTGCTGGAGCGCCGGGTTGCCTCGAATCGCGCGTTTCTACCACTTGTTCTCTCCAACCTGTCAGGGTACGCCACGCGCAGAGGTCTCCTAGTGTCAGGTACCAGGCACAATCAGCAGCCAACAGGCCAATAACACTCTTCAACAGACTTTTGGAAAGCTGACGCACATGCAGGATGGGAAAAAACAAAAACCGCACCAAGGGCTGACGTCCGCGGTTCCTTTTGCCAGCACGCACTCGCAGCCTGCAGACGTCGGTGTACCGAAATACATACGCCTTGTCCCTCGTCACCCTGGCACGCCCGACCCCCGAAATCCCTCGACAGCCTCCAGTCCGTGGGTGTTCCTTTGGCGCCAGGTACCCGCACACACTGCCGCGTCGATTCCGTGCTCCTGCCGCACAGCCAACTCCCGACGGAGGGCGCCCTGACGCTAGAAACGAAAAGGAACTCTAGACACAGCCTGGAACTCCAGAAATAGGCGTAAACACTGGAAATAAGTCTGACAGGATGAAGATCTATTAGAGATGTTCCCGAAAACAACCTTGGGTGGGCTTTCCCTGTTCCAGCTCCAAACGATCCATGAACCACTCGTTTACTACAGTCTATGTACGTCGAGTATACTGCGCAGATCCAGTACACTATTACTCCATGACACCGTTGTGTTCAAACCTTGTCTAGTGCCCTCGAACCGAAAAGGATGGCAGACGTCCTGGTACCTATGCGACTCCGTGCTGGTCCAGACCGAAAACTCTGAGCTTGGTGAGGCCATTAATTCCACAGACACGTCCAATCATGGTTGACAAGTTACAACGACTTGTACAAGTTACAATCATGGCGCCCAAGTATCCTAGCCCACTCTCCGATGGAGGCTACTCCATGTAACTCTGGGAAACACCCTCGGGCTGAAGTCCCCACCGCGGTATCCAAACGTTCCCACCCGTGGACGTCCTTGTTGACTCCTTGACGCCTCCGGCTCCGCTCCCCACTGCCATCTCATGAGCAAGTCCTTTTCAGGCTTTTCTCCCACATCCTTCTGACATGTGTATAAGTATGGTCCGGTTCCCACGAGGCCTTCCCTTTCCCCGGTTTTGATTCCCCATCCCGCATCACTATCCTTCCTGTGGCCGAGCCTCACACTTTGTCTTTTCAGACAGCAGCATTCCTTTCACATACATACGAAGCTTTTCACTCCTTTGAAAGCTTTCATCCACTCAACGGCCCCGGTCCGTTCAGAATCAAACTCACAAACCAAGCTCGAGTCCATCACCACAACACCCATCCAGGGCAACTCAGTTCTCAAGATTTAGCTAGACGCTTATCCTAGAACCATCTTCAAACCCTTTTGAACCTGTACAACCGTTGTTGACAACGTTTACGGGACTCTTTCAAACAACTCACATTCAACTCACCGAACCACGCTCCGGCACTTACACACTCTCACACCAACAAATCCCCTTTCCACAACTCAAAATGCAGTTCAACCTTCTCACCCTCCTCGGCTCGGCCGCTCTGGTTGCCGCCAACACCGTCACCTTCAAGTCTCTCGACGACGTTTCCCGCACCGTCCACTTCACCCCCAACTCTGGTCTCGCCTCTGTTGACTCCGTCGAGGTCCCCGCCGGCGGCGAGGTCAAGGTCAACATCCCCACCTCCTGGATCGGCAACTGGTACTCCGTCTCTGAGGGCTCCGAGAACGTCGCCGGTATGCTCGGCGAGGTTGCCTTCAACGGCTGGAACGGCCTGACCTACTTTGATGTCTCCGCCATTGTCAACCCCAACGACCACAACGGCGTCAAGAAGATGTGGCCCGCTAGCGGCGATGAGCCCATCTCCGGCTGCGACTGGTGGCCCTGTAACAACGCCTACTACCTCCCTGACGATGTCCAGACCAAGGTCACCTCCGAGACCGACCTCATCTGCACCCTGGGCAACAACGGCGTCACCTCTCGCCGCGACATTGACGACCACCACGAGTCCCCCAACTACAAGCGTGACTTTGTCATCAGCAACTAAGCTTTCTCTTCGGGAACACAAAAACCGATCTTTGCCTTCCTTTCTTGGCTACGTTTAGAAGAAGAGGAGTTTTGGCCGCGGCGTCGATGAATAGTCATCTGCTGACCGCGTGCGCTCGCGCTGTGCGCTTACGACTTTATGACCCCTAACAATGACAACGGACTCTTCTTTTATAGAAGACCTCCAACATCATCTGTTATTTTCACTTGCAAAAAAAGAGATACCCCATCACAAGAAGCGCGGCTACGCGTGTGGGCTTAGCGGGGGATCAGGGGAGGTCAAGTTCTTTGGGATATAGAGTCATTTTTTTGGAAACCTTTTTCAACCCGGGGCGTACGGTCAAACAGAGAGAACGGAGCAATTGGAGCAATCTAGGCGTTTCCCCTCTATTTTCCCCCGCGAGAGAGACCTATCTCGTCTTCGATATCTCATCCATTCACGCAAGATGAGGTATCGTGGCCAGGTCTCGTTCTTGTCTGGCTTCACTTACACGACTTTTTGGGATAACTCATCCCTCACCAGTTGTGGAGGCCGACAAAACTATTCTAGTCGCTCCTTTAGACACATGTTTAGGAACCTTTCTTGTTTGTTGTAAAACCAACAACAACAGTTTCTTGTATTTACTAGGGCAGAGAGTTCCGCCAGAAAGAAAAACAAATCAAAACCGTTTGAGCGTCAAGTAAAAACAACAAACATTGTTACTGTTACCAACCGTGCCAACTTTTTCCAACCTAAGTGCCTAGTTGCTGTTTTTTGTCAGTTGCCCGGTTGGAGACCCCCCAATTTACTACCCCGGCCCCCGGGCCCTCCTCCGTGTTCATAATGAGCTGAAATGAAGGGGTGTTAGTTCTAGCCGGGGTCGGCGCTGGGATGGCATGTCTGTTAACGAGTAGCAAGTCCGTGCCATGGAACAACTTGTTTTTATTCCCTTTTCTACGGAGTAAAGAAAAACATAACTCCCTTTGGGAAACGAGATGCGCTGTGCACGGAAGCAATCTGAGCCATGTCATATCGTCCCCTCGAATGGAACCTGAAATGCTTCGTTACGGTGGAGAGGAAGTGGGAAGCACTACTCCATACAGGAAAGAGACGGAGGGAGCATGTTCGGTTGGTGAGAAAAAAAAAAGCAAAGAAACATGCAAGTCTTTCCAACGTCCAAGAACCGAGACATCACCCCTTGAAGGAATACAACATCCGTCCAACCCCCCGTCCGACATGTGCATTTCGGCACGGTTTTTTGTTTCTTTGCTTTTTTCCCTGGCTGCTGTTCTTGTTTCCGTCCCGTGTCTTGGGATGAACCCAAACAGGTAGAAAACGGCTGATGGCCCACGGGCCATCGGCACCCCAAGTTTCTCAAATCTCAACGGGCGCTGGCGCGCGTGCCCACCCATCCGACCAACCCCTGGGGCTAACGCTCTGCGTTTCAAGACACGCGCAACGTCGCACCACTCAGGACCTCTATTTCTTAACCCTCGCATCCTGGTTTCCAAGGCTGGGGGGGGGGGGGGGGGGGGGGAAAAAAAAAAACGGTCGGGGTTTTCCCCGGGGGGGGGGGGGGGGGGGGGGGGAGGGGGGGGCCCGCCCCCCCCCAGGGGGGGGTGTGGGGGCTGGTTGGGAAAAAAAAGGCAACGACGAACGAGGGGCGAGGGGGGGGGGGCTGGAGAAGAAACATACGTACTGGTTGTATCCAGCGATGGGGATGGAGGCAGAGTGAGACGACGTGGCCCAGCCCGCCCAAGGGGGGTTCTGTTGGTCTCGTTTGGAAACAAAGACGACTACGAATCGGAGACTCGTGCGATGGGGGCTGAATGGCCCCCAAAAAGGCAACGTCAGCACAGCTGCCAAAGCCACCTTTGATATTCGTCATCCGACAAACCCACTCGTTGGTCTTCCGATACAAGACCCCCCAAGACCAGAAGAAGAAAATTGAAAAAAAAGGGGACGTATTCTGCCTTCGGCTGTATGAGGCCGTGACTCGTGAGGGAGAGACGCAGACACAGACAACCGGCTAGTCAGTTCCCTTTTCTAAACATGGAGGGTCTGACTTCTTGGGAGGGAGGGCTGATTTCTCTCTCCTGCCAAGTTCGTCGACCTTTGAAGGTGCGAGACGCGGATAGATGGAAGCCATCGTCTACCGAGGTCGACAAAAGTTTAGAGCTTTACTGCTGTGGACAGGCAGAAGAGGGTACTTCAGTCGAGTTCTAAGACTACACGGTTGCTCAAAACCCCCTTTTGAGGGCTGGCATGAGAAGTGCTGTAGACACGACCAACTGGCTAATCGGTCCCGTTTCCCAGAATTCTCAGTGGAAGCCCTCTTGCCCCCCTCTCTCACGCTTGAATAGATCGCATAGTAGTCACTATACTTACTCCTGCGACGACGCGCAAGCAGTTCTCCAGCTAGTTGGCTAGCTCGGATCGACAGGAAACGCATGCCTTATCTAGCCCTGCAGTGTTCGTGCTCCCCCGAGAAGAACTCCCTCCGACATATCTTGACGTGTAACCTACGGGCTGAGAAGGGGAGGGCGGGATTGAGAGGGCTCGGGTTTAAAGGGGTGACACACACACACACGCATGACAAGACAACCCTGGTGAGGACGTACAAACTTCCATTTGACAGCATTTCTTCTTTGAACCCCGTGGTACCTGTTACAAGGGGGGAACCTCTCTTCCCCTTCCGAGACTGTATTGCGCCCCTTTAACCCGCCACTGCTCTCAAGTAACCTACAAACATCACGATGCCTGCTTAGTCTCCTCCTCTCCTGCCCCTGACGGCGGCGACTCCGTCTTACCCGAGTCGTCCGCGCTCTGCCGGCTCTCCGGCTCAGCAGTCGAGTTCCTAGCTGAGACCGTCGTCTCCGATCCCCCGTCCGCCGCCGCCGCCTGCTTCTCCGGCGGCGGTGACGCGACGGTGCTCTTGATTTCCTTGGCGTTGATGAAGCTCTTCAAGTACTCGCCCGCGTCTCCGAACCCGTCAAGCTTGCCCAGCTTCGTGATGAAGAAATCCACGTCCCGGAGCATGCTATCAATTTCATCGTTAGCAATTGTCTTTGTCTCAAGGTAGGGGAGCGCAAGAAACGTACCTATCGCGGCCGATGGCCGTCTTCGGATCTGCCACTTCAAAGACCCTACCGAACTGGTCCTTGTAGCTTGAGAATACAGGTCCCATGATGAGCTGTACCGAGGTGTCGGGTAGGTGCTTGGTCAACACGCGGTGTAGGGTCGTGGTTTCCTTGGCCAACGTCTCCATGTACGGATGAGTCGACTGGCTGCCGTCGTGGTCCCAGTCGATTGCTCTCATGGATTTTGAATGCTGTGCCGCGCGACCGCTCATGATCTCGACCAACTTGTCGTAAATGCTGTTCTGATGCTCTTGGAAAAGGCGCCTAACCTTATCGAATTCTCCCATCAGACTAGAAACACTGGCTCCAGAGCCGGCGTGGCGTCGCACAAATTCCCGAATGTGGGGTATCAGTGTTGCGATGAACGACAGAGCCTGAGATGCCAATGCTAAATGCCTGGTCGTGATGTTTTTGAGACCGGCAGACCGAGTGGCACCTGCACCAAGAATGAGCTGGGTACAGCGGGAGTTGAAGAGCTGCAGATAGCCAATAAGGGAACTGGCGACGTCGATTGCCATGGAAGGAATACTGCCGATGAGATGCATGAAGTGCGAGATGCCTTCGAGACCAAGTATGGCAGAATTGGGGAGCAAGAAAGTTTCGCTTTCAATCTCTGCGACACGCGCCTTTTCTTTACCACTGGTGCCGTTCGTCTCGGGAGGCGGTACTGCGCTTCCATTCGACACAACCTCGTCCGGATTCTCTTCCCAAATTTTCGTCCCTTCCGACCACGCCGCAGCATCCTTGGTACTACTTTCGAGTACCTGGTCAAGTAAAGCCTTATTCTTCTCATCGAAATCTTTGGCGCTCCATTGGTCGGATTCCATGCCTTGAGCAAGCTTCTGCTTCTCTGCGTCGCCATGTTGCTGTACAAAGTCCTTGATATGGCCGTTGACCAACGTCTTGAGTGCCGTGCCGCTGCGTCCTGAGAGCGCTTCGCATTCGTTGGCGAAGAATAGGTTGAGAGTAAAGTAGCGAAGGAACCAGGACAGGCTAAGGTGCGTGCTCTGCTCCGATCGGACTTTCAAAACCCTGACAATCTTATCCTGCGCAACATCGACGGCCTGTCCGACCAAGTTGGCAATATCCATTGCCTTGTGAATCTCTTCTTGGACCTCGAAACTCGGAGACTCGTCGAATCGAGGAAACTCCCGGTCGAAAGGTGTGGGACTCGCGAGTGGGGAGCGAATCGGTGGCGACTTCAGACCAGCTGCTGTGGCTTCCTCTGTCAGGCAGCTTGCAATATCGAGAAGAACCTTGACCTGGGTAGTCAACCGCCGGAGGGTTTCGGTCACGCCAATGTATATCGACTTGAGTAAGTCCTCTGCATCCTTGGGGTCTAGTGCCCTTAGGTTTCTAGACAAAATGGACGACTTTTCCTGATTCGAGAGATGTTTTCCGCCGCTCATGGTCGAGGCGGACATCATTGACTCGTTATCGTCATCGTTGGAGCTAGGTAGCGGTCTCCTGATGAGATTTTTTATCTCACGTAGAACAATCTCCCGATATGCTGCGATCGCAGCGGATATGTGGTGAGCTCTGTGCAGACCGTGAAGATTGGGCATGATTGCTTTGCGTAGTTCTTGTGTAGAGGCAAGATAGGCCGGTGGGCCGGCAGACTCCCTTGAGGCGCCCCCCCTTGCCCGCAGTGATGAGCTGCCCCAGCGAAGAAGGACTTCCCGACTTTGGACCGATTCAACGTGCCTCCGGAGATCAGCTAGTAACAAGCTCTGGAACTTGGTCTCATAAGCTTTTCCGATTCGAGACCGGAGCTGTTGAAGGTCGTCATTGACGCTTTGCAGAGCCGTCGCTCCCCTGAGATCCCTCATCCGTGCCAGTGGTAGTATTGGAGGTTCAGCCTCGGGCGAATCGTCGTGCTCACCAGCTATCAGAAGCTCGAGAGTGTCAATATTACTCAAAGCCTTGTCAACCTCGCCAGCATCTACCAGCGCCTCGCACGATGCAACACCCTCAACGATATGTTTCAGTTGGAGAACCGCATCGTTGAGAGCCTGTACGTTTTCTCTCCGCCGGCGCTTCTGGACGATGTTCAGACCCTTGGTGGCAATCTCCTCGTCTAGAGCTTCAAGTTCCTTACGGAGCGCCTTGATCCGATCGACCGACTCTGCGGCTTCCGAATGGAGCTCCCGCAATGAGCCAAGAGCTGTAAAAAATGTCGTCGACGCTGTCGAAATAGAGTTGATCAAATGAACCTCGATTGTATCCATGTACCAGGAGAGTTTCTCCTGTAAAATGGCGTTGGTGGCCAAGGCCTTTCGCGGTGCTACAATATTGCCATTGCCATCATTTCTGCTGTCTACGCTCCCCGGTGCAGGCGGAACGACCTCTGACCTCTCACTGACTACATCGAAAGTCCTTGGGTTCTCCAAATGGAAGTCATCGTCAAAGTATACGTTGGGTATCGTCGACAATGGAGGCGGACCATGCGCGCCCTTTCTACTGTAGCCTGAACTGGATCGTCGCAAAAGACCTGGGCCTTCGAGAGAGGAGATGGACGTTATTGATGCAATGGAAGATTTCCGCCTCGAGGGCTGCCGGCCTGCGGGCTTAAGATGACTCTCATCAATGGAGTCCCCGAACTCGTCGTGTTTGCTCGACCGACGACCTGAGGAACCAGGCCTGTCATCGTCTTGCTCCTTGACTCGCCGCAGCTGTTCGTACAGGGCGCCAACTTGCGACAAGTACGGCTTGAACTCGGCCGGGTCGATGTGCGGAATGTTCGTTAAAGTGACAGGAGGAATATCTCGAGCGGTAGGAGGTTTGTGCGCGCTGGACGCAGGAGCAGAAGTATGAGGCTGCAGGCCCGTCCGAACGATGGGCGGTTGCAGTAAGGTTGATATGGCTGGGGACTTGTCAGCACGCTCAGTGGCATCTCCAACTCAACAGTAATACCGTTTTGGCCAGATTCCAGCACCGCATTTGCCCAGGTACTGGATGAAGTATCGAGGGACCCCCCTATCGAGTGTATGGAGCTCGCATTCGAGCCTCGTCTCGCGGTATTGTAAGTGTGAGCCTGTCCTTGTCTTGCTGCTGTTAGCGCAACCGTGGCCACCGAGGGGCCGGCCGGGCAAAAGTAACAAACTTGTGGAACGGGAACTCGGTGCGCGTGGCCGGAGGAGACATGGACGAAATGGTGTCCATGGACTTGCGGGCGCCTGGAGAGGAATACATGGTGTGAGGCAATGGCTCTGAACACGAGCTGCTCAACGCTGATGTCTGGACCTCGATCGTTTGCTGAGAGTCGCAGGGAAAGCCGACAAATAGATAGGTCGACGGCCACGTAGCCTGGCTACCGGGGTATCATTGCTGGGAGGTTCTCATCGAATAGGGAAGTTCAAGAAAGATGGCTAGCAATAATTATCACTGATCAAGGACAAGACTGAAGAAACGACAGATTACAGCTGGTCTTTGCGCATGCTTCACAATGCTGAGCCACGTTCCCGAGAGGTAGCGTACAATCAAGGGCCCCCCTAAGGTACCCGCATAATAGGTGCTAGTGCTGTCTGGGGAATGCTGCTGATACATCACGTGGGGATAAGATAAGGTAAGGTCGAAGGCCACCTTATCTGCAAGCAGCGGTACGTAGCTCACCTACTCAGGTCCGGGGACTTCGAAAACGCGCTAATAAACCACTTTACGCGTCCGGTAAAGGGGGCGCGTTCGGTCGAATTTGGTTTCCCTGCGCAACCCAGAGCCCCTCCTTCCATCCACATTTGCAGTCTCAATCCTCAACATCGCTTCGTGAACAACCACAACTCAGCACCAAGCACTACCATGGACAGGCAATCAGTCTACTCGTCGCACGTCTTCCCGGCGACGTTCGATCAGAACGATGACAGCAGGGTTCAGACCCAGACCCAACTAGAGAACTTCATCCTCCACTTCAGACACGACAATGACTACATCTACAGGTCCGTCGACTGCTCCAAGGGTGCCTTTTGGCTCTGTCGCATTACTTACAGCTTTGTATAGAAATCAACTCAAGGAGAATGCGCTTCTCAAGAAGCACTACTGCGATGTCGATATCAGCGATCTCATCAACTACAACGAGGAACTCGCACATAGACTCGTGACAGAGCCCGCCGAAATCATTCCTTTGGTAGGCCTCCATCGTGCGACCCGAGCTCTAGCACTATACTGACCTCGCCGTGAATAGTTCGAGGCTGCTCTCAAAAAGTGTACCCACCGCATCGTATATCCTCAACTGACGAAGGTCGACCTCCCGGAACATCAACTCCTGCTCCACTCCAACGCTGAGGATGTCTCGATCCGCAACCTAGATTCCATGACAATCTCGCGTCTCGTTCGAGTGCCGGGCATTGTCATTGGCGCCTCTGTCATGTCTTCCAAAGCTACTTCGCTGTCTATTCAATGCCGTAATTGCGCCCATACCGCGAATCTGCCTGTCCTAGGAGGATTTACCGGCGTCACCCTCCCAAGGCAGTGCGGCAGACAGAGGATACCTAACGACCCCACACCAAAATGCCCTCTCGATCCATACTTTGTGTCACACGAGAAGTCGAAGTTCGTCGACCAGCAAATCATCAAACTACAAGAGGCTCCGGATCAGGTTCCTGTTGGTGAACTCCCTAGACATGTCCTGATTTCAGCAGATCGTTACCTGACCAACCGCGTCGTTCCCGGTTCGAGATGTACGGTCATGGGCATCTTTTCCATCTACCAGAACAAGGCAACCAAAAACTCAAATACTGGTGGCGCGGTCGCTATCCGTACGCCGTACCTACGGGCAGTAGGCATCCAGACTGACATGGACCAAACCGCACGTGGCCAGGCTCTCTTCTCTGACGAGGAAGAGCAAGAGTTCCTCGAGATGAGCAGGCGGCCTGATCTGTACAACATTATGGCAGACTGCATAGCGCCATCTATTTATGGAAACGTAGATATCAAGAAGGCCATTCTTTGTCTGCTCCTTGGCGGCTCAAAGAAGATTCTACCCGACGGCATGAAACTTCGTGGAGACATCAACGTCCTTCTGCTTGGTGATCCTGGTACCGCCAAGTCACAGCTTTTGAAGTTTGTGGAGAAGTGCGCGCCAATTGCCATCTACACATCCGGAAAGGGCTCTTCAGCGGCTGGTCTCACAGCGTCGGTGCAGCGTGATTCCTCAACTCGCGAGTTCTATCTCGAGGGAGGTGCCATGGTCTTGGCTGATGGTGGCGTTGTCTGTATCGATGAGTTCGACAAGATGCGGGATGAGGACCGTGTGGCTATCCACGAGGCCATGGAGCAGCAGACCATCTCGATCGCAAAGGCTGGTATCACAACAATTCTCAACGCAAGGACATCGGTGCTTGCTGCGGCCAATCCGATTTTCGGTCGGTACGATGACATGAAGACTCCTGGCGAGAACATTGACTTCCAGACCACCATCTTGTCACGATTTGACATGATCTTCATTGTCAAGGATGAACACACCAGAGAGAAGGACGAGAGGATAGCAAAGCACGTCATGGGCATCCACATGGGCGGCCGAGGCGTCGAGGAACAGGTCGAATCTGAGATCCCAGTCGAAAAGATGAAGAGGTACCTCAGTTACTGCAAATCGTAAGTGTTGTCCATCGGCATGCCTACTGATCAAATGCTAACAACAAACTCCAGACGTATGGCTCCTCGTCTCAGCCCCGAGGCTGCTGAAAAGCTCTCTTCCCATTTCGTTTCCATCCGTAGACAAGTCCACGCGGCTGAGATGGAGGCCAACACAAGGTCTTCTATTCCTATCACCGTTCGTCAACTTGAGGCTATTGTTCGTATCACCGAATCATTGGCCAAGTTGACGCTGTCTCCTATTGCAACAGAGGAGCATGTAGACGAGGCCATCAGACTGTTCCTGTGCTCCACGATGGATGCTGTCAACCAGGGCAGCAACCAGGGAAGCAAAGAGCTCAACGAGGAAGTCAGCAGATTAGAGACGGAACTCAAGCGTCGTCTTGCTGTTGGATGGGGCACAAGTCTCGCGAGTCTGAGACGCGAGATGGTCGAACAGAAGGGGTACAGCGAGCAGGCCCTCAACAGGACGCTGATGATCATGCAGAGGAGGGATACAATCATGTTCCGGAACCAGGGTGCGCAGGTGTACAGGAATGCAATTTGAGGTTGGCTATGATTGAGGGACTGCTTTTGGTGCTCCGCGTCATTGCGGGAGATGGTTTTGAGGGATACGGCGGCAGCATTCTGCATATGAATGAAATGATAATACCAAGCTCTTTGTAACGGGGTATGGTTGGGATTCTTGAAATGTCACTCTTGCCAAAGAACAAACGCAAGTGAGGAACAAAGGTATGATATACTCTTTAATTGTCAGATCTGAGCCTATCCTCAAGCCGACCAACCTTGTGGCAGATACCTAAGAACACCGCCTTCGATGGGCCATTTAGTATCAGAGTATGCAACCCTCCAATGCCTCGGCAGAGTGCTCGTGTTGGAATACTGTGTGGACCTGGATGACGGGAAAAACTGTTAGCCGCATGAGCTGGAAGGTTCCGCGCGCTTCCAAAAAAGAGTTGTGATAACAGAGCGATTCAGATATGCCAGTTTTCCGCAGGCCCAACCCGGTCGAGTGCATTGGCCAAAGCCGCCGCCCTCGCGGCTGAGCAATCGGTTTACCAGATGCATGGGTGTCATCCGCATCTCCAAAGGGGACTGTGTTCATTTGGGCATGATGGTCTATATACTACGTACCTTTTGACGATGCAGGAGCCATGATCCTAACTGCTTATGGGCCTGAGACAACTTCCTTTTCGGAGCTCTACCAAATGTGGGTTGTAGATGGCAAGGTAACCAACATCACGTCACATATCAAAAAGGCGTATAGCGGAGAGCTAGAGAAAGAGCACCTCAATACGAGGGCATGTCCAAACTTGCATCAGGTGATCGTCGCATCATGGGAAGCCGCACGAGGGGCCCTCGCTGACGATTGTTTTTAACAAGGGCATTGAAAGAGTTCATCTTGACTCATCCTCAGGTCTCGTCCAGCAGCGTAGAATGTGATGTGAAATCGTTGCAGGCTGGCGATTATTTGATTAAGGTGGTCTTAGGTTTATGGAGAGAAGAAGAAGAGTAAAAGGCGGCTCGCGGTCGCGAGGTTTAAAAATTGCAGAGCCTGCCTGGCCCGTTCCGCGGTGTGGGGCTGATACAGTACCACGTGACTTTGATGTGTGTGCTGCGGCGTTGTAGCTTGGGTGCGGTACCTCGGGGCTTACGTACACAACGTGGTATCGTTACTTCTGGGCACCTTGGTCTGGCTTATGTAAGATGTGCTCCCAGGCTGGTCAGGTACGCTGCCTGCCGGTTGCCTGATCCGGCCACGCCCCTCCTATCTCGAGGTGGCAGGGTGGGTGCGTGCCATCGTGGTGAACCTCAACTCCAAAGAGTCCAGCCGTCAGGGCCCGGTGATCGGGTGTCGGGTGTCGGAGCACGGTGGCCATGGTTTCCTGGACGATTCACTGGTGGAGGGGGCCTTGCTTTTGGCTCTGGTCCCAGAAACAGCAGACTCTCATTCTCCCACCCCCCCTATTGTGTCAGGCTCACTCCCTCCACTCTCCCAGTCTTGTCTGCCACTCCCGCGGCAAACTGCCATTTGCCCACCTCACTCCCTCTTCCGCCGCCGTCGGGACTCACGTAGGGTAGGTACTCACACCCTCCCCCCCTCCCCCATCTTCCCTCCCTCCCGCCCTCTGAACCTACCTAACCAGCCCAGGCTTACCTCACCCACCCGACCTTACCTTTCCGTAGCGGTAGCAGTACCTAACCCGCCAGTGTCTTTTCCCAGTGCCAGCCAGCGCAACCCACGGCCCAGCCAGTCCCAGCACCGTACCAGCCCAGGCGGCCACCCCCGTTAAGCGAGCAAATTGCCTCGCTCATGTGTCCGCCCCCTTCACTCTACGCTGTGCCGTTCAGACTTCACTTCTACCAACTCCACCACGACCTGACGGCTTGATCACGGCACAAATCGACCACCGACCCTAGACAGCACTCTATCGCCGTCGGATTACTTTCGCTACGAGTGTATCTGCTGGAAATCGTCATCAGGAAAATTTTTAACCCCCACGACAAGGCGCCGACGATCCACGAGGAAGCCGAGAGTGGTGCATGACGCTGCATCGGGGGATTGAGAGCCGTCGGCGGTTTGGCGCGACTCGCCACAACAACCCCCTCATCCTCTGATCTCGCCCAGAGCGAACATTCTTATCGAGCGCATCGTGGAATCCGGTTGAAAGGGATCTTGAAAGGCTTTTTCGGGAAAAGAAAGTGATTTTTCTTTCTTCGCGCCTTCCGATTCGGAGACGCTGTGACAGCAGCCGCCAATCCTTGGTCCGTTTCGACTTCCTCACCCTCACCGATCCGCAGCAATCACGATCACGACGCCCGCGGCGACGAAGAGACGATCCGAACTTCCTGCCATTGGCGAAGTCAATATGTCGTTCCATCCTCGAACCCCTCAAAGCCCTTCTCAGTTTTCTCCGGCAACTTCCGATCTCACATCGAGCATGAACAGCTCGGCCCCGTCAACAGCCACAACTCTGCCGACACCCGCCCACAGCGTCAACGGCAGCGCATCACAGCCCTCCGATATGTCGCAGGACATCGTCATGGGCGATGACTCGCCCCATAAACGCAAGCGCCCACTCGAGGATTTGGGTGATCGAGATCAGAAGAAAGCCCACATCGAGGATAGCAAAACTGGTATCGAGGCACTCCACCTGGATGTCGGAGAGAAATACCTACTTTGCCAAACTCGTAAGGCTCCCTTCAAAGTCCCTTGTTTCCGTGGCAGGCTGTCTCTGTCTTGCCATCTTCCCTCCCCTACGGCCTATCTAGTATTTTGGGCCGGTTCAATGTCGGACATATTTGGTTAACACTGAGCTAAATAGCGCACCACGAGAGACTGCCGCGTATCACGGAAGACCTCTTCGAGATGTTCAATCTTTCGGGTATCGCCGCAGAAGTCGCTCGCGAAAAGCCCAACGGTGAGAAGAACGCTCTGCGGAAGACGTACAAGGGTCAAATCAAGAAACTCGGAATTCTCGGCCGCTTCGACTCCGTCGCCCAGGATTGGGATGCTCCGAGAGACAAGGACGGCGAGAGTGGCGACAAGAAGAGAGAGGTCTACCACGGCTTCCGGGAATTGCTGGAGATTCCCGATGCCGAGTATTGGGGCACGCGGAACGACCCTATCACCAGTGGTCTGTCTGCTACTGTCAAGTCGATGCTCAACCGAGCAACGACTATGGCTAAGGGCCCGCTTCCTGTTAAGGATTGGGACAGCTCAGTTCTCGGAGACCTGACCCCGGGCAGCATGGAAGCCTTGAGACAGGGTCTCGGTGGCAAGGTGACTGCCCCAGGTACGCCATCCGCAACCACACCCAACCCCTTTGCGCGAAAGCAGCAACAGGGGCCTCAGGGGGCTGTTCGTCCTCAACGGACAACCAAGAAGCGTGGCTACGGTGATAACAGCTTCGAGGGATATGGCGAAGGCTTCCCTGACGACGGCTACTCTACGGGAGATGGCGATGATAGGGGAGGTCAGAAGCGTCGTAAGAAGGTTGGCCTTATTGCATCTATATAAGGCGTAACTGATCTAACACACTACGCCAGGATAACGGCAACGGCCAGACGTTCCCGAACACGATGCGTCCGCAAGGCTACGGATCCAGCGCCGTGGGTGCTTAGAAGCCACCTCCGGCGGCTAAGGTCGGCAACCGCCGAAACGCTCGCAAAAAGGGCTAAGCCCGACTATTGCTTTTATCTCATTTCCACGACTGGCCATCGTGTTGGATATCGCGGGTCTGCAAGCACGTTGCTGCTGGCACTGAAGTTTTGGGTTGCGAATCAGATCTATGCCCGTTGAATGACCACGAGGCAGTTCCGCAGGAAGATTGAGGGCCAGCGGTTGACGACGATGCAACATGCGCGCGTCAAAAGAGGTACCGCTTCGAGGGTTACGGGGGGGCCAAAGGCGGTGGTTGGACGGGGGCATATCTGCCCCCCTTTGATGAATTATTCCACTTCCAGCAGGGCGTTCAGGGGGATCAACTTACTTCCTTGTTACCATTTTACTCCTTTTTTTGCTTTTTTCCGGTTTTTTAACGCATTCAGTCGAGGTTGGGCAAACGAGAAAAAAACATGACCGACTGAAAGAAGGGACGGGGGAAAAAATACCACGCGGCTTCACAATGGGGAGGAGGAGGGGAAGGTCATTTCTAAAGGGCTGCTACGAAAGGGGACGGGAATCATTTTACCACGAACCACGACCACCACAAACCGCAAAAACCAATCATCACAAACCACCATCACCACCGGACACTTTTTCAAAAGAAAAAAAAATCATTTCTTCCCCTCTCCCACAATCCCACACACACAAAGAAAGGCAAAGGGGGTGGGTGGGGGGACTTCAGAGGCTGGGTCGTTGTAGCACTAACACAAACAAAACACAAACAAGTAATTCCAATAGAAGGCGTGAAGAAGGCCTCTACACACAAACACACAAACACACTAGATATTGTATGAAATTGTGAAATCGCCTATGCGTTTTTATTCTTCAGGGTTGTTACACCTCGAACTCTTGATTCGACTGTATGTTCATGTCACGAGCAAGATTACTTTGTACCAAAGTAGAATGTTTCTTGTTCGGTATCAACTTCACTGAGGTAGACTACCCCGCCTTCTAGACACGGACAGTCCTGCTGCCTCGTCCTGCCCCGTCTCCCCAAGTCCACGTACGTACCCTAGATTACAACGTCAAGGTGCCCAAACCTCCCCGGCATCAAGGATATCAAGGATACCAAGGCTACCAAGGCCCATCAAGGCATCTCCATTATCGCCCTGACGCTCAAGTCATCCTGCACCCACGCCACGACGCGCTCCCCGACGTCGCCGATGAGCGTGTCGTAGTGCGGGCCCGGAAGGAAGAGGCCGCAGTGGGCGCCGACCTCGTCCATGCCCTCCATGTACACCGACACCCACGTCTCGTCGCGTTTGCCGTTCTTCTTGCCGGGCAGGGTGCAGAATTTCCGCTCCTTTTTGGGTTTGTCTGGTTTGGCGTTGGATTTGGCATTCGCTTTCGAGTTGGAGCTGGAGTGTGCGGCGACGGCCTTGGGACGGCTCGGGATCGCGGTGTCGTTGTCGTTGTTGGTGGTGGTGTTGACGGATACCGCAGAGGACGAAGATGGTGCGGCGACTGCGGGCGGCCGGCCCTTGACGGCTGCCGCGGCTCCGGCAATAACAGTCGCTGCCATTTCGGCCTCGACCTCTGCAGACTTCTTCTTCTCCTCCTCCTCCTTCTCATCATCATCGTCATCGGCGTCACTATCGAGCGGCTCCCCGCGTAATCTCCTCCCCTCCCTCTCCATCCTCTTGGCCTCCTCCGCCAGCCTCCGCGCCTCCTTCTGATCGTGCGTTTCTTCAGCCGCTTCCCTCCGGGCCGCCTCCTCCTCCTGTTGCCGCCGTTTCTGTTCTTCCTTTTGCAGCTTCAGCCCTTCCTTTTCGATCCTCTGCGCTTCCTTGGCAGCCTCCTTTTCCACCTTTTTGCGGCGCTTCTCAACGAGTTTCTGACGCTCCTTGATGGCTTTGTCGCGGCTCTTGACGGCAGACTCGTACGCCTTTTGCGCGCGCTTGCCTTCCTTCTCCGCCTGTTTCCGGGCGTCCTTGTCCGTGTACCTATCTAGATCCGGGGGCGTCGGCTGTTCGGGGAGGTCGGGGATGGGCGGTAGTTCTGCTTCGGGTATGACGTCTCCCATGGGCGTCGCTGCACCGGCCTCGGGACTTTTCTCCGTCTCGTCGGCCGCCACGGTTGGAGAAGTTGAAACAGGCACGGTTTCTTCGACTTGGGTGTCGGTATTGAGCTCCTCGTGTGAGTCGACATCGCCTTCCTTCTCCTTACCCTTTGGTTCGCGCGTCTCCTTGTCGAGCGCGTCGGTCGAGTGCGAACCTGCCTTTGTATCATGGTCAAACCGTGCCTGCTGTTCCTCGTGGAGCGTCGAAAGCCGTTCATCAATGTCCTCCATCGGAATCGGCTCGAGCAGTTCCATTTCCTGACCATCATCAGACGACAGAGAGATCCTGGGCGTCGAGGAAGACGGTGGAGATAGATGGGAGCCGATTTGCAACGTGCTCGGGGCCGCGCGATGCTCGGGGGACGTTGGTGACTCGGGGGATTTTGGCGAGTCTGGCGTCTTTGGTTTCTTGGGTCTGCCCGAGCTGAGTGTGTAGTAGTTGATGAAGCGGACCCTGACCTGAGCCGGCCGGTTGACGTTGTTGCCATCGCCCATGTGCTGCAGGGGGTCGACGCTCTCCATGGCGCGGAGCTTGTTGTACCGAGCATTCAGACCGGGATAATCCGCCAAGCAGCCGCCGTATTCGAGATGAGACATGACGTGGTTCTTGGTAGCGTCCCAGATGCCCTCGCGGCTGTGCTTCTTTGCAAAGTGTCCCAGTCGCCTCATAAAGGTACGATCTTTAAGGTTCACGTCGTTGAAGAAGGATGGGTTAAAGGTAGGATCCGGCTGCTGCGGTGGTGCATTGCTCGAGGAGATGGATGGTGTGTTGCTCGGGTGCGGCGAGAGGTCTGCACCGAGTGAGCTCGTCGTCTCCAGGGTGTACATGGACGGGTTGGGACTGGTCAGGGCCGAGTTGGTAGGGCTTAGCTGGTTGAGGGCCTCGTGCTCTGGCTTCTCCTCTGTCGGGGTGGCCGGTCTGAACAAGCTGGATATTCCGGCGACGATGATGCCGGGGTGAAGGCCCAGGAACGGTGAGTCCAGTGAGATGGTGCCGAGGATACGATGCTTGTACGGGTGGCGTCTGTACGGGTGCCGATTAGGCTGAAGAACATGTCAGTCAAGCTGTCTATCGACCTTGGATGTACATGGGCAAGCTATACCATCATGGCAACCTCGGCGGCGAGCAGTCCTCCCATTGAGTGTCCGACGAGAATGACATCAGTCGAGTCGGACTCGTGCGGCTCCAGCCACTGGCTAAAATTATCACGAGCCACATCGATGGCCTTGTACGTCTTATAGCGAGGGTAGATTTTGGAATGGACGACGTGCGTCTCCGCAAGAGCTTCTTTGAGGTGATTATGGACGTGAGCGGGGAACGAGCGAAAGGACGACTCGTTACCGTAGAAGCCGTGGATGTAGATGACGAGCAGGGTCCGGCGGGTGACGCCGTCGCGGTCCTTTGTGGACGGGGCAAGCGAGTGAGCCGATGAAGACCTAGGATCGGCGAGGCGCCACTTGGAGTCCACGATGCCGAGACCGTCGGCGGCAGAGGAGGAAGGGTAGCCCGAGGACGGACCGGCGACGGCGGCGGTAGGTGGGGGCGGGAACTGGGTTGAGGACGTGGAGCCAAAGTGACCGGAGCCGGAGGCGGATGCGGTCACGGAGTAGGGCGGCGGTGGTGCGGACGAGGACGAAGGTCCGTCGTAGGCGTAACCGGACATGACGTCAGATTTTGGGCAAAGCCCAGACAGGTGTGTATGATGTGGAGGTTTAGAATGTGCAGTACTTTATCTGTACTACTGTGTATGTAGACAGGAGTGGAATAGGAGGGGGAAGGGGGTGCAGGGGCCGTAAAGCTTGGTGAGGGGTTAAAGGAAGGAAAGGGCGACCACGGCGAAGAATGCTTTTAGGGATGAGAGCCTCCAGGCGTGACCGTGTGTAGAGGTGTTTTGCGATACGGAAATGGAAGAAGGAATGATGGAGTCGGATGTCCAGATATAACACGGAGGGCCAGAGACCCGTCACGGCCAACGGGCATTGATGAGGGTGAGGAGGATGAGGAGGAGGAGACCGTGGGCTATTTCACTGACATTTGCCTTGGTTGAGGGTGCTTGCTGCAAGATGCAAGAGTCTGGCCTAGGCGCACGCGTTTTGGCCCTGATGAGTCCAAGGTACTGTAGCTTTGCCGTGTCTTGGTAGGTCGAGATCAGGTACTTACTGCAAGGTTGGTAGAGAAGCCAGAGGTAGAGGTAGGGATTCAGCTGTGGGATGACTGCTGGAGAGTGGAGGTACGAAGTACCCGAGTGGTGCGGTGCCGTACAGGATACGCGGGAAAAGCGAAACTCGGGTACTTGGTCTCTCCTACCTTACCTGGCCTGCCTGACCTTATTAATACGGATACCTTTTGGTGAGAAACCTCATTGCGCCGCTGCTGCGCCCTGTTTTCCCAGGTGGACAGGTATCCGTACGCCAACTGCATTACCTTTATTTTTATTTTTCTAACAAGCTGTCGAGTACGAAGTACCCGACGGCAAGAAGGCATCTCAGTCACCTCCCGTCGGAGACCTAGAGCCTCTAGAGGAAAGAAAAGAGCATTCGAGCCACCACAGCCACTTTGCGCTTGCCTGTATCAGGCCATCAGACGATAAGCCCCAGACGGGCACTGGCCCAGGTAAGGTAATGTAGTGGCTAGGTGACTGGCTCCCGCCACCCACTGGCGGTTAAAGATGCCGGAGCCACGTTTGGCAGCCACTCCCACCCAAAGTTGGCATCCATGGCAAGTAGGAAATGACGACATGCTGCAACCTCGAAACAAAAGCAGTCGTAACCTCCTCGGCGAACCACTTCCCAGTTCACCTCCTCGCGTTGCCCTCGCCGTTGCAGTCCTCGGGTTTTCGGATCTGATACGGCCAGTTTTCGCGCGGCTCGCGGTTGAGTCGTCGGTTTTGCATGCACCGCTTACCGCGTAAGGTATCTGCAGCACAGCCATTTACTTACACCCAAACGTTGGGCCTGAGTCAGCCACGCTTTGGTCAAATCGCAGGTCGCAACCAGAACGCGAATCGCGACATTCAGAGTCGGCACCTGGGAGCGCAGGGCTCAAATGAGCCAAGTCGGAAGTTTATGGCCGCGCCTGACTGCCTACCTCGGAACTCCGTTACGGATACGCATGTTCAGGCTTCGCTTGAATATAAGCGTTAAAAGAAAGCCATCAGGGCTATGCGAGACAAACTTTTGACTCGCAGTTAGTCTATATCGCTTCCCTCTTCACCTCGAGAGCCTCATCCAGTCTTCGACTATTCAACAATGTCCCAGGAAGAAAAAGCAGGACTCTGTCATTGATAATTACGCCAAGCCGGGCGTCAATAACCACTGCATCACTCGCTCAGAGATTTAAGAGACTTGTAAGGATAATTACAGCGTTTCCACTGGTTCATGACACACAAACAGGACCACCCTGGCAGCTTTCCCTTCCAAGTTTCCTTCGATACAACAACTGCGCGAACTCTATCTGTGCTTTAATGAGCTTGCTGGTTCAGTGCTTGGACGCGTAGAAGTTTAATACTCGGCAGGTGTGCAACGAACCAGACAAAGCAGTAATAATCAAAATTGAGCCCTGCATTTGTGCAGGTTTTGTAGACCACCAACTCCTGCCCAATCAGCACCTTTCACGGCGTAGACCGTCAAGTTTGATTTCGATATCCTCTATGCCTGCCAAACCCCCTTGAAGATGGTCCCCTCTAAAAATCAGGTTGGCTGAGAGAGAGAGAAAACTCCCTGTTCTCTCAGATGAACGCCCCATCGTCCTGTTGCGGTCATTTTCCTCGATTCGGGGGCCGAGGGTAGGGCAGGGGCCGGCAGGGCATCGCCATGGGTGATGGATCATTTGGGAGATTACACAGATTAGATTGGAGACTCCATCGTCGCTCTTCTCCGTTGCAACCGTCGCCCACTCCAACAAAAGTTTGTTAGAAAACCTCGAACGGGTTCCATCGAAGGGTTTGTTATTGTCTGTTTCTGGTTGATCTGCCTTGCTGCCAGGTACGGTCCGCCAAAGGAGAATAAAAATATCGAAACGGCGCCCGGTAGTTGATAGACATGGTTCCGCGGCGCCAATTCCCTCATCTTCAGGTGGACGTTCGTCCGTCGGGACGACGGGGTCCAAGGTTTCCAGAAGGATGGGGCCTAAAACGAGACAACAAGAGAGAACAGACAGACGGCAGACGGCTATCCGTCCTCAGACATCGTGTGTTCTGGCCCACGGACACGGCCACTTGTACGCTAAGCTGGTCGCAGTTTCGTGGAATTCAGTGCGGCTCCTCTTGGAGTAGAAGTGAAGAATTCGATGCGAGCTATAGAAGGGTAGCTGCCCGTCGTCTCGGGAACGCGCCCAGGAGAAAACCCACCGGGATGGTAATGAACGTGCTTTCCGACGGATAGAGTCATTGTTGTCTCGCGCACTTTTTCGACTCTTGTTCCTGTGGTACGGAGTACGGATACTGTGGTTAGTCTACCCACGTTTACGCTGCACAACATCTGCACTACACAGCAGTCTTAGCCAAACCATCGACTGCACCCCCAGGCTGTCGAACGTTCGACAAGCCAAGAGGTGCAAGCCTTTCTTTCATTGAACTCCACTTTACGCCTGTCGGGGAGGGGGTCGGTTCAAGGGAGGATTACGTACAGCCGTGGAGATCTTGTCATTCCAGTGCCGTGCTTGGTCTTGGATGACGCCGTGGTTCGAATGACAATCTTTCCTTGGTGCGAATGCCAAAATGTGCGAATACTTGGACAACGCTCGCTGCCATGTCGCAAGGGAAGGAAAGCACATTCGACGGTCCCAGAATTCAGAGAGCCTCCTGAGACGCGCTAAATCGTCTCATACATACAATCGTTCAACTTGCCAAATGAAACCTATATGATAACGCATAAGTTATGACCTGTAAACGGGGAAGAAGCCGAACACCTTAATTCTGGGTAATTCGTACCACTGGCGCCAGTAAAAAGACTCCATTGTCAGTGAGGCAGTGAAGAGCAAGTTCCGTCACGCCGAGAAATATAACGGGGCAAGGGAAAGGGGGCATCAGAAGAGACGGGGGTTCCAGGTTACCCCAGTGTTTGTTTCGATGGAAACGAAATTCGTCCCATGATCGCCGAGCCTCGCCAAGCTTCCAACACGCAGAGACAGAGGCGACAGAGCAGGCTCGAGGCTTGCCGTGCACTAGGAGAGAAAACCAGATGGAGGCCCCTCCCATCTCAAAGGCATGTGGGTGCTCGACGTCTGTTAGCCACCCGCTTCTAGAACGAACCTATCGTCGTAGAATTATCCGTAGACTTCTGTAGGCGTTGGTCAAAGTTGAAGGAGTCTGGCAATCGTCTTCGCTTGGTCGATTCGGCATACGGGAGTCAATTGTTACCCGTCTTTTGAATCTTTTGCAACCTCGCCAGGCTCACCTTGCTAGATTTGAGGGGAATCCTAGGCTAGGTCGCATGTACAACAGCCAATATTCATTTCGTGTAGGTACTGATGCGGGTATGTGCTCTGCCATTGTTTCTCTGCGTTGGGCGTTCGCTGGGTTTCTTGCCCTGGAAGCATGCCTTCCCCTCGCCCATAACACCTTTCGATACTACGCAGTATGCGTTTGGAGGATGAAGAGGGGCTAATCCGTCCCGTCCGTCTCGTCCGCACGTTTCGTTTGGTTCTTCGCCCGGGGCGCCGGCCATGGCAGCCAAAGGGTGAACGGCCCCACGAACTCCATGAAGGGCCCCCAAGAAATGGAGCCCCAGCCAGGGATCCAGATGCATATGCAGGTACCGCGCACTGTATGCCGTATCCGTGCGGCCACAAGAAGAAACAAAAACATCATGTTCGGCTTGTGGAAGACTCTATTCAAAGGCGATAGTGAACGAGGAGAAGCGAGCATTTGCTTGAATTCGTAAAGTTTGGCTCCTTCGTGGTGAATACGAGGTGGAGGGTGTCTGCGGTACGAGGTGAGGAAAAGCCACGAAGCTGCCCCCAACAGAGCCGCCCAACGGACTTTGGTAGGTACTGATTGCGAATGATTTGACTTCAGGTCAGAAGGCGCGAATGAGTCGGCACAACCCTCGGGGGAGTGAAGAGTACTGGTCAGGCAGGTAGGCGGCTCGCAGATAAAGATTTCAATGGTGGTCACACAGGTTGATTTTGGGGCATGCCTCCTCGACATGCATGCGTGGACAAACTTTTTGGTCGCATTCTCGGATCGAATTTTTGCTTGTATTTTCCTTTTCTTAATTTCTTCTCTTCCATTCTCCACTGTGGTTGGCTCGTCATGCGCCGTCTAGCGACGATGGACTTGAAGGATTGCGAACTTTATGCTGCAAGCCGTGAGAAGTGTTGACTATTAAAATGCTGGCACCAGTTCAGCGGTAGCCGTAGCTGAGCGACGAAGACAACGTACGAAAAGTTGGGGTGGTGGAGTCGCTAATACTGGCTCGTGTCGTCGTAAGTTGGCCCATTTATTTCGCAGATATTTTTTATTCCATTGGATTCCGAATCTCCAAAGTGCAGATGCAGAGCCGTTGACCCTCCTCCTCAAGCATCGGTTTGGGGAAGGTGGGCGATCCTTCATGGACCTCTCTGTCTCTAGCGTCAAGATGCTTCGTCATGGTTGGTATCCGTAGGTATCCGTAGGCACGTTATTAGTGTCGTAAGATAGCGTACCCGGGAGACATGTCTGGTCTGGACCTTTCTGGATTCTGGATGGCAGTTGGTCGAGCGGGTTGCGCCGCGTGCGCCGCCATGATCTCGTGGGCGAAACCAACGGCGCCAATTGAACGCGCAGAAGACGAGTTGAATTGCTCACGGACACGGACCTCGTAGCCAAATAAAGATTTTTGTAAGGGAAAACGAGACACATTCGTCGGGCTTGCGCAGGCCATTCCTTTCCTGGACCTCGTGTGTCCATGTCTCGTGTGTCTTGTACGTATTTTTGACGCGGTGCCTTAGTCAGACTTGTCGGCTTCTTCTCTGTGCCTCTTTCGTCCCATGCATCATCTCATTTCATGTCATCCCGACGGATGGTGGTGTGTGCTGGTGCTGTCACCTCTGATTTGATCGGCGGGATGTTTCTCGTTTCCTTTTCTTCTCTGTCGCCTTGATGCCACCGAAGGGCCTGTGCTTTCACCTGTCTGTCCATCGATTAGCCATTGCCTTTCCATCCAAAGCCAATGGACAGTGTACAGTGTATCCATGGACCATAAGGTACGATTGAAGTCGTTGGCAATGAGGTACGGGGGGTACTGCGTAGGTTGCGTTGGATGATACGCCGTGTGTTGACTGGCGTACTGTGCGGGCCTCGATGTGACAGGCACCAAATGGGAAGACGTGAGAGGGATAGAAAAGAAAGCAGCAAGAGAGAAAAGGACAGGGACGCCATGGCGATGGGGTGCATGTTCCCTGCCCATCCCCCGTCCCCTGTCCCTGGCCCATGGTGCCCGTTCCTGGTCGGCCCATGCCCCCATTGCTGGTGGAGGGGGGAGGGGGGGCCACTGGGGGCACTGAGAGAAGGGGGGGGGGGCCGCTCCCCGTGATAGTGGACAGTGGAACTGCTCACTGCAACTTTGGCGAGGTGTGGTTGGCCAATGGGACGCGATGTCCTCCAACTAGCAGCCACTCGCCAATATCAAGCGAGATTATCGAAATCTTCCCACCTGCGAGTGACTGCAATCTGCGCCTGTGTGCCAGTCCTACTGCGTACCTTTCGTGCTTTGCTACCGAGTACCTTCTTGTCAATTCTGTCTTTCCAACCGCCCAGTGCCAATGTCCTCCTCTGTTTCTACCAAAAGTCCAAGGGCCCCCCCAGACACTTCCCAGGGCAAGAACAGATTGAAGTGAACAGGGCGACGCCCACCTCACGTCGAAGCGCTCAACTTTGACCGAAAAGGTGTGACTCTCTCACTTGACTGGACCTGCGTTGTTTCCCTTTCCAAACGGATATTGCATGTTATTACGGAGTACACTACGGAGTACCTTACCCTACCTTACCTTACCTTACCTTAGAGCCCGGCCTACGATCGATCCATTGCCTATTATTATCGTCGTGCCTGCTCACTCCACTCTCCTCCCCCCCATCCGCGGCGCCTGTGTGTCTGTCTGTCTGTCTGTCTCTTCTCTTCTTCTACTCCTCCCTCCTCCTTCTCCTCCCATTCCGACTCCTTCTGGTCCTCTCCTCTTCGCCTCCTGCCAGCAACACACGCTTACGCCGCCATGCCATCGTCCTGATCCATCGGCCATGAGAATTGGCGGATGCAAGGGAGACAAAGGATCTCGAACACGAACAACGAGAAACGGCTGACACGAACTGTCCACGGTCCCTTCCTGTTGTTGGCTTTTTAAGTCCTTTCCGGGGGCAATCGCACTTTCGCACATACGGCATCCGGAGGAAATTTCAGCAAGAGTGTAGGGAAAAAAGAACGACCATCTGTTGATCCGGAACGAAAGGGGGAATTGCATTCGCGCGGCCCGTTGCAGGACACCACCACCACTTCCACAACCGCCAACCACCAACCACCAGACGATAGTACCATTTTATCGACACATGGCCATGAGGATGCCAAGAATGAAATTCGAATAGATCGACAATTCTCATCCAAACACAAACCACACACACACACACTCGCTCACATTCGCTTACTTACCCGGTGATCCAACACCAGTCACTCGTTTACCTTGTTTCTATCTTTATTTCCGTCCCGCCCTGGGAACACGCCGGCTTGAAGTTCGCCTCCCCCAGTTTACCAAAAAAGACAACCAACCACACACAACGGCCGGGGCAAAAGCTCAGCCTCTGCCTACTTGGCCCAACGCCACCCCATCGAAGCCATGACTAAATCACTGCGCGGGTCTTCACTCCCTCAGGCCCGCTCATACCATCACAATCATTACCATTTACACAACCAACGTGCAGCCACCCCCGAGAATGCGAATCACCACCATCGCCAACTCGACGACCCCAGCCCGACGACTCCCAGCCCCGACGCCGCCACCTCGTCGAGTGCCGCCGCACCGAGAATCGTCGTCCAGACCGTCTCCCTCATTCAAATAGTCGATGCCACCGGCTCCCCTATCCAAGTCCAGACCATCTTCCCGACGGCCGCCACCGTGGATGCTTCATCAACCACCAGTGCCGCCCTTGACTTGTCAATTGCCGCGGTACCATCCTCAACTTCGTCCACCGATTCTTCCACGACATCTTCTAGCACCACGAATGACTCAGCACTGTCGACACCGGCGCCCACCACATCCACTTCCACCGACTCTTCCACCAGTCAAGATATCTCCTTGACGTCCGATCCTTTATCGACTCCAGCACCCTCAGAAGCTACGCCGTCACTCTACCCTACGTTGAGTGGCCAGTCAAACTCGACAATTTGTGCGCCGCCTCCCCTTTTGTCGCGTGTCCTAGACCGAAGCAGCTGACCCAATATCTAGCATTCCTTACGTCAACAAACTCTTCTTCAACCTCAGTCTCTACCACAACCAGTTTAACTAGCCAGCTTTCGTCTGGCTCAATAAGCGTCACTTCATCAATACTTTCATCCCTGTCGTCGACGACATGGGGCTCCAACTCGGGTTCGACTGCAACCTCGACATCGGCATCGACCTCGGTTTCGGGTTCCAGCAGATTGAGCACGTCTACTTTTACCACGAGCGCCTCGCAATCGCCCTCAAATGAAGCGACAGCTTCCGGAGATGGGACCGCTGGTGGAATCGGCGGCGGCGCAGCGGGGACGGCTGCACCCACTTCAACCTCCACCTCGGACAATTCTAGCGGTAGCGGTTCGCCAACGCCAACGGCAACTGTCGTAGGAAGCGTCGTAGGAAGTTTGGCTGGAGCGGCTTTCCTTGTGGTGCTGGTATTCCTCGCTCTTCGGTGGAAGAAGCGTACCGGTGGACGGTTCCGCCTCAGTGAGGCCAGCGCCGGCAAACGAGGCATCCTGACCGGTTCCGGCGGTCCACCCGGTGGCAATGGCGGCGGAATGGTTCAACGGTCGTTATCGTTTGATCCCACGACAGCGGCCGCTGGTGCCGGGGCCGGAGCAGGTGCGATGGCCGTGGCTCACAAGCCTTCCTCAAGGAGGGCTAGCGAGCCTTCCGAAACCGGCGAAAGAGGCTTTGTCCGAGTAGCCGGCAGGAAACTGCCTTCTGTGCTACAAGCCGGAGGCGACGGTTACACAGATCCACGCGAGGGCACCTCAGCCGCCGTGAACGATGACGAATCAGTCTACTTCCGGGACTCTCAAGCCTTTTTCGACCCCAACGGTCAAACAACACGCCTCGCACTCGGCTCGCCCATGAGGCCAGTCAGCGGTGTCGTGGTCTTCAAAGAGTCGCCGGCTCGAACGCCAGTGACCGAATCGGCGCCGTTCCCGCCTCCGGCCGCGTCTCCGCAGACAAATCCGCCGTTCGTCCCGTTACAGCCCCCCGGTCGGGACCCAATTGGTCGGACCTTACCTTCGCAGGACGGGTCTCGGGGCTCTCGGGGTTCGGCTTCTAGGTTTCACGAAGACATGTGAATTCACTTTTTTCCTTTATGCTCAACCTTTTTTCCCTTCTTCTTTTTCATTCCCAGCTCGGCCAATGCCGAGCTCGAGGGCAACGCCGGGACTCCAAAAACGTACCTTGAGGCGTATTGTACATTCTTACCAATCTTTCAAACGATAATTACTAGTACTTATTTGGAGGGGTTTTGGGTGGTTGGGGGGTTACACCTTTTTTGCTTTGTGCCATCTTTGCGGACTCTACGACGGCATATGGAATGGCGTTGAGAGAGTTTCTGGCACGTCTGATATGAGCCTTTTTCGTTCCGGTCGTGCGGAAGGGAGGTGAATCCATGGAGAAGGGGGAAGGGATATGGATTCAATTTTTCAAAAGCAAGCAAGCACGCACGCGTGCGCCGGCTCCGGACCGCAATTGCTGCATTGGCATCCGCAGCTGAGGCGAGTGTTGGGCTTGCTTGGATGTAAATAAGTTTTCTTTCCAAGTTTCGCCCCAAGACGGGAGATGAGAAAGGGAGAGTGAGAGGTCAGAGACGGGCCAAAGGGGGATAGAGCGTGGAGGGCAACATTAGATTTTTACCTTTTCTGGCCACGGCCACGAAGGGGAGAAAAAGAGAAGATGAAGTCTATCCGACCTCTTTTTTTGCCAACGATTCTTCTGCCCCTACCTTACCTCACTTGCCTTGAGCGTACGGAGTACACGGTATCAAACCACATGCGTACGAAGTAAAAGGCGCGACCATCTTTTTCCGCGTATGGAAGTTTGTGCTCTCCCATGTGACGAGAACTCTATCTCACTCGAGCTTCCTAATCGCTGGTTGGGACTCCACATGCGATGATGAACATGCCGTGCCGTGTCCTCCCCGTCTGATCTTTTCCCCTTGGAAGGTGGAGAGAAATCCAATTGTAGCAAGACAGGGGGTGAGGGACCGGAAGCGCGGCTGCGGTTGCGTTGGATGATGGAGAGGACGGCTTCTTGCTGAGTAGTGTGAGGAGAGAAGAACAAGAACAAAAGGTCGACTCTTTTCTCTCCTCGGGCTGCCTCCGGGAAAGCTCGTAAGATTCGCACAAAGAAAGGCTTTTGCGCAAAACAAATCGCGGACCCTGATTTCTTGGAGGAGGCTTTCCCCCGGAGGCGGAGTCTGAATCTTTGGGGGGGGGGGGGGGGGGGTCCGAACAAACCCCTACGACGGTCGGGGGTGGAGCAACTAGGTGAGCAGCATCACGAACGGGCCCACACAGAGAACGCGCGGGACGCGGTGCGGGGTGGGGGGGGGGGCGGGGGGGGGGGGGGGGGGGGGGGGGGGGGGGGGGGGGGGGGGGGGACTGCAGAGAATCCCCAAGAACGTTGTTGCCTTCCCGGGTGGAGTCGCTTTCTTGGTGAACCATCTTGAGACACGTATGAAACGGTGGGAACCAGAACGAATGGTCGTGTCGAGCTTCTTTTTTTTTTCTTGCCTTTCTTCAACAACCACCATGACAAATTCGTCTTCAAGTTTGGGGCATAGAACTGTTGGTATTCTCTTTGCAGCGTCTTACACGATCCCGATTGGGTACGAAAGTAGGCACTCACCTCACTGTGGCCTGCTTCCTGTAGGGCGGGTGTCTCATCCATCAGCCGTTTATGAGTGTTTACCATCTCATCCCATTCCATTCCCCGGTACCGTCATCTACAACACGGGATGAAACATCTTTTTTGGGTAGTTGGTCTCAATGGAGGAACAGATGGGCATCCTGTGCAAAGCGCCCATACCACTGCACTGCACACCCGAGGCCGCTCATGATCATCCAGTACGAGTTATCGCAAAAAGGTCGATGATGGAGGTGTAGTGCTGTCAAGTGTCGAGCCTCATCTGCCCATTGTCATTTTGCGATACTTCTCGTATAACACGGTCGTGGTGGCTTCGGGTGCTTCATACCTGGGGGGCCAAAGACAGCATGCGCCTCCATCAGGCCAGAGCTTCCTGCTCCATAACAATAGGAGCCTCGCATAATACCCGAGCTTGGAGTAAGAAACCTCACTCCCGGTCTCAAGAGCTCCACTTCTTCGAACCCTGCGGCATCTTCAACCGTCCGAAGGTGTCGAGACCAGTATGAACCACCCACGACATCGATGGCACCTGCATTCCGTACATAGGCCCGGGATGGTTATTCGAGAAGGGCTCTAGTACGTCGCGGACCTCGGCGCAATACATCGCAGCGGCGGCGTAACCTGAAGTAGTGAAGAGCGAGGCGCGAGGCGACAGCACGAGATCTTGCTGGGTTGACGTTGGTATCGATGTGCGATCTTGGTGGTATGCCTTGGTTTGTCTCGTGATATGCTCGCTCTAGACACTTGCGGTATCCAACGACAAAGGCCACGCCCCGTTTTCGTAGAGCGTTTCCCCCATTGCCAGGATGAAATATCATGGAGTCATTGAAAATGGATCTTGAGGAGTCGAGATATTTGCTCCGGCTTGCTCGGATCAAACAGCTGAGCCCCCGGCCTCCCGCGCGCGCACTCCACCCGGCCGACTGGATATAAGCCTCGCCGAGCTGGTTGGGCATGCAAAGAGGCCTCACTGTCCGATTGTCAGAGCAATTGTGAATAAGCTGTTACCATAGCTTCAGACAGGCCTCGATAATGGTAAAGCAATTATCGTTCAGGGGGTGGGGGCTCCGTCAATGCCCGCGAGCGGTACCGCGAATTGGAGATAACTCCGTGACGAGCCCAGGCCGGCACGCCATATGCGCATGCGAGTGATTCTCCGTGCTCGACGCCGGATGGCGGTTTCCCTCGTTGCGGTTGGCTAGCGTCTGTGACTGCGAGTGAGTAAGAGATAAGAGGAAGAGGGAGAGAAGGTTCTGCGCTTGTGCCTGTCACATCAAGCAAACCCTTGTTCCTGGACTGATTCCGAGCTAGTCTAGCCGTCAAGACTGAAAAGGTGTGTCCGAGCTACGAGAAGATTCATCTTCCCATCAGGATTTAGAGCTTTCTTGAGAGCATGGCCCCCCAGACAGTGACGGATACCGAGCCGCTTTCCTGATTGGAATATGGGAACGAGTAGAGTTCGTGATATCGTTGGTAAGTATCCGTCCCGTGTCCATTCTTATTTTTTTCTTCTGTGCCATTCCCTATTCGATGGCGCCTTCTCTCAGGTTGAGGTGAGGATCCAAGTTGGAGAACTAGATATCTTCGGACGCTCGGGACGTGGAGGAGCCCAGCTTGTAAGAGGTGCAGGCCAGGGGAGGGAGATTGATTAAGGTATCCGTACATGCACTGCAGATGGCGCCGCACGGGCGGTAGATGGGGCCTGTCAAGCCGATTCAGCCGATATGATTCGCCGCGAGAGTGTTCCTCGCACATGGTGCCGCGCCAGGGGTTGCAGAGTGACAGAGAGAACGACGGGGGGGAGGTCTGCTAATGCTGGGTATTGCTGTGTCGGGGTGGTCGAGAGCTGAGACAAAAGAACAATTCCGATATCAAAAGGGTTAGAAGTTGAGGGGGGGGGGGGGGGGGGGGGGGGGGGGGGGAGGGGGGGGGGGGGGGGGGGGAGGAGCAAGCGGGGGGGGGGGTGGGCGGGGTGTGTGGGGTGGGGGGGGTGGGGGGAGGGGAGGGAGGGGGGGAGATAGGGGGGGGGGGGTGGGGGGGGGGGGGGGGGGGGGGGGGGGGGGGGGGGGGGGGTTAGGCCGGTAAAGTGGGATGAGTGGGGAGGAGAACGACCTACATGACGGTGAAGTGATGAACGGTGGAAGCCAAGAAGCGGGAGACGAGGTCCGCCACGGAATCCAGGCGCTCTCCTCGTGGTCAATGGCGTCGATGAGTTGGAAGTTGGAACCGACCAGGCGGAAAACCTGGAAGTCGAATCGGTGAGGGCGCGGAGGAGCATCTTGGCGTCGCGGCTCGGGGTAGACGTGTCTCCTGGCCTCCATCGTACCCTGGAACGGATCTAGGGCATTGTAGATGCATGGCCTTGCGCTGCCTCTCTCCTGACAGCTGTACCTAGCTTTGCAGCATCGATCAAAGTGCCGAGTCATGACCCGCAAAGTATCAGACAGTTGCTCCGGCGGCCAACAGGCACCGCAGACAAGCGAATTGGCGTCGAACTTGGGGCGAGAGGCCCGTTGACTGGCGAGGAGAAGCAACTCTACACCACCACCATTACCAGTACAATGTGGTTGTGATGGTGGTGGCTTTCGAGATGCTCCAATGGCAGGCGAGGTAGCCGAAGGCAGCAAACCAAAATAGCAAAGCGACGTTTGGGGGTGTAGAAGAACGTAGCAGAATAATAAAGAGGCGCGGATTATTACATGAGATGCAGTTGAATGCCATGTGCTCTCTTTAGTTCATTGGTAATAAGGTACGTATAGCCGTATACCTACCGTACTTACGTTGATCTGGTAAGGAAGGAACCTAAGTCGACCTCTCGCTTCCTACGCATGTCACCCTTGTACGTATCCGTCCTTCGTACCATCTCGTCCTCCGGGCCGGCGGTCGACAGCAGCAGCAGAAGTCGGGGTCGCCCCCTTCCCGAAGCACCTCCCCATCCTTCTCCAATAACCCCCCCTTGTGGAAGGTACAAGTTTCCGTTTGTTTAAGCATGTAGAATGTTGTGGGAAGGCACGAAAGGCAGGTACCTTGGGTAAGGTACGCGGATACCGTGGATGGTACCTTACAGCTGGGGGATCTGGGAGAGCACCGCGGGCAGCGAAACGAGACCAGTGGTGCCCCGAGATGTACTCTCGGCCCCCTAGCAGTCGCCGAAACAACCGGTTCGACAACAGCCGCTGGCCGTCTCCTCAGCCATACGGAGGAACCAACTTTGGACATAACTATGGCGGCTTCACTCCCTCTCCTGCTCCGTTCGACCCCATGGGTGGTCCTCCTGGTAGCGCTTCAGGCAATATGGGCTATCAAGGCTTCAACCAGCAGGGTCCAGGAAGTTCATTGTCTCCCCATGCAACTGAGTTCACCACTGGCGATGGATGGAAGAGCGAGGTACGTGACAATGCCAGACATGGACCTTGATGCAAAGTGCTAATGTTCCATCCCCAACAGGCCATTGCCACGGAGGGCCAGACGTACCTGCCAACTACTGAGCCTCTCAACTACCGCCGCTTGTTGGATCGGAATGTCAATTGCAACTGGAAGTACATTGTGGATAAGATTGTCTGCAACAATGACCAGCAGGCCTCCATCTTCCTGCAGCAGAAGCTCAAGGTTGGCACTCCAGACCAGAAGTACGAGATCGTGGAGGCAATCGTTGCCCAAGCGTATCCTCTCATGGTCAACCGTTTTGGCAACTTCCTTGTACAGCGTTGCTTCGAGCACGGCACTCCAGAGCAAGTTGTTAAGATCGCGGAAGCCATTCGCGGCAATACTCTCAATCTGTCCATGGATCCCTTTGGTTGCCATGTCGTTCAGAAGGCGTTCGACTCCGTCCCCGAGGACTACAAGGCTATCATGGTCCACGAACTTCTTCGCAGAATTCCCGAGACCGTCATTCATCGTTACGCCTGTCATGTCTGGCAGAAGCTCTTTGAGCTTCGATGGTCCGAGTCCCCGCCCCAGATCATGAAGTTCGTCAATGAGGCTTTGCGAGGCATGTGGCACGAAGTCGCTTTGGGCGAAACTGGCAGTCTGGTTGTCCAGAACATCTTCGAGAATTGTCTCGAGGAAGATAAGGTATGCTGACATTTTCTGACCCTCTTTTCTACATATGTGTCTGACTATGGATTTGTAGCGTCCCTGTATTGAGGAAGTCCTTGCCAACATTGACATTGTGGCTCACGGACAGTTCGGAAACTGGTGCATCCAGCACATCTGTGAGCATGGCGCTCCAGCGGACAGAAGCCGTGCTATCGATCATGTCATTCGCTACGCTGCCGAATACAGCACTGATCAGTACGCCTCCAAGGTTGTCGAGAAGTGCCTGAAGATTGGAGGGGGAGAGTTCCTCAGCCGCTATCTTGATCGGGTCTGTGAGGGTCGCGTTGATCGCCCTCGCATCCCCCTCGTTGACATTGCAAGCGACCAGTACGGCAATTATCTCATTCAGTACATCCTCACTCATGCGGGTCTGCAGCACCGTGAGGTTGTCGCCGCCCACATCCGCAAGCACATGGTCTCTCTTCGAGGCTCCAAGTTTGGATCTCGCGTGGGCATGCTTTGCACCAACCCCGCTGTTGCTACTCGTCCCGGCCCCGGAGTTGGTCCTGCCATGAACCGTATGGGTGCTGGTCCCCGTTACAGTGGCGGCGGCGGCTACCGCTAGACTTTGTCACCATCTTTTCATACTGTCGCCATCAACTTCTCAACTGTTCTCACTCTGCGTCACTATAGGACCTCTTTCCCCTAATTCCCTGTCACCCCATTCGATTTCCCTCAACTTTGACAAAGTCGTTGCACCACCTCATTTGTCCGTGCTTACGAAACATCTTCCTCGGCCATTAATTTACAAATCAGCTGTCATCCTACGCTCGGCAGGTTATCACTTGTCTGAGTGCATTGGACACTTCATGGTTACGGATTTTGCGATATGGAGGTGCGTCACTGTGACCTCGAAACCCTAAGTGGGCGTTGGAGTTGCATCACGAAGCCCAGCCAGAATGCTCGCATCTATACATGGCGGTTCATCGACACATCCACATACCCCTTTGATACTCCTTTAGTCTCATCAAAATTCAAACTGGACAACCCGGAGGATGGCGAGGATGGACAACTAGGCAAGCATGGCATATCGGACCAAAAGTCAAAGACAATGATTGTATGTAGTTATGTATCACATTCCGGAGACTTTGGAGTGCGGCCTTGGTCCAGCTTGGACAGCATCTGTGGCAGTCCTCAACTGAGCATTAGGTAGCTCCCTAGAAATGATCCTTCTACAAGTAATTTGGTCCCCTCTATTATCTTATGCGCACTCGTAAATGGGATCTTCCCGTGTCGGGTTTGTAATGTTTTGCTTGACATTGTTGACTCTGTGGTAATCCATAAGCCTTGTATCCCTATCCCCTCTCCAGAACGCCATTCGTATTGCCTCCTGAATCCTACATGATTCTGATCATGCATCGTCTTACGCTTCTTTGCTTACAGACTCGGCCTCTACTGCAGGTGATACAGCGTCATCTAACGGTGGAAATTCGGAGTCGACTACAGATGGCTTCTCTACCGCCTCTGCAGTTGCGACATCCTTCTCCCACGGCTTCTTGGGTACCGCACGTTTCCCAAATGGTTTTACAGACTGCAAGTTCAGTAACGATCTTGAGAAGAAGAAAAGAGGAAGGAGAAACACTAGGGGAGATACTCACTGCGTCCCTAACGACGGTGTCTGGGATCTGTCTGATGCCGGGGATGGGAATCCCCTTTTGAATCATCTCCAGCATCTGCGCGAAACCCATTGGGTACGCTGGCTCGTCGCCCCCTTGGCCTGGAGCGCCCTCCTGCGGCTGCGCTTTGCGTTCGACGTAGAGGTCTGCTTTGGGGGCTGCTGCTTGCCATGAGGGCGTTGCTTCGTCTGCCGGGGTTGCGGAAGAGTCTGGTGTTGGGTCTGCGGGGGTGGTCTCGTTGGTGTTGAGGGTGTCGAGCTTGGATGTTAGTGTTGGGACGTCGTCTGCTGATAATTCTGTTGCGCCGCTGGCTGCGGGAGCTGTGGACGAGGAGGCTCCCTGTGTGCTGGTCGCGCTGCTCGTCTTGTATTCTTCGGGCAGGACGTCGGGGGGCGTGTGGTCCGGGTGCTTCGCGAGCCAGTCCTTGTACTTTGCAAAGTCAATGGTCACGCCGATGCGCTGGGCGTAGTAGAATATCCGGGCGTGGATCGCGAGGTCGGTGGGTGTGCCTTGCGGGTTTTCCGTGTTTGGATCGCCGAGGATCGCATAGAGGCCGGACTGGAGCACGTATCGTTAGCTCGAGATGATTGACGGGCTATATATTATCTGTGATTCCAAGGTGAGACGTACTGTGAACATCTTGTCTCTTTTCCAGGGGTACGTGTCAAAGGCCTTGAACATGCCGTCCTCATCTGTGATTGCGCGGATGCGCTCTGCGCCGGAGAGGGTCGCCATTGCGAATGACCCGGTTGTGTGATTAATGCTACTAGAGTCACCCAGACCTGAATTGTCTACAACGCACGAGACGAAGGTGTGAGAAAGTCACTCGAGTTGTGTGTTCAAGAATGCTGCTCGTCCTCGTTGGCCTGACGTCGTTGCCGAGGCTCAAAACTCACGGCAAAGATGTCGTTCGGTTTAAGCATCCCTCCCCGGGAGAGGGAAGCTCGGCGGGTTGGCGGGGCGAGAGCTTGGCTTTCCAACGCCCTGATAAGATAAGCAAATGAATGTACCCCGCGAAACCGCGGCTCGGTGGGGCCAGGGCGAAGTTGGGGAGTTTGGGGTCGAGAGACGTTTGGGGAAGAAGACTTCTTGGCTTGTAGGAGTTTGTTCCGACATCCTTGCTTTTTCTTTTGGAACTTCCATCGGCCTAGATTCGGTTCACACTTTGTTTTCTTGAGTCTGGTTTGGTGTACTGTTTGTATGCCAGGGGATAACAGATCGAAATCCTCTTTCTGCTGGGTACATCTGACATGTGAAAAGCATTTTACAAGGACAAGTCTTCGTCAGCACAAATAGACATCAACGCAACGACGGCACTGGGCATTCGCCTTCAAACTGACAGAGGTTTTGTACATCTCGATTGCTAGATTTCTTTTCTATCTCAAATATGTGTCACGGTTTGTCTACGGGCACGCTGACGATCATCAAGCGGCTGAACCTTCTACGGATATGTTTGTGTTATGTGGACGGGATGAAGACTATTGCGCAGCACTTTACTGGCCCCCGTTTCGCACAAGTCCCAAAAATCATGAAAGAAACGTTCAAAGTCGCCAACAGTAAAACGGACAAGTGTAATCCATCAGACATGAAAAGTTTGTGTGTATAGCAAAGCTCCCCCTTCGGGTCCGCTGTTCCGCTGTACAGAGAGCCTCCATCTTACGAACGAGGTTCTAAGTATCTTGTTTTTGTGTAGCAATGTGGCTAGCCAAACGGGGCTGCCACTGGTTTGCATCATTTCCAATGGGAAACGAGCTGGTATGTTGTTGATAAGTCCGGGTAAAAGAGGAAAACGTCTAGAATGTCCATGGCGTAAGAAAAGATGCCACACTCAACCCACCCCCTGTGCTGAACGCCAGTAAAACAACACCAACGGTTGCTGGGATTCCCTAGAAGCAGTTGGTGGAATCCAATAAACCCTCCGATGCAAAAAAGCCGATGTTTCTTTTCGAACGCCACGTGATGATGCTTTTAGTTGTGCTGGAAAAGGACGCTGATCGACTCGCCGTGGTGAACACGACGGATAGCCTCCGCAAAGACCGGAGAGACTGCTAAATTTTAGCTTCGCTCCAGGACACGGTAGTATTCGAGAGCACTCACCGTCCAAAAACTCGAGTTTGGAGCAGGCGCGCATGTGGTCCTTTTGAGGAACGGTGTTGGTCACGACCATCTTGTCGATGGCAGAAGCGTTGATACGCGGAATGGCGTCACCACTGAGAATGCCGTGCGTCAAGAGAGCATAGATGTGAGTAGCACCCTCCTTCTTGAGCAACTTGGCAGCTCTCGTAATGGTGTTGCCGGTATCGATGAGGTCGTCAACGAGAATGCAGACCTTGTCCTTGACATCGCCCACCAGCATCATGCTGGCATTGCGTTGCTCGGTGTACTTGGTCGGGCGTCGCTCCTGTAAAAAAAAAACATGAATCCTGTGTCTCCTCACACGGGAAGTAATGGCCTACCTTGTGGATCAGGGCGAAAGCCATGTCCAGCTCATCAGCGATGGCAGTGGCGCGCTTGGCTCCACCAGCATCGGGACTGATAACCACAGCATCCTTATAGTTGGGGATGTTCTGGCGGATGTACCTCATGAGGAGGGGCTTGCCGTACAAGTTATCGACCGGCACATCGAAGAAGCCCTGGTACTGAGGATCGTGGAGATCCATCCTGCAATCATTAGCATATGCTTCAGAAAGAAGCAATGAAGCGATGCAGGTATAAAGAGCATTTGGGAAGCTCCAGGGAGGGTTGTAGCAATGGCCTTTGTGTCACATAAAGCACCACGTAAAGGATGATCGGGAAGAAAACCTACGTAATCTACGTTTTGTTAGTTTGGCTGCGCGAATCTTTTGGCCTCCTTTGAACACTCTCTCGAGCTATTTTCAGGAGTTCTTTTCGGGGGTACATACCACATGGTCCGCACCAGCGCAAGCCAGGAGGTCAGCAACCAGTGTGCCAGCTTGGGCAACCCACTGCTTGTATCCAGGCTTGGACTGGAAGCCATCGATTCGGCTTTGTTGCTCGTTGTCGTGGTTGGTGTAGCTGACCTGAGAGGATACAGAGTCGTGGTGGCTACGACCGTTGCCATTGGTCTTGGAATGGTCGACGCCGTTCATTCCATTAGATCGCTCCTCGTTGAGCTTGCTCTTAGCCAGCTTTGAGGCAATGCCATCAATGCCGTTGGGGAGGCCCATGCTGCGCGCAATACCAGGACCCGGGGTCGCAGGCACACTCTCAAAGGTGTAGTTCTTAGATGTCCCTGCTGCTGGCTTTGAGAGAGGTGCGCCGGCCTTCTTGTAGGGGACATCGGGTTGTCTCGAGTAGGGGAACAGAGGCATGACAGCCGTAACTCTCTTGGCGGAGCCCGTCTTGCAGGCAGAGATCATGATGCACAAGTCCATGAAGTTGTCATTGACATTGCCAGATGCAGTCTGGACGATAAAGACGTCCTTGCCGCGCACAGAGTCCTTGATCTCGCAGCGGCTCTCTCCAACAGAGAACTTTGACAGAATGCGCTCGCATGGGTTCAGCCCGAGGTTGTTGCAAACACTGTTGAGGAGCTCCGGGTGGGAGTTGCCTCCGAGAACAATGATATTGCGGACCATTGTGAAGATTTGCTGGTTGCTCAAGAAGCAATGGGTGAATGAACAAGAGGAGAATAGTGGTCGGGCGAAACCGGCGATATTGGAGGCTGAACCCAGAACCGCTCGAGGGTATGACTAGGACCTGGGGAAGAGAAGAGGGCGTCGAGGCCGGGGCTGCAATGTGTATTTCGCAGCTAGGGTATTCGAAGATGGTTGTGGAGAAAGATACCCCGGGTTTTTTTGAGGGTTCGAAGGTGTCGTGTGCGGGTTGGAGGATCGCGAGCGAAAGAGCCGGTGTCGGGTTTGCTGGAGGCGTCAAAAATCTGCTAGTGGGGTGCAGGGCGACGTCACAGGGACTGGAATGTGCCGAAGCCGAGGGTATGCGTAGAAGGGAATTGTATAGTAAAGATGCTCGAGAGCTGGAGAGCAATCAGCGGGGATGAGGGGGAAGGCCTCTAGAGATGCGATCACAACGGGAGCATGACGAACAAGCTCAAGAGAAGAGGGAGGAGGGAAAAGCTGGTAGCGGGGGGAATTCTGTCTGAAGCTGGGGTTGTCGAGAAGTTGTAAAGGAAAATCTCTGAGTGGATAAGTTTGTTTGGGATTGGCAGGAATCGGGGTCGGGTGCAGTCGCCGCCATGTGGACTTGGGGGTGGCAGGTGGAAATGTGTGGTGGTGGGGTAGAAAGAGAGATTACACAGGGCTTCCTCACAGGGTGGATGGGTGTAGAAGTGGCCATTTTAGGTTAGCACGGGTACCTTGTTGCGCCTGTGTGTATGTTCATGACTCCGATCTCTGGCAGTCTCGCAGAGATTTTGCGCCCCGACGACGTTCTAACTATGCACTGTATTCTTCCGGTCGTTGCCAGGCTGCCCAGACACGCCGAGCCTCACGCAGAGTGCCGTAGACCGGTGACGGAGATGCCTGAAGCGATGCGAGGGCGGTGACGGCGGCGGAAGACATAGGCGACCAGGTACGGAAGTACAGTGTCAACGACTGACTTCGTACAGGGAGGATTGAATTGCATTGGATTCGTGGAACGCTGCCCGGAATGCAGCAGTGACTCTTGTTCTAATTCTGACTGCGATATGCCGAATGAGGTGGATATTCTGCAATCCATCCCCTTGTCAAAAAGTCTGGCTGCCTCGTGATTGTACGGATAATGCAGACAGAGTATATGCCTCTTGAATGTACATCCAGAAAATAGCGCTCCTTGACGATGATAGTGAGGTGGGAAGGAGTACCTGGGGAATCTCACACCTCCCCTTACCTTATTAGTGTCGTACTGTACTACGTAGGTAGTTGTTCTAAGGTAGTGTAATAAGGAGTGAAATAACGCGAGTAACCGACCGGCTTTTATTAACGACAAGAGGTGCAGGTGGCAGGGCCGCAGGCAGGAGGAAGCGGCCACCGGCCAGCGGAGGCGCCTACTTCGAATCTGAAGCCGCCAACGCCAACGCTCTTTCCCCCTCTCATTGCGCAATTCCAGATCCGGTACGTACTCTACGACAATTTAGCACATGGCAGAGTGGGGGACTGGGCATCGTGATTGGTGCCTTGGGCCGTGTCAATGCACCTGCGTTTCTGCTTGCCTTTTTATCTCCCTGCAGCTCGTTGCCAACCGTACCGGCCATCGACCGCGGGGCACTTGGGTTGTCAAGAAGAATTTGCGGCAGCATCGTACCTTGCCTCCCATTGCTCGCCTAGATTCCGTACAGTCACGAGTGTAATTCTTTTTACGAGATTACACAGTACCTTTACCTCATCTGACTCTTCCGACTTCTCACAAGTCACAACTGGATTCAAGGCGACCCGATATTACCTTGATAGACCCTCAGGCAGAGTCACCAGTCACTTACCCTTGTCAAATCAAACGTCAGCTTGTCCAAGGTTGTACTACTTGAACAGCCTATTCCTGTCCCTCTCAAAGAGCATCTGCGAGGTTCCGTTTTGAGTGACAGGTACATTGGCCTAGCCTCTTCACCTTGTACACCGACACGTCGATTTTCCGCAAACACCAAGCGCCTGCGCAGCTTGCATTTTCCGCACTCTTTTTAGCCGATACGCAATTGCCGCCGTTGCCACCTGGTATCAAACGGTTTGCATCACACCTTCTCCTCTACCCGACAATCGCAACCTAGTCGTCCCCCGCGCCAAGCACGCAATCAAGATGAAGATCCTTGAGGCTCAGTCGGCAGTTTTGACCAACTATGAGGTCTATCAACATCTGAATGAGCGCAAGCTTGGCCAGAAGAAGCGTGAGCGTGGAGAACGCCGCGGTCCCGGCAACCTTGAACCGCTGGCAAGAGAGGTGAGTCTGACCACATCCGAGTTATATATGCAATGAAAATTGGGTATCTGCTTCTGTGTAATAAACTCATGGCTGACACATATGTAGCTCCTCCAGTATCTGCGGACAGCACCAAACCCGCTCAGCCAAGACCCCATTACATATCATCCAGACTGTATCACCCAGCTCCTGGGTAAGCTTCAGCCCTATGACTTGGCCAAGGGTGAGGTCATCATGATCCTGAACCTCCGCCCAGCATCCGTCGCCGCTCTGAACACCGTCATCGAAGAGATGCCTGAGCGCTTCGATGAGAACCAGCAGGAGGAGATGGTCAACATCATTGCTGAAGTGCTTGGCTCGTTCCCCCAGGAGGCAGGAGAGGAGGAAGGCGCCGAGGAAGCTGCGAACGGCGCTGCTTAGAAAGCCTTGCCGCATCACACTTCGCAACTCACTTTGGACGGCACCGAGTCCCCCAATGTGTCCTCTTCCTCCTGGAGTGGAGTATCAGGGTCGCCCTGACGAGGCAATGAATCTCACATGGCGACACAACCGCCCTCGCTCTGTCCTCCCTCGGCCTTCCGCGTCATGATTGCGGTTTTACCAATCTCCTCGAACGCCAGCTTGAGCAGTTCGCCCGTCACCGCGGAGCATTCCATGTACTTGTCTATGCGGATCTCCTGCGCCTGCTGGTATGCTTCTTGGGGATAGATGATCCCGTTGGGGTCGTCTTCGGATCGTAGGTCTCTCTTGAGACCCAGCATGAGGATGGGCAAGCGGTCGGGCCTGCGGAAGGACATTTTGACCTCTGGAAGCCACTGTATCAGATGTCAGACGGGATACAGAAACAGAAGAGAGTCATTCAGGAGTACATACATGTCTCCTCATGTTGATGAGACTCAGCCGCTGGCTTATGTCGTAACACAGTATAACAATGTCCGGCTCGAGCAGCTTCCAGTTCTCGGGGCTATTTGTATCATAAAACTCTAGACGGTACGGTTTTCCAGAAAACTTGATCTCGAAAATGAAGGGTTGGTCAATATCTCTGAGCAATCTGATGGGCCCGGTGCCTTCGCCGGCGCTCAGTCGCCTATTTCAGGGGCACATCTCATTAGCATTGTGAGACCCCCATGGCATGGTCTCGATAAAGGGCATACGGACGAGAGAAACGACGTCTTTCCACATTTCTCATCACCAACTAATAATATCTTGACTGATTCCTCTTCCATGATTGTAAAACCTTTGATGTTGAGCCTTTTGAAGGGAACGCAACGGCTGCTTCGGACGACTTCCGATGGGACGTCTAGATACGGCGATGTCTAGGGAACAAATGGCGCAGGGCCAGGCCTGGTGCGGACTCAGCCAAGACTCCAGCACCAGAAACACAGTGCCCATTTCGCGCCCACTGGTCCCGTCGCAACGGTTCGGCTTTCTCCATGAGGGGAGGATGAGAGAGTGTGGAGTCGAGCTACAGCCACAGCACAAGCCACATTTTGTTTTCTACAGGGCGACGAAAAAAAGTTGATGCTAAGAAATAAAAAGAAATAAAAATTGGTTGTCACTCAACTTGCATGCGCCGGCCCCTCCAAAAGTGACTCTTCCAGGCCCAAAGGTACCCGCATGATGCCGGTCCGCGTCTAAACCACCACCACCCCTCCAAAAATTCCCAAAAACTCACATGAGAGAGAGAGAAGGCACATGAAGCCCTTACATGAATTGTTTTGGGGTCTCTGTCTGCATTGCCCGCCAAGCCCGAGTCTGAACCTATCGAGGCACGCTGGAGGTCTATTACACGGCTGCTCACAAGTTTTAGTCCGTCGAGGAGGGCATTATCAACACCGCCACCATCTGCGTCGTTTCACTACTACTCACCAGCATCTCACTCATCCTTACCGACCATCCTCTACATTCGCGGCTAGGAGCTTCAGCACCGCTCCCGTCGCAAACATGGCCGATGTGAGCGGACGGTACGAGTCATGGGACCAGGCGCGTCTCATCTCCCGCATAAGACAGCTCGAGCATGAACTCGACAAGCGGGATGCGGCATCAAAGGCCTCCGGAGCCGGGTCCGGTGCCCCCAGCAGCACCACCAAGAACGGCACCGGTGCTGCAGTGGTAGCAGCAACAGACGGGGCCCCGCCGGTGAAGAAGAGAAAGAAGGAGGCCAAGCGGATCGACTCGTCACGGTACTCCACCCGCTTCATCGCGCTGAAGCTGGCGTACCTGGGCAAGCGGTACGGCGGATTCGAGTACGCCACCTCGGCGAGTCTGCCGACGATCGAGGGCGAGCTGTGGAACGCCCTGACAAAGTCGTGCCTCATCTTCCCCGAGGATCAGGATGTCGTCAACTTTGACTGCTGCGAGTACTCCAAGTGCGGGAGGACGGATCGCGGCGTGAGCGCGTTTGGACAGGTCATCGGGTTGAGGGTGCGGAGTAACAGACCGGTGCCCAAGAAGCAAGAGGATCCTGCACCGGCCGCTGAGACGGAAGGGGACGACACTCCGATGGAGGGCACGGAAAAGGTCGAGGAGGAACAGAGGGAGAAGAAGCCCGAAAGGGTCTGGGACGAGATCAACGACGAGATCCAGTACGTCAAGGTCCTCAACCGCCTCCTCCCCGACGACATCCGCATTATCGCCTGGTGCCCCTCCCCGCCGCCAGACTTCTCCGCCCGCTTCTCGTGCGAGGAGCGCCAGTACCGCTACTTCTTCACCCAGCCCGCCTTCACACCCACGGCGATCACCGTCGATGGCACGCCGGACGGCATGAAGGAGGGTTACCTCGACATCGACGCCATGAACCAGGCCGCGCAGAATTTCATTGGCAGCCACGACTTCCGTAACTTTTGCAAGGTGGACGGGAGTAAGCAGATTACAAACTTTGAGCGGCGCATGTTCGAGGCTGGCGTCGAGGAGGTGAAAGACGTGGGTACGGTGCTGCCGTATCTGGGCGCCAGTGCTGTTGATGGAAGCCAGCTTCCGAAGGTGTATTCGTTCAACATCCGCGGGACAGCGTTCCTGTGGCATCAGATCCGGCATATGGTTACGATTCTGTTCCTCATCGGCCAGCGCCTGGAAACGCCTGACCTCGTGACGCGGTTGCTCGATGTTGAGAACACCCCGCGGAAGCCGAATTACGATCTAGCGCATGAGACGCCGCTGGTGTTGTGGAACTGCGTCTTCCCAGGCGACGACGAGAGCCGGACGTCCAACGACGCGGAGAATGCGCTGGGCTGGGTATACGGCGAGGCCGACGTGGTCGAGAACCTGTGGTCGCACTACCGCGAGAAGAAGATGGACGAGCTGCTCGCGAACCGCCTGCTGGACCTCGTCTCGAGACAGGTACAGGGGACCGAGTCGAAGGCCAAGGGCAAGAGGGTCTTCCAGGGCGGGCACGAGGGGAAGCTGTCGGGCGGGTACGTGCCGATTGCGAAGAAGCAGTTGACGCCGTCGCCGGCGGAGATTAATGACCGGTGGGCGCAGCGTAAGGGCTTCAAGAACTCGGATGAGATGAGGGAGTCGAAGAATTGGAGGAAGGCCATTAAGGATGCCAAGCAGGCTGCTGCGGCGGGTGATGGGGATGAGTAGGTCATGGCTACATGCCCCCTATCATAAACAAAAAGATAAAGTAGAAAGCTTTGGTCAGATCATGAATATTCGTCAAGGCTACGAGGGACCTGTTATACCCCGTTCTGCCATCTATCATCCATCTTCCTATTACTACTACCGCCATCCGCTTCCCACAGACACCCCCTTACGCCTCTCCACACCGTCTCGACAATCTTCTTCTTGGGTAGTATCCTAGGGAACACGACGACGATATCCTCTTCCCCCTCGACAATGACAATCAAATAGTACCGCACCTCGAAGCCCCTGAACGCTTCATTCACAAGCACGTCCTGAATCTTCTCGGTAGGTATGAACCGCGTCGCGGCAGCCGACAGATAACTCCCACTCGTCGAACTCGTCTGTATCCCCAGCCCGCGCAGCACGAGCAGACTCTCAGTGGTATGCGTGCGCTTCAGCGTCGCGTACGCCGCGAGCAGACACCCCGGGACCAGGACGGGTAGCGGTATCGCATGCGATGCTGCCGCGGCGTGCGCTAGGCGGCCTGGCGCCGAGGTACGTATGAAGAGGAGGACCTGCCAGAGCGTTGCGCTCGAGAAGAGGGCGTCTGGGCCGTCGTTTGCAGTTGCGGTTACGGTGGGTTTCGCTCTTGTCGATGCGGAGAGGAGGGAGATGACGTATGGTGATTCTGCCAGGGCTGCTTGGAGGAGGAGAATCGAGGAGAAGAAGAGGAGGATGCGGAGGGTGAAGAGGAGGCCTGAGAGGACGCGGACCGCGAGGGTTGGTGGTGGGCGGGTTGTTACTGTGAATTCGGCTGTTGTTGGCGAGGGGCGCCGGACGTGGAGGCGGGGGGTTGTTGCGAGCATCGTGAGGTTTTGGTTGGGGGTTGAGTGCTACGAGGAGCCGGAGCCCGAAAAGTGAGGACGGTAGGGCTGCTATAGTGCCATTGAGGTTATGCAGGTTCGATTCGGCTTGATGGTTTTGTTTGGAGGAGTTGGTGAGAGCTTCGCAGAGCCGGAACCCCTGGGCGCAATCGCGAAGTCAACTCCGACCAGGATTGCAAGCTGGGCTGAATGATGGAAGCTTAGATCGGTGCTCGGTGGAGATGTTCACCGGCGCGTTGGGTACCTGCACGCGCAAACCAGTTGCTTACCTCAGCAGACCCACCCATAAACCACCGCACGTCCCCCGCCAGCCCCCGACCCTACTTGAAGTACAATTTTGTTCGCAATTACCGGCTGTAATGGTCAAATGGTTGAAGGCTTTCATTACTCTTCTTCCGCTACCCCATCCACATTGGAACCCCTCAGCGGCGCCCAGTGCGAATGCTGCGGTGGCCACCCACTCGCACGGGTAACCTGCGATCGCTGCGTGTGGCCCTAAGCAATGAAGATGACACTTGAGGGAGGTTTCACTCTGCAGAGGTATCTTCACCGTCGCATGGCGTGCTGGATTACGATCGCTGGGGGCTTGGGGTAGTGGAGGAGGATAGAGATACCGACTCCAATTTTTTGACCTTTTTTGGGATCAGATATCGTACTGGTCGGTAGATGCATGTGCATCGCGGTTGCGACCGTCTGATTGTTGTCGCTGGTAATTGAGACGAACGCCTACTGTGTGTACAGTTGACGATGTTTTTCGGGGTGTTGAGAAGTACCTTTTTGGGCACAATTTCTTTCGCACATGGTTCAATCCCAGTTCACGACATACTTCTTTTGTTTTTTCCCGCCTTTCCCCTTGGACCAAACTCAATTGAATTATCGGAGTCACTGTATTAATACTCTCATATGACACAGCCATGTCTCAATAGTCTCGGAATCAGTTTGCATTCTTCTCAATTTTCAGCCTGTACGTGGCCATCTCGACGAGCAAGCTACATAGCTATCATCACCCGCTCAAAAAGGGAATAAAAGACCAACATCAGTTGCAATCCAGTCAACGACTTGGAGAAGCAGATCTGAAAAGGAAAGAAAAGTTAAAGAAATGAAAAGAGGCGGGGGAAGGAAGAATCCCCGTACCCTTCAACTAGATGAACAAAGATGCCGTGAGGCAACATTGTAAGACACGCGTTTCCAGCACTTTTCGGTCCCTTTTCACCCATCCCGTTCCAACCCTTCCGTCCTCCTCCTCCTTTCTCTCTCTCTCTCTCATCATACTCGTTGGTGCAAGACGGTGTCATCTTGAAAACCATCCAGCTTTTTCTCTGTTTTCGTTTCCATTTGGCCCCTTTCGACCTTCCCCCGCGACGACTGTTCATTCCATCACGTACATAGCCGCTCTTCCCACTACAGGTATCGTGTGTTCATGTGTATTGCCTCGCGGCTCTGCCCCGAAATCCCAAGATCCAGCCATCATCAGTCATCATTTGAGAAGTTAAGAATGCAAAACAAGAAGTGTAACGAAAAAGAGTTGAAAGATAATAAGAAATTGGAGAAGAAATGGCATTTCACTCCGCGTTCCAATGTTCGTCGTCAAGGATAGACTCGAAGTATACAAAAGGCGGCTTCTAACTGCTGTTGTTGTGGTTCTGGCGGCCCCAGAGCTGCCACACTGCAAAGTGTGTTGTTCGTGTTCGTTGGTCGTGGAAAAAAAGTAATGGTATCGAGATTCATCGAGAAACGCCTGTCGCCATGCAACGAATCGACATGTGATGTGTAAAGCTAATTAAGGGATTGGGGAGTGTAGAAACTTTTCCCAGCAGGAAGACCAAATCAAATCATCTCGCTGTGGTGCAGGCCAGTAGGCAAGCTCTTCTGCGCCATGGCGGGGGGAGATCGCATCGACTCGCGGCCGTAGTTCATTGGCATAGGTACGCTCTCATAAGGGGCGTATTCGTAGTCCTCCTGACCGCGGGGCCGCGCTGAGGGCTCCTTGCGGTTGCGGCTGCCGGACCTGAAGCGGTCGGTCGCCTTGGAGAATCGGCCAGCGATGCTGTTGTCTCGTTCAGAGAAGCTGCGTCCTCGGCTGTGACCACCCTTGGACACGGGCGGGGCGGGTGGTGGAATTACTGGGACTGTTGTGTCCATGGGAGCAGCAATAGTCGTTTGGATAACGTCATCGTCGTCCATGACAATCTCAATCATACCGGAACCCATGGTCACGGGTTGAATGTGGGCGGTGTACGGGAGAGGCGCCGGGGGCGGGGGAGGAGGCATCGCAAGGTGCTGAAGCTCCTTCAACATTGGCGGAGCAGGAGGAGGAGGCGGCGGCGGTGGGATGCTTCCGTAGTTGTTGCTTTCTTGGGAGGCACGTCTGACCCGGATCATGTCATCGACAGTGCGAATCTCACCAGAGTGACCTCTTCTCATGGAAGGACCGCGAGAAAGACCTTTGCTGCTGGCGCTAGGACCTCTAGGGGAGGGCGCATCAGGAGGGACGGGCGGGGCCGACATGCTGCGAGGAATCATTCCGCGGTTGGGAGGTTGATAGACCGTGGAAGGAAGCTGGTAAGTTGTCTGAGGGAGCAAAGTGAGGGTCTCGGCAGACTGCTCTTTCTCGGGGGATTGCTGCTGGGGAGAAGTCACCGGGGAATGTCTCTGGGCAAACGTAGCCGGGATCGGGGGCACCGGAATGCTGTTCTTGTCTTTGTCCGACTCGATGATGAGACGCATGGCCTTGGGCGTTGCGGGCAAACCAATGTGCACATTGGAGCTGCTGCGTGCGTACATGCTTCTGTTGGTAGTAGGGTCGGCAGTGTGGCTGCGAGGCGGAAGCTCAACGGCACTTGGGGATGGTTCAATACCGATTCGGATGTGGTTGGGGTGGGGAATCGGTGGCGCCGAGGGACGCTGTGCGAGGGACTTGCGACGTTCCTCGAGCTCGCGAGCAGCTTCCTCCTTCTTACGCTGCCTCTCATCCTTCATAGCCTTCAAGTCTCCAGCGTGCTCTGTAGAGGCGGCACGAGACTTGGATTGGGGAGGCGCAATATCGCGGGATTGATCCAGATTCTCGCCAGCGTGGCGACGGCGACTCTCGGATCGGTCTCGTCGAGGGAACTCTCTGGTAAGCTCAGGTGAGAGCGCCTTGCGGGACCCATGCTGGCTGGTGCTTCTGTTGTGTCTGTTTCTGAAGTTCTCTTGGGCAACAACAGCCTTGACATAGTCCTCCTCGTCTTCAGACCCCTGGTAGTGGACAAGATTGGCTGACAGAGGTAGAGGAGACGAAGGTGACCTGGCGTGAGAGCCAGTCCGGTCCGCACTTCGGCCGCGGAGTTCAAGCGCAGGAGGGCGATGTCTGCCTTCGGGGCTTCTGTTGCGGCCTTGGCTACCCCGGCTGGATGCGCGACTAGTACCCTTCCTGCTCTTGCTAGACTTCCTCACTGTGGCGGGCTCTCCGACATCCGGCAAGAACTTGGGTGTGCTCAGGTTGATGAGATCCTCGGGCGACATAGGGATGGGCGAGGTTGGGGAGCGCTTTGCCTTGGGCCAGTTGCGGCTAGAGGCACGGCCACGCTCAGCGGAAGCTTCGCGAGAAGATGTCTTGCGAGTGCGGCTGTGGTCACGGTCGCGGCCACGGGAGCCATCGCGCTTGCCCTCTCGACTGGCATGTCGGCTTCGCTGCTTGCGTTGTTGCAAGCGCTGGGCAGTGTCGAGGCTGTGGATGTAGTCCTGTCGTCCACCCGTAGTGTTGCTGCGGATGCTTTTGCCGGTGGTGGATTGAGACGTAACAGAGCCTGTGACGGAGCCGGGTCCCCTACGTCGGGAAGGCCAGTGGAAACGGGTGGAAGATGCCACTGACTGCTCGGGAGAGGTGATCTCATTGGCCATGTTGTTCAAACCTGCAAGCTCAAGATGAAGTCCCTTCGGCTTGCGGTCTCGGGAACCGTTGCGCTGGGCCATGCTGCCTTCCATCTTGATAATCATTCTAGCATCAGGAGATGGGGGAGGTGCTTCTCTTGTCCGTGTGGTGATCTTTTTGTACTGGTCGCGCATCATCATCGGGCTTGCTGTGGCAGCCCTCTGCAGAGACAGGCCAGCGGCGAGATTTTCCTGCTCGGCAGAAGACATGCGCAGTTGCATAGCACGTCGAGATTCCTCAACGTCAACCTGAAGCTGTTCACGCGACAAGTCTCCCGGAATCTCACCGATGGAAGGGAGGCGCTTGCGACTGAAGGCAGATGCTCCGGATCTCGCCGAGTTCGGGGTGTTGAATTGGCTGCGGTTTGGTGGGCGGATGAAGGCAGTGGTGACATCATATCCACCAGGGGAGACCGCAGAATCGGCGATGGGCGTTGGGCCTGCGGCGATAGGAGTCTGTCCGCCGTCTCCTTGAGAGAAGAACTTTGATTTCCCTTGCTGCTCGCCAAAAGACGTGATCAGCTTCAGAGCGGACGTCTTGGCGATGCTTCTTTGGGGTCCACGATTAATGCCGGGAGGCGAGAGAGGAGGTGACAGGACCTCCGGGATATTCTCATGGACGTTCTGGTTGATGCTCTGGAAGGTCACTTGGGCAGCAGAAGGTGATGTCCATGGCTCATCAGACTCGGCACCAGTGCAGGCGAAACTGGAAATCTGTTAGCGCATCGTACCATTATGTTCACTTGATAGAGAAAACGTACCATCTCACGGCAAGCTGCTGTTGCCCGTGCATAACAGCCCATTCGCCCCATTTCTTGATGATAGCTGCCTGTCGTTCCCAGACGGCGGGATAGAAGAGACAAGTCAGGATAAGCGCCTCCATGTACTTCTTGTGGGACACGTAAATCTCAATGGCATCATTGTGATCACCCATGCCAATTAGAATGGTAACAGCGGCGTGAAGATCACCGTGCTCCAGGAGTCTTTGAACGTAGGCGCGCCCCAGCTTGTGCTGCGAAGCTTGGCCTCCGATACCACTGAGGGCTAGCAACATCCAGTCAGAAGAAGTCATTGAGGCCGAGCTCGCTGCCATGACATCTGCGTCAATATCGCCCAGCCATCTCATCAGAAGAATACGCGCCGGTGAAGCCGCATTGTGTCGGCTCAATTCCTCTCTGACCAAGTCGTCAATCTCCTTGTTCCATCCAAAGATGGTGCTAAGCATCTGCTTGCGGAGATCGTCATTCGTGAGTCGGCTATGGTCACCCCCGATCGGGTGCTTGTAAGGAATGTCGCTGAGCCGGCTCCTGGTGTACTTGAAGAGATCCTGAACCTTGCTGTCGACAGGGCTCGGCAAGACCTCATTTCGTAGACGGGATGGCCTAGAACGGCGAGAGCGGTATGAGGACATGGAGGTGCCGCTCATCATTGACGTTCCGCTCATGGAATACATGTCTCGTTCTTGGTAAGGTGCAGCAGAAGATCTGAGAGACGAGCCAGCAGAGATGTAGGTGTTTTCAGTCATGCCTCGAGAGACGGCCGACGACGGGTACCGGCCGGGCGTCCGAGATCCTCCGGAGGATCGCGAGATGGAAGACAGTCCGCTGCGGCTAGAAGCCGCGCTTGCGGTATCGGCATCGTAAGGGTCGAGCGCCTTGGGCGTGCCCGTGTCCTTCCGGCTAACTATACGATCAAAGGGAGACAAGTGATCTTCGTCGCTCTCCGAAATGCCGAGCTCAATTGAACCAGACGTGGCATCCGAGTCGGTAACGATGGTTGTTGATGTCTTCTGTCCCTGCTGTTCCTCTATCGAGACAGGCGGTGATGGTGGCAACAAGTTGGCCGGGTGCTGTACATTAGCAACTATGATGGAAGGGGTGTTAAGGTCGAATTGCTGTACGGTGTTGTTGGCTCCCAGGGTGAAGAGGCTGGCGCCGGGGCCGTACACGGCCAGGCCTCTGACGTGCTCGAGCGTCGGGATACTATCCCAAGTAACGTGCTTAGTACGGACATCCCACGATAGTGTTTCCCTAGTGTGATAGAAGTCAGTGCAAGTTCTAAGCGCGCGCGTAAGCCTCAAGTGGCAAAGAATGACGTACGAGTCAGAATGTTGGATAATGCGGCCGTTTTTTGACCAGCCCATCCAGTTGGGACCGGTCTGGTAGTTATCGGTGCGCTTGAGAATCCTCACAACCTTGGCGGGGTCATCGCTGCTGTACGACTTGGACACACTCCAAACTCGGAGGTCGCCATCATGGGTCTGTGATGCCAGCATGTCCGATTTTTGACGAGACGACGAAGCATGCCAGTTGAGCGTGACGATAGGCGAAGGTGCTCTTGATGTGCCTAGGTTGTGGAGGATAGTGAAACGTGGCTGAAGAGTTGCGACCAACAACGAGCCATTTTGGTATCTACGAAGAGTTAGCAACTTTGTTTTGCGACGCCCGTTGGAGTTCTTTAAGCTTACCCAATCGCAAATGTCCTACAGTCTGCGGCTGGTGCAAGCGCTGTCACGGCAATCTGGTCAATCGTTCTCGAAGAGATATGCTCTGATGTTGTGGGCTCGAATAGAATAATGTTGCCCTGCGTATTACCTAAAGCCATCTGTTAGTGTATACTATGTGAGAATTTTCGGACATAAACATACCAAATGCAACATTGCCATTGCGCATCCACGCAGCAGTTGTCAAGTGCTCGTATGAAGCGAATCGGGCTACTTCGTCGCCCGTCATAATATCCCAGACAATGGCTGTCTGCCCGGCATCGTAACTGACTACCAGCCTTCCGGCTCCAATCTCGCTTTGCGTATCAACTGCGAGCAACTGCACCTCGTCCGAGTGCCTTGAAAATCTTCTTTCTATTGTGAGAGTGTCGTGGTGGCAGCATACGATGGAAGAACCCTGGGCATACAAGAACATGGACGCCGTGGCGGCGCATGGCTCGAAGTACCGCATGATGTTGGGCTGCGACATGTTGAAATCCTGCATCTCATTGCTCCGACCTCTTTGTGACGATTGCCCGGAGCTGACGGTAGCGGTTCGGTTTCTCGCGGAGGCGGACATGATGGCACTATATCCTTTTTCGGATTTCGATCTGGGACCCGGTGCGATGTTAGTCGGCAAGCTGCATTTGGGGAGGACGACTTCAAGGCAGGGCAAAGGCTGCAAGGTCCGTGTCTGCCAGACCAGAACCTTTGAGCCCTCTCAAGCCGAGAAACAGGTGGGTGACTCCTGTGAGACAGGCCTACTCACCAATCCGAGACGATCACAGCACCGTCCGGCTGCTTCGTGGCGAACCAAAGGCAGTCGGGAAGCTACACTTCTTCCAATCCAACCATCACATGAAGCACTGTTCAATGTCCGTTCCCGGGCCGGCTGTCCTTCCACGTTTCCAGGTTGCAGAGACTTTTCGCAAAGCTCTTCGTAGGCGTGCTAGAGTAGCGGTATCGTCTTCCTGCTGTCGTGTTACGGTTGCTGGTTGTGCCGTTGCACTCTAATGTCTCTCTTTTACGGCGCGGGGCTGTTGGTCCTTTTTCTTCTTCGTTGCCAGTGAGTTACCGGATAAAGGTAGGACAGGAGGAGAAAGAGAAGAAAGTCTGGGAGCCGGCGTGTTAAAGACGGTTACAGTCTGTCGGGACGTGTTGAGGAGGGGGGGCAAAGACGCTATAGACGCAGGTGGAAGGGTGTGAAGCGATGAGGTTGTCTCTGTTGAAGTTGACGTTGTTGGACGTAGAGAGAAAGCTCACTGGATAAGTCTTCGTCGAGGGGGTGTGCCGGCGCTTGTCTTGCAGGAAGATTCTGTCAAGTGTGCAACTGGATTTTTACAGAGACACACAAGCAGGGAGAGAGGGTTTTCTTGCTTACAGACTGACGACGGAAAGGGAAAAGAAAAGAAAAGGAATCGAAAAGATGATGGAAAATAAGAGAGGCTGCTGCTCGAAGGGGGTGTGTGCCAGTGTGGACGGGGTGTGATGGAGCCAAATGGGAAGAAAGTCAAGCAACATGGAGCATGGCGCCTAAGTTTTGGAGCTGACTTGTCACTGGACGATCAATCTTGACCATAAAATTAGAGCTGTTCAGTGAACGGTCGAGGTATCTGGGAGCGGATACGGTCCGGCTCATCTGGACGAGCCAAGACGCTGCATGCTATGTAGACCGGGGTGCTTGTCGTCGAGGGACCCTGTCAAGCCAGTGGAAGGGGACCAGTCAAGGTGTGCAAGGTGCAAGCCACCGCGTGCCGAGGGGGACAGAATTGGGGAATATGCAGCAGGACGACGGGGGGGTCATGGCATGGTGGAGATGGTCGAATGCCATGAGCGGCGTGGTTGGGCGACTTGACGAAGTATCGAGGCAAGCAGAGTGAGTCTGAACAGGGCAGTACATCAATATTTTGCCATAATTAGGTCTCCGGTCCTCTTCTCGCGCGGTGCTAGCCAGTGCCAGTCTCTTCTTTTTTCGCGAGATCCTGCTTGATGCTGCTGGCACGCTGCCGCTACTTGCTGCTTGCGATGCTTGCTTAACCTGCGTGCGTATGTGCGCGCGGGCGGGCGACAGGAATATCAACCTATCAAGTTGGGCTGAGGCGGCACTGGCTCCCTCTCAGCCCAGCTTGAATTCCCCGTCTCGTGATTGTGACGGCCGGGCCATCTCATCATTAGGTTCTTGTCTCTAAGATCGTGCCCAGCCCACCACGCATAGCGAGACAAAGAAAGAACAATGAAGGAGCAGATGAAGAATCCAACCGAATCGTCTGGTCTTTGACTCGCAGTGACGTCCCATCGGCGGCTGTTCTCCAACAAGCGTGTCTCGCTTTGGATATCCAGCTCCGCTTTCCCCCTGATGATTTGACTTTGCATTGCTGTATCGAGTAATGGTTGACAGTGAGGCAGTGAAGACAGCGTATGTCTCTTTGGGGGCGCCAAAGGTACCTTACAGGACTGCTGTGGAATGGCAGATGCGCGGTATGTACGCAGAAGGAGATGTAGTGCGCAGGTATCCAAATCTGAAGACGGGGGACCAGTGGCATGACTCCCCTCTTCTCGGCGGTGGTCACGGTCGTGAATCCTGGTACAAACAGGCTTGATTCGCCTCGGTGGCCATGGATGACTAGTTGCTAGGACGGACTCTTGAACAGGCTTGAGAGCCTGTCGAAGGGTCGAAAGGCAGCGCAGCATAGAGAGACGGACATGGCCAGAGCGGCGGGAAGTGAGGAAAAGAGCATGGTTGGGGGAGGAGAGAGAGGCTTGGTTTGAAGGTCGTTTGCGTGGACTGGGAGAGAGAATCGAGAGAGGACGGGACGAGAGTGAGGATAGGTTGAGGGGAGGGGAAGGAGGAGGACAGGGAGCCGGGGTTGAACAGTCTACGCGCCGAGGAAAGGGTGATGGCGCCTAAGGAACTTGCATGGGGCCAATCCGGAGCCGCATGTGCCTGCTGTTCAGCAGATGCATTGCAGGGATGCCCATGGACGTGCGTCTGACTGGTTCGTCGCTGTTAACATCCCGTTGGACTGATCCACTTGGACCCACCCAGAAGTATCCACTACTTACTTTTGGTGTCTCTGTTCCGCCCCGAGCGGCGGCAATGTTGGAGGTAGCCGCTACCTCTCGCCGGTTTCCCCGTCTGTGCCACCTTTCCAACCTCACCTCATGGACCTCCACCTTCCTCTACTATTACTTTGTTACTTCCTTCCTTCCTCCCGTCAACTAATACCTTAGGTAGGCATCTACGGACTATCTCAGTGCACCGCTCCTTCCATCGGTACTCCGTCAGGTACCTTACTGGTGCACAATTCGGAATTCCTCAGTTATCCATCTGGTTCGTATTTCTGTTTGTTCTTCTGGGAGTACGTACCTCACTTATTTCTCCCCGTTTGACCTCAATCCACCCTCCACCAACTCTATCAACTCTATCAACTCAATCAATGATATCCCAATCTGGCTGTGTGCCTGTTTGGCCAGTGACACACCATCCGACCTCTTCCCTCCAGTTTCAGGAACATTACCATTTCTCATCGACAACGTCAAACCCGTCACTCCCGTTACAATACCTACCATTGCAACGTACGAACTCGATCGGCTCCTTAGTTCCAGGGGCTGGACTCGAACGAACGCCACTATTCTGCATCCATCGCGAATTCGCCATCGCCTCTGCCGGTACGGGTCTGGAATCACATCCCGCTGGCCGGCACACAAGCGGCCACCATCCATCACCAATCCCCACTACTTGTGCTTGAAGCTCGGAACTTTGTGTTCCCTCTCGCCCTCTCGCGGCCTCGCCCTGTCTGCACACTGCACACTGATGGAGCAATTCAACGGCCTGGCAACGTGCAATGCTTCACTCCGAATCCTCCACCTTCTCATCCACAGCTCTAGTCTCTACCGAGTACTGCCTAAGACTCCCGGTCCGTCCACACAGGCCAGCCCTCTCAAGGATTGAGGCTGCACCATTGCTGCATCTGCCCGCCTTTGGTTCTCTGTCCTTGCGAGACGATCACTGCTACCTGCATACCTCGAACACCATGCACAACACAGACCCCCAGTCGACCTGATCCGTATCAGATAGAGCTTCCGAATCCCAGCACCCAACTCAAAGCACTTCAATTGGCGTTGCCTGCTGAGTGCCCAATCAATGCTCGCCTCTCTCTGTTCAACGTCTCTACCATTGTGGGGAATTGGCCAACAATGAGGTCCATCGCAATGTCCCGCCGCTACGATGAGACGCACTCTATTACATCACCAAGCTTCACTGCCAGTCAGGGCATTCGTTACATGTCTCACTCAGGGCCGAAGGAACGAACGTTGCTGCACATATCGACATATTCGTCCACCTGCCACATCAATTCGTGGCCACACCCATTGAAGTTACCCATCCCGGTCTGGCCTACCTTTTGGACCCCGGATATCAGTTCCTCGTCAATGCCCCTGGAAAAAACCATCCGATGGCAGCCCAATGACATGGGAAGACGGAACAGCCTTGCTATTGCACCTTCATCGGCCGCTAATCAGCTTCACACTCGTCCAGCATGCAACCTCACCGGCCGCTTCCCCGTGCATGACTGAAGTACGGATTAAGGTATGGCTGCATGTTGAGAGCATGGTTCAACCCACGGCCGCCTCATCCATTGACCGTCGCTTAGACCAATTTTCTCAAGCTGATGCACAAGCTCCAGGTACGTAACGTGCCCTCCACTCTTCTCCTTGCCATCACGATGCTACCCCGGAACGGGTGGTCAATTCCCCCGCCGCAACCACCATCTTGACCGTGCCTCAACTATCTTGCCGGCTAGCTGCTTGTTGGGTGAGCTCGTTATTCGGGTTGTTAGGCACCTACGTGACAGATTTTCGACGATTTTGGCATGCGTGCTGTCTGACATCTTGTTTGCCCTCGTGTTACCTTCAAGGTATCATACGAAAGGCCGATTGGTCTCGAAAGTCTCTGAGAAGATGCGATGGAGCAGCCATATTGCTCTTGAAGTCAGAGACTTCATATGCATCCGGTGAAAGCGTGAAATAGGGCGGCCGATCCGACGTGTCAAATCAGCTTCTCGTGGCGCCAGCAAACCTTGCAAGATATTCGACGTTGAGGGGGCTGAGAGACATCAACATCAAACGGCGACGTTTTTCCACCGAGAGGGACCCCTGGAATCTGTATATTACGCAGTACGCCACTCCGGAAAGTTTCCTATGTACCGTGGCGACCTTGTCGAGCTGCTAGGGCAGTACTAAGTAGTCGAGCCTGACTTGCAACCTAACTGCACCTCACTGAGACCATAGTTCGACTAGCGGATTGAGTTGAACGAGCCTTGATGGAATTTTCCTCCGCTTCGGAGTTGTGGGTTGATGGGCAGAGCTCGCCCACCCCTGCCATGTCGTACATCGTCTTGGCTTCACTGCAGGGGTCGTGTGTTTGCTTTGCCGTCGAACTAGGTAGCCTCTCTAGCCGTCTAGATCGTTATCGCTCACTATTTAACTCCATCGTTTTGCATTACTAGAGGATTGCTACAGTACATATAGACGCTACCCTACCCTCGAATTCCGCACTATTTAACCTTAACCCTTTTTTTACCTATCCTTTCCTCTATTCTACCCTCTCCCTTGTTAAGGAATTATTAAAATTATAATTTTAATAGCTTATTAATAAGCTAGTATTACTATTTAGAGGTAAGTAACCTATTCTTATATATAAGTACTAGGAGTTTTATTATTATAAAAATAGTAATAAATATACCGGAGTACTTAAAAAAGCTTTTTAATAAACTTTTAATACTATTTAAAGCGATTATTTTCGAGCTATAAGAAAAAGCTAAGGCGCTATATTAATACGGCCCTATTTATCTTATTAATACTAATAATAATCTTTTTAGTATAAAATATATTATTAATACTCTATAGCTATATTATTACCCTTTATAAATTATACTTAATATTAGTAAGGATTTTAGCGTTATCTCTTAGTTCGTTTTTTAGTTTTTTTATTAAGGCCGTTATTATAGGGTTAATTTAGTTATTAGTATTTTAATAAATATTTTAACTTAACTTAGAGGCTTTTATAGCCCTTAAAAAGAGGCTTTTAAAGGACTTATAATTAAACTTTTTACTTATTATAGGTAAAACTATTATAATTAAAGTTATAGCGCTAGTTACGAACCTTAATAATAAGTAGTTAGTAATATAATTATCTTTCTTTTATAGCGAGCTTAAAAAAGTATCTTAATTTAAGTACTAGGTAGGTACTATACTATTTTATTAAAACTATATTCTTATACTTATGACTTAGAAAGAATTAACTTTCTTCGATAATAAGGTACTTAGATCGTTATCGCTCCCGGTCGAGTTTCCGCTTTAATCACAGGTGTATTAGCTATTTTACATCCGGCTGAGGATGAACAATCCTTCCGGTAGCCATCAATCAAAGCATCGAGAGCGGGCTAGGGACCATTCGATGAACGAGAATCGTTCTGCCAGACGTTATCTGGCCAGCCCTGACAGAACCAACTAGCAATCAATGATCGACATCCATCACACGAGACCGAGCCTCACGGCACAGTGGCAGAGTGGTTCCTGGCCCTGTTGATAGGATCCAGTCACTTAATTGTGCTGAGGCTAGGATTGTGCGGCTGGATTACTTCACAGTCTCAATGCAACTGTGATATTCATGCTTGTAGAGCCACGAAAAGCCTAATCAGCCTGGCCAACGTGCTAATATTTGTGCTTAGTTTTACAGCCGATGGAGGATGTCTATATCAAATACCGCAATAGCTTCCCATATTGTCAGACGGAGTCGACCGACTCAAAGCTCTCATCACATATCATTTCGTGACGGATCACGTTGACCATCCACATTACAATGATTTCGAGGTTGCTGCTGGGGGCCCTGGATGCTTGGCAACTGTTGCCCCACGCATTGCTGCTCCATCTTACATTCGATCGCTCAGATCAATGTCAGGATCTCACACGCCAGGAAGCAGCCGAGTGGCATCGAGGGCGAGCCGAGCTGGCCGGTCTGTCTATGCCGTATGACATTTCAATACTATTGCGATCGACTTCCACTACTCTTCCAATAGTGTCGTGGCAGAATCACGGCGTTTGCATCTCGCGCGGTCGCCGGCGCAAGAAGTGCAAATGCATGACCGACTTGAGCGGCCTGAAGCGAGCAGCCGTCACCCTAGCGGCAGCGGCAACGGCAACCATGGGAAAACGTCATTCTCAGATGCTTTTGAATCTCACGACATTAAACACTTGGACACCGCGCTTATCGGGATCACAGCAGGATCCATAGCGATGGAAGTTTTAGCCACGCCGCGCAAACCGCAATCTATCCTCAGCTTTCCATACAGGCCGGGGGTACCACTAAGTGCTGTGCAGCGAATGAGAGGCTGCTGTGCCACTTTGACGTCCTTATTGGCAGTCAGCTATCCCTCGCGTACGGCATGACGGGTACAGAATCGTCGATAAGTGGCTCTCAAAACGCCTTTTTTGACATGCGAATCCTCCATTCATATATATCCCCACTGAGGGGAGGCCATGCGGGATTAAACCTCACAAAATCGCAGGCCAACGACACCTTCCCGACTTGTATTTTACGCAGGTCGCCAATTCGAGTCTTTCGGGAGTTCCGCGTCCCGTGACGATGAGTGGATGCGGCCGAGGATAGGGACTTTGCTCTCAAGAATGATGAGGGTTGCCTGCTCGACCATCACCAAGAGAAGTTGAGAAGCTCATTTTCGAGTTTCCATTGGAGAATTTGACATGTCTCAGCAGATGAGTAACACACCACCTCGTGGCATCACGGAACCTGCGCCGTGAAAGAGCTCGCTTACCCCTGTCCTGTCATCCCTCTGGGCAGGCGGGGAAACCAGGTGAACTGACTCTTTCAACCGCCCAAAAACGCGAAACGAGGCAGATTCGCAGCATCTTATCAAGCACGAACAACACTCTTTGGGTAATGGGCAGGGGGGCCATAGACATGAATGAAATCCCGGCATCTCCCCAGTCGACCATCCGATCACGTCTGTACTGCAGCACTTACATCTGCAGAGATCATCACCGCCGAGAATATCCTTGTCCCATCACATCTGTTCGCACCCGCGCTTTACTCACCTCGTCCCACACGCCGCCACGGTGACCGACAATAGTCTAAGATCTGATGGCGTGCGCTCCATCTTGACATCTGGAAGTCAATTGCAGCACGTCAAAAAAGATGAAGGGTAAACCGGCATGACCGGCCGTGCGCTGGGAGGGTCAGTCTGCTAGAAATCCCATTTTCTCCAAAGAGAAGAGACACAAAAGCTGTTGGACCCCTGGACCCAACCGCCGTGCCGCCCTACAGACCGCATGCGGCCTAGGCGCGTGTGATTCGGACGGCGCTATCTGTGATTCGACATGGTGCCCCGTTGGTCCACCACCGTCCGTCCACCCAGGCTCCCCCATCAGCCATCGTCCTCCCGCCGTTTACGGCCGGCACGAGCCATGAGCAAACGTCCGCAGATGACGGGCACGCTAGGCTAGCTAGCACTCGCACGCGCGGGGCGACGCGGAAGGGATGCACGGGTTGGTTGAAGAGGTGTAACGATGGAGAGGTGTGGCGGGATGCGGACCGGGGGGGACAGACTGGGGACGGGGTGCCCGCGGTCTACTATCGATGTGATGGAGACCCGACGTAAGCATTTGGCTGACGGCTGTTGGTGGCGTTGGATCTTGAGAGAGCTTTCTTTGACTTACACAGATATGAGAGTCCGGTTCACTCGATTTTCTTCCTGCTCGTATTTGCTAAGCTATGTATGCTTGTCTCGGCGGAATCATTCTAGAGCTTCCCCTGAAGCGGCTGCGGTTACGTACCTTGTTTGTTGAGTTTCTTACCGGCGGCAAGGTAAGGTACCAAACGAAAAAAAAATGAGGTGGCTGGGGGGGAAGAATAGGGCTGGTTATTCGAGGCGAGAAAATATCTCGTGGACGGTGGACCTGTAGATCCACGATGGAGGCAAAAACACAAGCCCGGAGAACACATGGAATGGAAGCTGAGAGGACCGCCTCGCTGGACGAGCAAGCGCTGAGCAGCAGTGAACGGCGGCGGTGAGCGTTGTAAGCGAAGCTGATGCATGGTGCGCGGTCATGTGCCCTCGTGCAACATACGACGAGGGGAGGGACCTTTTGTTCGCCGGGCGGTTGGGGAGGAGGCAAAATAGCATGGACAGAGAGAGAGGCTTCTCTGCGTCCGGTGGTTTGTGCCACGACGATAGGAGATCTTTAATTGCTTATTGCTTTTTCCTCGTGGTCTTTCGTGCTCGTAGGATGCCGTTGTCGAGCACGTGGTTTTTTCTGTGCCTTGGTTGATGCAGGAGTAGGTAAGTATTTCGTGGGGGGCTGGGCTAGGCACGTTGGCATGGGGCAGAATTTCCCATGTCTTGGAAGTGGCTGTAAAGTGTTTTTTTTTTGCTTAGCTGGCTGGAGGAGACTTTTTTTCCGAGAGCGGCGGACCTAGTGTATGGAGTACGTTGACGTGGTATCCCAATGTCTCACTCTGCGTTTCTGGAAGCATTTTAACGAGAGGGGAACGTTTCCTCTGGGGGAGACGGGAGAGTTGGGGGTGGGATCGAGAGGGATGGTCTGCGATGTCGGTGAGGTTGTAATCGGCACCTTGGGTGCAGCGCGCGTATGCAGAGCCAGCGAAGCAGGAGAGTGTATTCGATATTGCTGTGCTGTGCTGTTCTTTGCTGTGCGTTTTGTTTCTCGTATTCACAGTCGGTCAACTAGCTTGCTAGACAAGGCAAGTTGCTTGATCGATTGACACTCTGCCATGTGTTGAGACGTGGTTTCTCTCCCTTGGATCTAAACCCACTCAACTAAATCCAACCGGGGTTCATATTAGTAAAGGTCTACTACTGATGTTATCGGTGAACTAGTTCCTTCTCTTGGCAGTACCAGACTCTTTTACTCTAGATTCGATTCCATTGAGCCAGATCTTCTTATGCAGGGTAAGGTAGTAGATAGGTGCATACACCAACCGCTCTCATGTCAATGCCGGTACGGTACGCAAGCCTTGGTCCCGGCCCGTTGCGCCCGTGCTGCCGAAGTCTCCACAGTGATCTCCGCCCGGGGGTATGCGGGGCCCGGGGCGGGTCTTGGACGGCTCCCCCGCTCATCACCGTTTCAAACGGCTTTGGGCTTAATTTGACGACGAGCGGGGAATGGAACGGGGGGACTTGTGTGCTCTTGATCGGATAGACGGTGTTGGATGGGTTGGATGTGTTGTTGGGAAAACTGCTTTTCTATCCTGCGATAACTCGTGTTTTGCAGCCCTTTCGGAGCTCTAAGGTGTTTCAGGGGTAACCGTCTTCTGCGCATCCGGGGGAGGAGATAGCTGAGAGATGTTGGGGGAAATAAACAAAAAGCTCAGTTGACAATCCAGTTGGAACTAGGTTCCTCCCCCAAACTTCTTGGGTTCGCTTGCATCTGGAGAGACTTGAGCGTCAGTTTAGGCAAAAAGAATTGAAATGCAGATAAAACGAACTTCAACAAATTGCATAAGCTTTGGAATCTGTGTACTATACTGGGATGGCAACTCACCTCTTGGTCCTATTGCCCAAAAGCGTCACAATATCTTCGTTGTCAAAGGCTCAGTACTGGACGAAGTCTCATCCTCTTTCTCTCACAAGCGATGCAGTACCTTCGGATTTCAGACTTTAGCCCTTCCTGGCCCAGAAATTGCCAGCTGCAGCTACTGATGTTCGATTTGTCGCAGCTTCGAGCAACTCAGCATAGTACTCGTGCAAGGAATAGGCAGACATTGTTCTCAGACTCTTCGGGCATGTGCATTACAGCTGGTCAAAGAACCTATTCAAGCTCTCGAGCCCAATTTCTTCCTTCAACGCACGTAGTGTCTGCATATTCATCGATGAGAATGTGACGAGTCCTCCCGTTCTCAACCCGTTTTGCATTACTTCAGCCAAGAGCTCGACATTCTGGGGGTGTGGTTCTGAGATAGCTAGCTGGCCACTTGTCATAGTCTTTCTCGTTTTTGCATCACTGCCCTCAGTTTCCGGGTTGACTTAGAATCATTGCGCCCGACTAGCCGGCTAGGTGAGGCTGTGTTTTGAGGCACTCGGTACCCCGGCGATTGCCAACTTCCGGAAAGATTGAGAAAAGATCTCCGGCTTCCGTGAGGAGAAGGCAATATGAGTCATCAAACGATTACAACTAAGCTGAGCAAGAGGTGACGGTGGGCACGCGGAATTGATGGAAGATCCTCGAAAAGTCGAGGTGTACGACAGCCAAGGCTTCAAGGAGAAGCAGTTTGAGAAGCAAATGGTCTTCTCAATTCTTCAGTGTAACTTTTCCGTATCCGCAGGTATCTCATGACCTGTCTCGAAATGCATTGCGCAATGAGGTGATAACCCCCGGGCTATGTGCCAATTCCGATGATCTTCAAATCAAGATCCAATGCTGCCAACCCCCCAAGTATCATTCATTCAAGCCTCCCATATCATACTCCAGAAGAGCCAGTGGACCATCCTGAAAATGCCATGTTGATCCAATCGAATCGATAGTATTGAGGGGCGAACAATGCATCTAGATCTCCGCGTTGATGGGGACGAACTTGGCGACGGTGGTTTTGGTGTCCTTGGTGTCCTCGTGGACTTCGTCCTTCATGCTGTTTCGTAGATGTGATCAGTGAGCTGGAATTGGTCCCAATAGATTTCAACTTGGCTTACCTGGGGCGGGAAGGGGTGCATGGCTTCTTGGGGGGAGGAGCCTCCTTCTCGTCGTCCTCATCATCCTCATCGGCCTCTTCGACCTTGGCCTTGGACTTGGCGGGAGTCTTGCGCTTTCTGGGAGTAGCGGGGGTACCGGCCTTCTTGGGGGTAGCAGCCTTCTTGCCAGCCTTCTTGGGAGTGGCGGAGGCAGATGCCTCACCGTCGCCGCCGTCGCCGGCGTTAAGCTCCTTGCGCTGGAGCTTCTGGATGTGCTGCCTGGAGAGACTTGTTAGCATCTAAAGCAAACCCAAAATATCTCGAGAAAGCGGAAGCATAATAAATTCCGAAAGAAAGAATGGGGAGACGAGAGATAATGAACGTGGCAAGGCAGGCAGAAAATACGTGACAGCGTTGGCGTTGTAGATATAGCCCTTGGCATGGACTATAGGAAGAACGCGGTCCCAGTCCTCCTTCGAGGGCTTGATGACCGACAGAAGCGCAACCAAAAGGTCAGATCGGGCCTCATCGTTCCAGACGGTGACTGGAGCCATCTTGATTGGCAGTGGGAGGTATGAAAATGGTAATG